GTAATGACTGACTGAACTGAGTGAGTGAGTGAGTGACTGAATTACTGGACTAAACTGTCTGGATTGAACTAATGAATGACTGAACTGACTGACTGACTGGACTGAACTAATGACTGACTGAACTGAGTGAGTGAGTGAATGACTGAACTGACTGACTAATGGAACTGACTGGACTGAACCGTCTGGATTGAACTAATGACTGACTGAACTCACTGAGTAAATGAATGACTGAACTGACTGACTGACTGAACTGTCTCACTGGACTGGACTGGACTGGACTGGGTGTTTGACTCCCTGGACTGGACTAGTTGCCTGGCTGACCGACGTCCCGGCTGGCTAGTGAGCAGGTTGAGTGGGCTGCTTGCCTGCCTGCGGAGCCGCGGAGCCTCCCCGTCGGGCGGGGGGAGGGAGGGGGAAAAGGGAGGACCGCGGCAGCCTCGCCCTGCTCCTGCTTCTGCCTCTCACTCGGAGCGCAGCCTTTGAGCGCGGAGGACGCGTCGAGGGACGGAGGCGCGCTTGCCCTGCCATGGCCGGGGAGAACGGCACCCTGTCTGCCTCCTCCTCGTCGTCGTCGTCGTCGTCCTCCCCGTCGTGGGCAGGGGGCGAAGGCTCCCCGGCGGCGGGGGGACCGTGGCCGGTGTCTCCGGGGTGGAGCGCGGGGCTGAGCTGGGCGGCGGGGCTGGGCCTGGGCGCGGCCATGCTGGGCCTGGGCTGCGCGGTGGAGCTGGGGGCGCTGGGGGCGCAGCTGCGCCGCCCGCTGGGCCTGCTCCTGGCGCTGCTCTGCCAGTTCGGCCTCATGCCGCTCCTGGCCTTCCTCCTGGCCCTGGCCTTCGCCCTCGACGAGGTGGCCGCCCTGGCCGTGCTGCTCTGCGGCTGCTGCCCCGGAGGGAACCTCTCCAACCTCATGGCGCTCCTCGTCGACGGGGACATGAACCTCAGGTAGGAGCCCAGGCCCGGGAGAGGAGGGCGGGGAAGGAAGGGGCCACGCCATCCCCACAAAAGCGCGCCAAAAGATGCCCCTCGCGCGCCAGGGACAGGTAGGCAGGACAGATAACGCAGGGTGCAGCACCATTTTTGTCCCTGCCTTCTCAATGTCGCTCCCTAATTGGTACCATCATAAAAACATGGGGAAAGTTTATTCAACTGCCCAAACTTTCTCTTTGCGGGACACCCAGCAGCAAATTTTGCTAGAGTTTTTCCAATGAGTATCTCATGGCGTCTCAAGCAATTCCACGTCGTTTGTGGCAGCCACAAAAACGAAGTTTCTGGAGCAGGCCCGTAGCCAGGATTTTAATTCGGGGGTTGCTGAGTTTGATTCAAGAGGGGCAGGCTGAGGATCTCCCCTAGCAAACCTTTTGTATTGTTACCCTAATACCCTCATGTATATGGGATATATTGAGCATATCAGGCATGTAGCTGGGGGGGGGGGGGGCTTGAGGGGCTTCACCCCCCCCCCCCCAAATTCTCATGGTGGTTCGCGAAAAGGCCTTACTGGTGCATTATTTAAACTGTTATGTTTATTCATATCATGATCTGATCACCATACTCAATATATCCCATATGCATGGGGGTATTGGGGTAATGATACAAAAGGTTTGCTAGGCTAGGCCCTCGTTCACTCAGACTCAGCACCCCCTCCGAAACTCAGGCCCTCCCCCGAAACCCCCCCCCCCCCCCCCCCGAAACGAAATCCTGGCAACGGCATGGAGCATGGTGATCAGATCATGATATGAATAAAACATAACAGTTTAAATAATGTACCAGTAAGGCCTTCTCGCCGACCACCAGGAGAATTTTGGGGGGGGCTGAAGCCCCTCAAGCCCCCCCCCCCCCCACATGTCTGTTCTGGAGTGTAACAACAATTTTCAAAGTAAGTACCGCACAATTAATCAGAGAATAACACTTTCAAATCAGGAACAGATTTTTCTTTCCAAATTTTGTTACATAATGTAATGGGTCCACCCCATGAGATGAGGGGCCATGGCCCTCCCCATCCAAATTGGGAAAAGAAAGTGGGCTGTGTTGTCGAAGGCTTTCATGGCCGGACTCACTGGATTGCCGTGAGTTTTTTGGGCTGCCTGGCCATGTTCCAGAAGCATTATCTCCTGACGTTTCCCCCACATCTATGCCAGGCATCCTCAGAGGTTTTGAGGTTTGTTGGAAACAAGGCAAGTGGGGCTTATATACCTGTGTAAATGTCCAGGGTGGGAGAAAGAACTCTTGTCTGTTGGAGGCAAGTGTCAATGCTGCAATTAATCACCTTGATTAGCATTGTAGAGCCTTTCAGCTTCAAAGCCTGACTAGTTGCTGTCATGCTCTGTTTGGAGGTGTTGACTGGCCCTGAATGTTTCATGTCTGGAATTTCCCTATTTTTTAGTACTGTTTTTTATTTACTTCCTAATTTTAGAGTTTTTAAAAAACTGGTAGCCAGATTTTGTTCATTTCTTCCTTTCTGTTGAAATTGTCCACATGCTTGTGGATTTCAGTGGCTTCTCTGTGTAGTCTAACATGATGGTTGTTAGAGCGGTCCAGCATTTCTATGGTCCAAAATAATATGCTGTGTCCAGGTTGGTGCATCAGGTGCCCCACGATAGCTGACTTCTCTGGTTGAGTTAGCCTGGAGTGCCTTTCATGTTCCTTGATTCATGTTTGGGCAATGCTGGATTAGGTGGTCCCTGTGTAGACTGGTCCACAGCTGCATAGTATACAGTAGGCTCCTGCAGAGGTGAAAAAAGCGACAACCTACAAACTATCTACAGATCCACTTAGAAAATCCAACAAATGCTACATTCAACAAAGGACAAGAGGGATCCTCTCACCTCTGCAGGAGTCTACCGTATACCATGCAGCTGTGGACAAGTCTACATAGGGACCACCAAACGCAGCGCCCAGACACGAATCAAGGAACATGAAAGGCACTGCAGACTACTTCAACCAGAGAAGTCAGCCATAGCAGAGCACCTGGTGAACCAACCTGGACACAGCATATGATCTGACAACACAGGAATGCTGGATCACTCTCACAACCACCATGTTAGACTACACAGTGTTTCTCAACCTGGGGGTCGGGACCCCTGGGGGGGTTGCGAGGGGGTGTCAGAGGGGTTGCCAAACACCATCAGAAAACATAGTATTTTCTGTTGATCATGGGGGTTCTGTGTGGAAAGTTTGGTCCAATTCTATCGGTGGGGTTCAGAATGCTATTTCATTGTGGGTGAACTATAAATCCCAACAATTACAACTCCCAAATGGCAAGGTCTATTTTCTCCAAACTCTATCAGTGTTCACATTTGGGCATATTGAGTATTTGTGCCAAGTTTGATCCAGATCTGGGTTGTTGTAGGTTTCTCTTTAGGAGAAAATGCCTCTAGAACATGGCCATATAGCCCGGAAAAACCTACAACAACCCAGTCATTCCGGCCATAAAAGCCTTCGACAATACATTGATCCAGATCCATCATTGCTTGGGTCCACAGTGTTCTCTGGATGTAGGTGAACTACAACTCCAAAAACTCAAGGACAACGTCCACCAGACCTTCTCAGTGTTTTCTCTTGGTCATGGGAATTCTGTGTGCCAAGTTTGATTCAATTTCATCATTGGTGGAGTTCAGAAGGCTCTCTGATTTTAGGTGAACTATAAATCCCAGCAACTCCCGCATTACCAAATGTCAAAATCAATAACCCCCAACTCTAGCCAGTATTCAAATTTGGGCATATTGGGTATTTGTGCCAAATTTGGTCCAGTGACTGAATATACATCCTGCATATCAGATATTTACATTACGATTCATAACGGTAGCAAAACTACAGTTATGAAGTAGCAACGAAAATAATGTTATGGTTGGGGGTCACCACAACATGAGGACCTGTACTAAGGGGTTGCGGCATTAGGAAGGTTGAGAAGAGTCAGCCATAGCAGAGCACCTGGTGAACTAACCTGGACACAGCATATGATCTGACAACACAGGAATGCTGGATCACTCTCACAACCACCATGTTAGACTACACAGAGAAGTCACTGTGGACAATATCAACACAAAGGAGGATACCATGAAAATGAACAAAATCTGGCTACCAGTTTTTTTTTAAACCCACCAAAATCAGGACAGTAAATAAAGAGTAACACTCTGAAAGCATGGGAATTCCAGTCAGAAAACACTCAGGGCCAGCTAACACTTCCCAACAAAGGGTTCCCACAGGCAGGAATCAGCCAGTCTTGAAGCTGCAAGACCATTCAATGCTAATCAAGGTGGCCAATTGCAACATTCACACTTGCCTCAAGCAGACAAAAGTTCTTTCTTCCACCCTGGTCATTATTCCACAGATATATAAACCTCACTTGCCTAGTTTCCAACAGACCTCACAATCTGTGAGGATGCCTGCCAGAGATGTGGCTGAAACATCAGGAGAGAATGCTTCTGGAACATAGCCAGACAGCCCGGAAAATCTCACAGCAACCCAGAAAGGAAGGGCTGCTCCTTGCCTTGCAAAGCAAAACACTACTCCTTTCTCCAAAACGCAAATGACAGCTCTGGGATTCTGTTCAAAAAGGCACAGAGAAGGAACGAGAGAAGAACCTGACATGGGAGAGAAAACGAGGCTGAGTCAGATTAAGGGAGAATGGACAAACCACCCATGGCAGACATTTGGGGGTAATCCTCACCAATGTGAGGTTCTGCCCTGAGAAATGCACTATTGTCTCCCTTCTTTGGCAGCATCATCATGACCACATCCTCCACTTTGCTGGCTCTGGTCCTGATGCCGCTTTGCCTGTGGGTCTACAGCCGGGCCTGGATTGACACGCCGCTCGTGCGCCTCTTGCCTCTGGGTGCCGTCACCCTGACCTTGTGCAGCACCCTGCTCCCCATCGGCCTCGGGGTGTTCATCCGCTACAGATACAGCCGGGTGGCAGACGTCCTGCTTAAGGTAAGCTCGACCTAGTTTTTCTACCACATGTGGGTCATTATAATAGCCTGGGCCTCCCAGGGCCTTCCCACACAGTCATATAGGAGCCCCTGGTGGCGCAGTGGGTTAAACCCCTGTGCCAGCAGGACTGAAGACTGACAGGTTGCAGGTTCGAATCTAGGGAGAGCACGGATGAGCTCCCTCTATCAGCTCCAGCTCCCAAAGTGGGGACATGAGAGAAGCCTCCCACAAGGAAGATAAAACATCAAAACATACGGGCGTCCCCTGGACAACGTCCTTGCAGATGGCCAACACTCTCACACCAGAAGCGACTTGCAGTTTCTCAAGTCGCTCCTGCCATGACAAAACAAAACAAAACAGTCATATAGCCCAGAATATCAAGGCAGAAAATACCACAGGATCTGCTTTGAACTGGGCTGTCTGAGTCCACACTGCTATATATTCCAGTTCAAAGCAGATAATGTGAAATTTTATTCAGCTGTGTGGGAGGAGCCCTGGGCTCCTGGGAGAAGGCTTAAGGCTACCATATGCATTACTTCAGTCATCTTGTAGCAAACATTTAACTTCTTGCCATGTGAAGACAGTTCCCCTGTGACTATAATTGTGAGTAGATTTTATAATATCCTTCGGAGAGCCAGTGGTGCTTGCCTCTTATTTCAACTATGTTCCCCCTTTCTCCCCCTCTCTCTACAGAGAGTAATTAACAGCACTGAAGGGGGTCTAGGGAGATAAAAAGCAATTTTGGTCTCTTCCACACAGTTGAATAAAATTCCACATTTTCTGTTTTGAACTGGGATATATGGCAATGTGAACTCAGTTCAAAGCAGATACTGTGGGATTTTCTGCCTTGACATTATGGGTTATATGGCTGTGTGGAAGGGCCCTAAGTTGTGAAAGATGCAAAGTTTTGCACTGGTGATAAAAACCAGTAGTCATATACAGAAGCCACAGGGGGTTCTCTGAAGCACTTCTTATTTTAGACAGGCTTTGAGATTCTGCACACTGACTAAACTGAACGCCTACCCTGCTGTGTATTCTTTCTGGGCTCCCCTCAATTACATGTTTTCTATTCCTGCGTCATCCAGGGTTTTATCATTTTATCATTTTACCTCATCCATTTGTCCTGCCCATTCTGTTCGATTTTATATTGTGTTAATCTGCTTTATTTATTTTATTTTGCTACTGTATGTATTTTATTCTGGTGTACTTTTTTGTTGTCTGTATTCTGTATTTTATTTTATTTTATTTTGCTGTATTGTATCTTTGGGCTTGGCCTTATGTTAGCTGCCCCGAGTCACCTTTTGGGGAGATGGTGGCGGGGTATAAAAATAAATCTATCTATCTATCTATCTATCTATCTATCTATCTATCTATCTATCTATTTATTTAAAGGGCCGGGCCTGAGCACTAGACATGGCAAGCCAAGGTACAATCTGTCTGCATCACAAATGCTAACAATAGACAGAAACAAGTGTAGTAAGTGGAGCTGGGAGAGATGGAGATAGGGCAGAAAGATCACTTAGAAATATGCACTCACATACTCACATACAAATAAATATACAAATCATCCACATAAACTTGCTTAAACATACACCCGGGGTGACTGTTGCAGAAAAACAGAATCTTCAGGTGTTGACTTTGCATAGAAAGGACTTGTTGCTGAATATATATTAAAAACCTTTATTGTGTAGTACTCTCTTGGTCTTGGGGGACTGGATGAGCTTAATTTTCCCTCCTATATAAACATTCATCAGTTAGCTAAGGACATAACAGAAAAAGTCAATGAACCAAGAAGAGGGAGAAGCTCATAAACTAAAACAGACATTATTTTGGTGATAAAATGCCAACCACTACAATATAGTACTCTCTGACATTAGTTTAACCAGTTAGGTAAACAATTTAAATGTTATAACCTAAGATTTTCAGAGAACAAAAGAATGCAGATTGTCAACCAGAGACAGAAGGTGCTGATTCCACATCATCGGATGTGACCATGATGCTGTGCTATCTAATGAAGCCACCCCCACCCATAAAAAATCCAAACCCTACCTCTTCAGCCAAGCAGCATCTCAACCAAGACGAATCTGGGAGGAAAGGACATGGCATCTGCAATGCCCTTCTAATTCTGGGGTGCATTGAGAACAGGCAACCAGCGAGACCTTTGGGGTCCTACTGCAACCCCTTTGTTCAATATGCCCCACGATCAAGAGCATTGCACATGTCATTTCTTAATATCTTCACTTACAGTGTCTTGGAAACTTGTTTTGGGAAAGTAATTCAAACCTGTTAGCCAGCTGAAGTATAATGGCAAGCTATAGTTATATCCCAAACTATATCAGCTCAACTAGAACAAAAGTAATGTTGCTGTTAAGCTCATTAGTCCTCAAACATCTGCCATGTGTTGAAATACCACTATCGCCCCTTCCAGACAGGCCCCATATCACAGGATCTGGTTTTGTGCTTTAAACTGGATTATATGAGTCCACACTGCCAGATAATCTGGGATAAACAGAACACCTGGGATTAAATCCTGGGATATAGGCCATATCTGGAAGAGCCCTTAGGCCCCAATATCCACTTTGAACTTGTCCACACTCAGATAATGTGGGATTTTCAGCCTTGATATTCTGGGATATAGGGCTATGTGGAAGGGCCCTGAGTCATACTGTTGTGCTTCAGCACATAGGATTATTTTTTATGTAAAATTCTCCCCAACTGACCCCTTACTAGCTGTTGATAATGCAGTTTACATCAGGAGTAGTTAATTGCTGTAGGACGGGGAGCACATTCAGACATCTGGGAAGAGTTGAGGCTGCATTAGTTCCCCCTAATATTATTATCTTTTCAGGAAGGAGATGTGGGGGCATTTGGAGGGAAGGGGGTGAGAGCAAGGAGGATTTAAAGCAGGGATCTGTTGAAGATGGCTGAGTAGAAGATTTCAAGAAGGAATCTGTTGAAAGGGATTCAGCAAAGAGGAGTTAATGCAGGGATTCAAGAAAGGAAATGGAAGGAGAGTTGGGACTGTTTGAAGGCAATGACAACTTTGCTGTCAGGGACTGAAAGAAAATGGACAGCAAGGAAGTTAAGCAGCAGCTATAGTGATGGAGGATGGAAATAGGGGGCGGGAATGTGTCGGAGCATTTTGTTTGCCCAACAAGTGGAGGATAATCATTTTATGTACATGCGGCCCACCCTTTGTTTGTCTGCCATTATGCTTAGTTCCTATGTTTTGTGCATATTGTTTTATATGCTTTGATGTTTTATATTTTACTGTCATGTTGTTTATTTGATTGTAATTTGTATTGTTATATTGTAAATTTTGTTCGGGCTTGGCCCCATGTAAGCCGCTCCCTTTAGGGAGATGGTGGCAGGGTACAAATAAAGTATTATTATTATTATTATTATTATTATTATTATTATTATGTGTGGCAAGCAATATTAATTATGTGTTGTCGAAGGCTTTCCTGGCTGGACTCACTGGGTTGCCGTAAGTTTTCTGGGCTATATGGTCATGTTCCAGAAACATTCTCTCCTGACGTTTCACCCACACGAGGACCTCACAACTTCTGAAGATGCCTGCCACAGATGTGGGTGAAATGTCCGGAGAGAATGCTTCTGGAACATGGTTTTACAGCCTGGAAAACTCACAGCAACCCAATATTGACTATTTCAAATAGTAAGAGTTTTTCAGCTTTTTGAGGTGAGGCATCCAGAGGCTTGGAGGAGGGGAAGGAATTATTGCGTCTGGTGGGCCATACTTAGAGTAATTGATATAATGAAGTGCAATATTTTAAAAGGTGCTGCTCTTTCTCATCCATTGTTTTCCTTGCTAGGTGTCTTTGTGGTTTCTCCTGTTGTCCCTGGTGATCCTTTTCATTCTCACGGGTACCATGCTGGGTCCAGAACTGCTGGCCACTATTCCTGCCACTGTCTATGTAGTAGCCGTGCTGATGCCCTTGGCGGGATATGGCTGCGGTTATGGCGTAGCGTCCTTATTCCGTTTGCCACCCCACTGTAAGAGGACAGTGTCATTGGAGACCGGATGCCAGAACGTACAGCTTTGCACCGCTATACTCAAGTTGACTTTTCCTCCAGAGCTCATTGGGCCCATGTACATGTTTCCCTTAATGTATGCCCTCTTCCAGGCAGCAGAAGCTGGCCTGATTGTATTAATCTACAAGATATATGGCAAAGACTCTTATAAGCAAGAACCTCTAGTGGGTGAAGACGAAGATACAGACATTTCTTACAAGAAACTCAAGGAAGAAGACGTGCCAGAGACTTCCTATGGCACAGTGATTGCTGAGGGCCATGATTCAATGCAGATGGAACCAACACAGACTGCTCTGTAGAGGAAGGAAGTATCTGGGAAATCCCATTTTAAGACCAGCATAGCAGACTGGTTAACCAGGGAAAGAAGATGTATGGAGAGAGGACAACAGTGTTAACCAGTTGCTGTAATCTTGATTTCCTCAGTTTACATGGTTTGCAACCAAATCTGTATTTTTCTCCACATATAATAATTCAGAACCACTGCAGCTACTATTGCAGAGGATCATAAATCGCCATTGATGTAACACAGAGATAACGAACAAGCAACAGGGTTACACATAGAAATGAGGGACCTTTTAAGGCAACGTGGAAGATTTGGAGGAAAGATAAGTAGCACAAGGATGAAACAGTGACCATTTTTGTCAAATGTAATTGAATGTCATCAACCACATTTGCCGTTTCAAAAATCCAAAGTCGTGTATCTTGCATATTGTTCAGCTTTTATGTATGTGGAAGGGTCGAACTAATGTGTATAATGATCGGTAATTAAATTTCTTCCAAACATATTAAGGTATTAGGAGGTTGAATGAGAGACTGCCTGCGTCATCTAATTGAGATTAGAGCAACCAGTTGTTTTGAGGGAATGAAGAATTATGAGACCTCTTTTCGTTCTGAAACAAATTTCCAATTGAGTTGGAGCTCTAAAAATAGTTTCTACTTCTCCAACATGTCAGCCAAGGGTCTTTTCTAGCTCTGTTGCACAAGAGATGCCTTAGTTTAGGGATGGGCAAAATGCAGCCTAGCATAGATTGCAAATCCTAGCATTTGTCAATACTAACTATTTAGGGCTGATGGGAATTGGAGTCTAACTTCATTTGGAGGGTTGCACTTTGCACCATTACAACCACTTTAACTGAAGATACCAAAAGGTGGAAAGGTCATAGTGGTATCTAAATTATGTCTAGGAGATTCCATCTGAACATGAGGAAGAACTTCCTGACTATGAGAGCTGTTCAGCAATGGAACTCTCTGTCCCGGAGTGTGGTGGAGGCTCCTTCTTTGAAGGCTTTTAAACAGAGGCTGGATGGCCATCTATCGGGGGTGCTTTGAATGCGATTTTTCTGCTTCTGCGCAGGGGGGTGGACTGGATGGCCGACAAGGTCTCTTCCAACTCTATGATTCTATGATTCTATTTTTCTAAATGACTGGAAGTTTCCTGTGAAGTTTCCATACTAACAGCCAAAGTAACTGCATGGGAATCAAGCCTAGGTTTTCTTGGTCACAAAGGGTATTCATCAGATAGTAAATTCCCATTTTAATGGAATTTAGGACCCTTCCAGACAGGCCCTATATCACTAGGATCTGATCCCAGGTTTCTGCTTAAAACTGAATTATACGAGTCCACACTGCCAGATAATCTGGGATAAACAGAAAACCTGGGATCAGATCCTGGGATATAGGGCCTGTCTGGAAGGGGCCTTACTGAGATTTACTTAAGTTACTATAGTAAAATGCCTACTCAGTAGTACATCCAGTGGCTTTAAATGGCATTTACTCCCAGGTAAGTATGTATAGATCTTTTGAGCTGGGGTAAAAGAAAACATAATACCCAGAAGTCTCCATACATAGAAAAAAAATAACAAACTCATATATTATTATATTATACTATGTGACACTATTTTTGTTCCTGGGTTACAAATGTCATTTCCTAGTTGGTCCTATTATTAAAACATGGGAAAAGTTTGTTCAGCTGCAAAAACTTTGTTTTTGTGGGACATCCTGCAGCACACTTTGCTCTAGTTTTTCTCTCATAGAGTATCAACTAATTCAGCATAGCTTGTGGAGCCACAAAAAAGGAAGTTTCTGGAGTAGAAGAACTACTTTAAAAGTAAGTACCTCACAATTAAACAGGAAATAATACATTCAAACCATGAACAGAAAAGTTTTCAAATTGTGTTACATAGTGTTATATTTTAATATTTTCAGATATGCAACATGGTGCAAAAGGTTGTAATGAATATTTTGTAAATAAAGGTACATTTAGCTACAGTTTCCCAGTTCCCCTACATATGGCAACTTTTGGGACAGTCTGTATTTCAAAAAGCGAACAAATAGCCTCTAAGAAAGGGACAACAGTGCTATCAACAAAATTACACCCTAGAAACTTCTGAAACTAGTCTGAAAGCTTTGGATTTTGGAATTCATGCAAACCAGGCTGTATGAATACTCAGAAGTAAGCACCACTGTGTCCAATGGCCCTTACTTCCATGTAAAAGCTTGAGCATCTCTGAAGTAGTGTAACACACACACATTCAATATGGAAAGCACACTAACCATTCTCTGCTATTTACTGGCCAACCCAGGCTGGATGTACACTGCCCCTATATCCCAGGATCTGATCCAAGATTATCCACTTATTCCAGATTATCTGGCAGTGTAGACTCAGGGCCCTCCCACACAGCCATATAATCCAGAATATCAAGGCAGATAATTCATACCATCTGCTTTGAATTGGATATATGAATCCAATCTGGCAGATAATCCACTTCAATGTGGATTTTATACAGCTGTGTGGAAGGGGCCTCATATAATCTAGTTCAAATCAGATAATCTGGGAGCAAATCCAGGGATATAGGGCAGTGTCGGTCCAGCCCTTCATTCTGGTGCTTCAAATGTTAGGGTCCTTCCACACAGCCATATAACCCAGAATATCAAAGTAGAAAATCCCACAATATCTGCTTTGAACTGGGTTATTTAAATCCACATTGCCATACATTCCAGTTCAAAGCAGATAATTCAGCTGTGTGAAAGGGGTCTTTGACCTGTTTCTGGGTATCTTTGATCTGCTGATTCCAAAAATGGAGTCAGTTTTCCTCTATCATTTAGTTTTTGGGATAAACATATGCCACCTACCAGTGTTCTTCCCCATAGAAAACTATGTCCTTTAACACTGCCATATAATCCAGATTACCAAAGCAGATGATCCACATTATCTACTTTGAAATGGATTATAGCCATCCAGCTATAGAGATAGATAGATAGATATGATTCACACACAGAGATATGGTATCATAGATTTGAAAGGGACTCCAAAAGAAGGACAATCCAGATTACCAAAGCAGATGATCCACATTATCTACTTTGAAATGGATTATATGCGGTTCCTTCTACAGAACTGTATAAAATCCACAAATAGCAGCGTGGACTCAGATAACCCAATTCAAAGCAGTTATTGTGAGTTATCTGCCTTGATATTCTGAATTATATGGCTGCGTTGAAGGGCCCTGAGTCTACACTGTCATATAATCCAGTTCAAAGCAGATAATCTGGATTTTATATGGCAGTGTAGAAGGGACCTTTAAGAGACTAGAGCTGATGCGGTTGATCTAATGCAGCTTTCAGAATCAGGCCCCCTAAATGATCTGAGGAACAGGCCTAAAAGACACCAAGGGCCCTTCCACACAGCCATATAACCCAGAATATCAAGGCAGATAACCCCAGTGTCTGCTTTGAGCTGGATTATCTGAAGCCCCTTCCGCACAGCCCTATATTCCAGGATGTCAAGGCAGGAAATCCCGCATATCTGAGTATGGACTCGGATAACCCACCTCAAAGCAGATATTGTGGGATTTTCTGCCTTGATATTCTGGAAGCACTTCCACACAGCCCTATATCCCAGAATATAAAGGAAGAAAATCCCACAATATGGGCTTTGAACTGGAATATATGGCAGTGTGGACTCAGGTAACTCAGTTCAAAGCAGATATTGTGGGATTTTCTGTCTTGATATTCTTTATATAGGGCTGTGTGGAAGGGCCCCCAGAAAATCCCACAGTATATGCTTTGAGGTGGGTTATCTGAGTCCACTGCCATATATGGATTTTCTACAGCTGTATGGAAGGGGCTGAATATAATAACCCAAATATTGTATTTATGTATAATATATTGTAACAGCACTCCATGCAGTCATGACGGCCACATGCCCTTGGAGGTGTCTATGGACAACGCCAGCTCTTTGGCTTAGAAATGGAGATGAGCACCACATCCCAGAGTCAGACATGACTGGACTTACCTTTATTTACTTTTTACTTGTAAGTCACTCTGAGTCCCCTTCAGGGTGAGAAGGGCAGCATATAAATGTCGTAAACAAACAAACAAATAAATAAATCTAATCCAGCTTTCAGAATCAGGGCCCTTAAATGACCTTTTGGAAGAACTTCCTGACTGTGAGAGCCGTTCAGCAGTGGAACTCTCCGCCCCGAAGTGTGGTGGAGGCGCCTTCTTTGGAAGCTTTTAAACAGAGGCCGGATGACCATCTGTCAGGGGTGCTTTGAATGCAACATTCCTGCTTTCTTTGCAGGGGGTTGGACTTGGATGGCCCATGAGGTCTCTTCCAACCTTACGATTCTATGACCTGAGGAACAGGCCTAAAAGACACCAAAGGCCCTTCCACACAGCCCAGAATATCAAGGCAGAAAATCCTACAATATCTGCTTAAAACTGAGTCCACGCTACCATATAATCCAGCTCAATGTGGATTTTATACAGCTGTGTGGAAGGGGCTCAAGCATTCCATTTTTATGGTTGGGAAGCTGCAAAGCTAAGGGGCTCTTCTTGGCTTAAGGCAGTGTTTCTCAACCTGGGGGTCAGGACCCCTGAGGGGGTTGCGAAGGGATGTCAGAGAGGTCGCCAAAGACCATCAGAAAACACAGTATTTTCTGATGGTCATGGGGATTCCATGTGGGATGTTTGAGCCAATTCTATCGTTGGTTGAGTTCAGAATGTTCTTTGATTGTAATGAAGTATAAATCCTAGCAACTACAACTCCCAAAAGTCAAGGTCTATTTTCCCCAGGTTCCACCAATGTTCACATTTGTACATATTGAGTATTTGTGCCAGATCCACCATTGCGTGAGTCCACAGTGCTCTCTGGATATAGGTGAACTACAAGTCCAAAACTCAAGGTCAATGCCCATCAAACCCTTCCAGTATTTTCTCTTGGTCACGGTAGTTTTGTGCCAAGGCTAGTTAAATTCCATTGGTGATGGAGTTCAGTATGCTCTTTGATTGTAGGCAGGGGCGGCTCAACCCATTACGCAAAGTAAGCATTTGCAGTATAGTTGATTTTGCCCAGGGGCGCTCTTGAGGTGCTCTTGGGGGAAAATAGACCTTGACATATGCGAGTTGTAGTTACTGGGATGTATAGTTCACCTACAATCAAAGAGCATTCTGAACTCCACCAATGATGGAATTGAACCAAATATGGCACACAGAACTCCCACGATGAACAGAAAATATATATCAGGGATTGGTTGGGGGGGGGGGGGCAAAATACTGTTTGCTTACCATTGAAAATTACCTAGGGCCGCCTCTGATTGTAGGTCAACTATAAATCCCAGCAACTACAACTCCCAAATGACAAAATCATTTTTTTTTTAGTGATGGTCTCTCCTTGTGTTGTGAAATGTTTTGTTGCCAAATTTGGTGTGATTTTGTTCACTGGTTCTTTTGTTTTTAAGGTACTTATTATGCACAGAGCATTTTTATATATAGATATTATTATTATTAAATGTGTGTTTTCTGGTGGTCTTTGGCGACCCCTCTCAAACCCCCTCATGCCCCCCCCCAGGGGTCCTGACCCCCAGGTTGAGAAACACTGCTTTAAGGGAAGGTAGACTTCATTGAGGAGGCCTTTTTGCAGCCACATTATTATTATTATTATTATTATTATTATTATTATTATTATTATTAAATGTGTGTTTTCTGGTGGTCTTTGGCGACCCCTCTCAAACCCCCTCATGCCCCCCCCCAGGGGTCCTGACCCCCAGGTTGAGAAACACTGCTTTAAGTGAAGGTAGACTTCATTGAGGAGGCCTTTTTGCAGCCACATTATTATTATTATTATTATTATTATTATTATTATTATTAAATGTGTGTTTTCTGGTGGTCTTTGGCGACCCCTCTCAAACCCCCTCATGCCCCCCCCCAGGGGTCCTGACCCCCAGGTTGAGAAACACTGCTTTAAGTGAAGGTAGACTTCATTGAGTAGGCCTTTTTGCAGCCACATTATTATTATTATTATTATATTATTATTATTATTATTATTATTATTATTATTAAATGTGTGTTTTCTGGTGGTCTTTGGCGACCCCTCTCAAACCCCCTCATGCCCCCCCCAGGGGTCCTGACCCCCAGGTTGAGAAACACTGCTTTAAGTGAAGGTAGACTTCATTGAGTAGGCCTTTTTGCAGCCACCCTCTTGACTCCAGGGAAGGCAAGGTCAGCTGTTCCGAGTGACCTCTTTGGGGGGCGCCCCGCCCCTTGGCCTCCTACTTAAGCGCCCCTTCCTCCAGGGCTGGGCTGGCTCTTCCACGATGGCTGCTGCTGCTGCTGCTTTGATGGGGGAAGCCATGGAGAGTTACGCCTACCCTTCCTACAACCCTTACTCCTACCACCGCTACCCGCCCCCGAAAGGCAAAGGGGGGCCGGGGTCCTGGAGGCAACGAGGAGGAGGAGGAGTGGGAAGCGGCGGCGGAGGAGGCGGGGGCTACTTCTCGGGCTACAGCGAGGCCTCGGTGGCGGAGTACTTGGAGCAGTACCAGCGGGCGCAGCTGAAAGCCTTGCTGTCGCAGGTGAACCCGCACCTGACGCCGCGCCTGCGCAGAGCCAACACCAAGGAGGTGGGCGTCCAGGTGAACCCGCGCCAGGACGCCTCGGTGCAGTGCTCGCTCGGCCCGCGACCCCTCCTCCTCCTTCGGCAGAGGCAGCGCCAGCGCGCCGAACCAGGAGCCGCCCGGGCTGTGCGCTTCCCCCGCACCGTCGCCGTCTACTCGCCCGTGGCCTCGCGCCGCCTCACCGCCTTCGTCGAGGAGGAGGAGGAGGAAGAAGAAAAAGGAGGAGCCGGAGAAGGGGGCAAGAAGGACTTGGAGAAGCCCGAAGGAGAGACCCAGGAAGGGGAAGGGAAGCAGGAGGAGGAGGAGAAGCCCGGGAAAGAGGAGGAGGAGCAGGCGGAAGGGAAAGCCGAGGCGGCCCCGTCGGAGGAAGCCGCGCAGAGCAAGACACGGGTGCGCTTCCAGGTGGGTCGCCACGAGGGGAAAAGCCTCTTGTCCGAGAAGCATTCTCTCCTGACGTTTCGCCTCCATCTAAGGCAGGCATCCTCAGAGGTTGTGAGGTCTGTTGGAAACTAGGAAAATTGAGTCTATATATATCTGTGGAAAGTTCAGGGTGGGAGAAAGAACTCTTGTCTGTGAATGTTGCAATTGGTATTTAATGGCCTAGCAGTTTCAAGGCCTGGCTTCTTACTGCCTGGGGGCATCCTTCGTTGGGGAATTTCAACAGAAAGAATGAAAATGAACAGAATCTGCAGTAAATAAACCACAACACTCAAAAACGGGAATTCCTGACAAGAAATCACTGGGTTGTAGGTTTTRCGGGCTGTATGGCCATCTRCTAGAAGCATTCRRTCCTGARGTTTRGCCTCCATCTAAGGCAGGCATCCTCAGAGGTTGTGAGGTTTGTTGGAAACTAGGAACACGGGGATWCCTGACAAGAAATCACTGGGTTGTAGGTTTTCCGGGCTGTATGGCCATCTTCTAGAAGCATTCCCTCCTGACGTTTCGCCTCCATCTAAGGCAGGCATCCTCAGAGGTTGTGAGGTTTGTTGGAAACTAGGACCACGGGGATTCCTGACAAGAAATCACTGGGTTGTAGGTTTTTCGGGCTGTATGGCCATCTTCTAGAAGCATTTTCTCCTGACGTTTTGCCTCCATCTATGGCAGGCATCCTCAGAGGTTGTGAGGTCTGTTGGAAACTAGGAACACGGGAATTCCTGACGAGAAATCACTGGGTTGTAGGTTTTTCGGGCTGTATGGCCGTCTTCTAGAAGCATTCTCTCCTGACGTTTCGCCTCCATGTAAGGCAGGCATCCTTAGAGGTTGTGAGGTCTGTTGGAAACACGGGAATTCCTGACAAGAAATCACTGGGTTGTAGGTTTTTCGGGCTGTGTGGCCATCTTCTAGAAGCATTCTCTCCTGACGTTTCGCCTCCATCTAAGGCAGGCCTCCTCAGAGGTTGTGAGGTTTGTTGGAAACTAGGAACACGGGAATTCCTGACAAGAAACCACTGGGTTGTAGGTTTTTCAGGCTGTATGGCCATCTTCTAGAAGCATTCTCTCCTGACGTTTCGCCTCCATCTACGGCAGGCATCCTCAGAAGTTGTGAGGTTTGTTGGAAACTAGGAACACGGGTATTCCTGACAAGAAACCGCTGTAGGTTTTTCGGGCTGTATGGCCATCTTCTAGAAGCATTCTCTCCTGACGTTTCACCTCCATCTATGGCAGGCATCCTCAGAGGTTGTGAGGTTTGTTGGAAACTAGGAAAATGGGGTTTATATATCTGAGGAAAGTCCAGGGTGGGAGAAAGAACTCTTGTCTGCTTGATGGAGGTGTGAATGTTGCAATTGGCCACCTTGATTAGCATCGAATGGCCTAGCAGTTTCAAGGTCTGGTTTCTTACTCCCTGGGGGCATCCTTCGTTGGAGAATTTCAACAGAAGGAAAGAAATAATAGTAAAAGTATTAAAAATAACTCTAAAATAATAACAGTAAATAAACAGTAAATAAAAACAGGAATTCCTGACAAGAAATCACTGGGTTGAAAGATCCATACCTAGCCCAACTTACAAAAGCCCTTTGTCTCACCCTGGTCATTCCACAGATATATAAACCCCCTTTTTCCCAGCTCCAGCAGACCTCACCTCTGAGGATGCTTGCCATAGATGCAGGCGAAACGTCAGGAGAAATGCCTCTAGAACATGGCCATATAGCCCGAAAAAACCCACAAGAACTGAATCACTGGGTTGTTGTAGGTTTTTTTGGCTGTATGGCCATCTTCTAGAAGCATTCTCTCCTGACGTTTTGCCTCCATCTATGGCAGGCCTCAGAGGTTGTGAGGTCTGTTGGAAACGAGGAAAATTGAGTTTATGTATATCTGTGGAAAGTCCAGGATGGGAGAAAGAACTCTTTGTCTGTTTGAGGCAGGTGTGAATGTTGCAATTGGCATTTAATGGCCTAGCAGTTTCAAGGTCTGGCTTCTTACTGCCTGGGGGCATCCTTTATTGGACAATTTCAACAGAAAGAAATAATGAAAATGAACAAAATCTGGCTACCAGATTTAAAAATAACTCTAAAATCATAACAGTAAATAAACAACAACACTCCAAAACGGGAATTCCTGACAAGAAATCACTGGGTTATTGTAGGTTTTTCGGGCTATATGGTCTTCTTCTAGATGACCATACATCACCTAAATTTGAATACTGGTGGGGTTGGGGATGGCTGATTTTGTCATTTGGGATTTATAGTTCACCTACAATCAAAGAGCCTTCTGACCTCCACCAGTGATGGAATGGAACCAAACTTGGCACACAGAACTCGCATGACCAACAGAAAATACTGGAAGGGTGTGATGGGCATTGACCTTGAGTTTTGGAGTTGTAGTTCACCTCCATCCAGAGAGCACTGTGAACTCAAACAATGATGGCTCTGGACGAAACTTGGCATGAATTCTTAATATGCCCAAATTGAAGTACTAGTGGTGTTTGGGGAATATAGACCTTGACATTTGGGAGTTGTAGTTGCTGGGATTTATAGTTCACCTACAACCAAAGAGCATTCTGAACCCCACCAACGATAGAATTGGGCCAGACTTTCCACACACAATCCCCATGACCAACAGAAAATACTGTTTCCTGATGGTCTTTGGTGACCCCTCTGACACCCCCTTGCAACCCCTACAGATGTCCTGACCCCCAGGTTGAGAAACACTGGTTTAGGGGTTAGAGTTTTACCATTAAAGAACTTACATTATCTGTGTCCACCCCCCTGTCTCGGTCACATGTTCTATTCTGCGTTGCGGAAACAACACTCCCGAAGGAGCGAAACAGCGTAACGCTCATAGCCGGGGGTCACAGGTGATTGTATGATAGCTATCATACAATCATCTGTGATTTTCAATTGGCCATATTGATCAGCATTGAATGGCTTAGCAGTTTCAAGATATGGCTTCTTACTGCCCAGGAGAATCCTTTGTTGGGAGGTGTTAGCTGGCTCTGATTGTTTCTTGTCCGGAATTCCCCTGTTTTTGAGTGTTGTTCTTTATTTACTCTTATAATTCTAGAGTTTTTTAAATACTGGTAACTCGATTTTGATAATTTTCATGGTTTCCTCCTTTCTGTTGAAATTGTCCACATGCTTGTGGATTTCAATGGCTTCTCTGTGTCGTCTGACGTGGTGGTTGTGAGAGTGGTCTGTGTTCTCAAATAATACGCTGTGCCCAGGTTGGTTTTTCAGCTGCTCTGCTATGGCTGACTTCTCTGGTTGAATTAGTCTGCAGTGCCTTTCATGTTCCTTGATTTGTGTTTGGGCAATGCTGCATTTTGTGGTCCCTATGTAGACTTGTCCACAGATGCTCTGGTTGAAGTAGTCTGCACCACCCAACAAAGGATTCCCCCATGCAGTAAGAAACCATTTATGGTAATCCATAAATGCTAATCAAGGTGGCCAATTGAAACACTCCCACCTAGCTCCAACAGACAAGAGTTCTTTCTCCCACCCTGGACATTCCACAGATACATAAGCTCAATTTTCCTACTTTCCAACAGACCTAACAATCACTGAGGATGCCTGCCATAGATGTGGGTGAAATGTCAGGAGAGAATGCTTCTGGAACATGGCCATATAGCCCAGACAACTCACAACACCTTCAACAATACCTCTCCTCTTCCATCACATCAGGATTGTAATGGCAGTAGGGGCCCTTCCACACAGCCATAGAACCCAGAATATCAAGGCAGAATAACCCACAATATCTGCTTTGAACTGGGTTATCTGAGTCCACACTGCCATATATTCAAAGCAGATAATGTGGGATTTTACTCAGTTGAGTGGAAGGGCTTATATAAAACTATTTTGTTCCTGAGTTAGAAATGTCATGTCCTAATTGATTTTATCATATAAAAAGCATGGGGGGGGGGGGGGGGAGTTTACTAAACTGCAAAAACTTTTGTTTTTGCCAGACATCCCACTCAACTTTTTCAATTAATGTCTCATCAGAGTCCCTTCTACACAGCTGTATAAACTTTGATCCTCCTAGTGTTTTAGGGCCTTCCAAACAGGCCCTATATCCCAGGATCTGATCCCAGGATTTCTGTTTATCCCAGATTATCTGGCAGTGTGGACTCGTATAATCCAGTTTAAAGCAGAAAACCTGAGATCAGATCCCAGTTGCTTATATTGGCGTCTTCCCTTCATGTTTGTGCTGTCTAGTTCCTAGAGCAGAAGTATGGCTATTACCACTGCAAGGACTGCAACATCCGCTGGGAAAGTGCCTACGTGTGGTGTGTGCAAGGCACAAACAAGGTAGGTATTGCGTTGCTGGGGTGCAGAGGAGTGGGGAGGAGGAGGGAGGCCCTCTAGTACCTCGACAAGGTGCTGCCTTCTTTCTCTTTGCCTTTCCACAGGTTTACTTTCGGCAGTTCTGTCGAACTTGTCAGAAATCCTACAATCCTTACCGCGTGGAGGATATTACCTGCCAAGTAAGCAATGACTTCTAGGAAGCTGGCAAAGGTGGGAAGAAGGGAGACTGGGATCTACTTACTCGCCTTTGGCGAATAGGTGCACAGCATGATATTTTATCCCCCTCAACGTTTTCGGCTAATGGAGTTCGTGCCCTCCAAATAGGATGTTCTGCCCCACAACTCTGTGTGTTTTAGGAATTCCATTTAAACGTCCTGCTCCTATTTTATCTCATCATAGTCTGTTAATGGTTTTTATTCGGAATATGTGGCATGCCCATTGTCATCTCTATCGTGATTGTGTCTATTGGAATTTTTATTTTATTATTACTATTATTATTTTAATGTCATTTTGATAATGTTGGTGTTGTCTGATGTATATGCTTTGATTTTATTGCCGTATTATGTTGTCCGGGCTTGGCCCCATGTAAGCTGCTCCGAGTCCCCATCGGGGAGATGGTGGCGGGGTAGAAATAAAGTTTATTATTATTATTACTGGTGGATCTCAAGACGATCTGCAGTAGATCTGTTTTAAACTCCAGTTTTAACAACTAAAGTTTTCCTCTACTCTTCCCCCATCCCATTAGCCTTTTGTGATTAAAAATGCTTGAAGGAAAACAGGAGTAGCTTTCTGTGTCTGTGTGAAATTAATGTAGGTGCCACTCTGCTAGTGACTTATTATTTATTTATTTATTTATTTATTTACAATATTTCTACCCCGCTCTTCTCACCCCTGCATGGGGACTCAGAGTGGCTAACAAAGGCAACGATTCAATGCTGCAATAATTACAATTATAATAGCAAGATAAAATTATCCAATGCAACAAATTAAAACAAACATTAGTTATGTATGCTTAAGCTTGTCTTATGTTTATGTCTCTTTTGGATCAAGTACAGGCAGGGCCATAGCCCGGGGGGGGGGGGGGGGGGTAAGGTCGTTCCAACTCCACTCCAAAACCTGGTGTACTCATGAATAGCTGGTTAACCAATTTATGAGTAAACCAGTTTTCTTTTTTAACCTGCCACATTTCAGGGCAGGGTTGAACTTTTAAACCCTCCTCCCTCTGGCTACGGGCCTGAGTGCAGGGGTATTCTTCACTAGCCCTTTGTGCCCCATCCAAAACCTTATCCCAGTAGCTATCCTACCCCTGCTTACTGGTAAGGAATCATGAGGACACTGCTGATCTCAGTTGAAAGGGGCAAAGAAACAAAAGCGCACTCAACATACTGTGTGAACTCTCCCTTTCTCTGTCCTTTCCACCTCACCACTAAGCAGAAGGAACCCCTTCTAGCATTTGACAGCTGCTGGACCAGTGAGAGGACTGGGAGCTGTTTGGCATCAGATTTTGGCTTTTCAGCTCAGCTCTTGAGTTAAAACTAATCCTTCACCTGCACCATATGTGCCTTCTAACTCCTTGACTCTACTTGTAGGCCTGTTGTGAGTCAATTCTTGTTGCAGTTTACCTTGGTATGAGAGATGGGCAGATTGGGTCCAGAATACTTTCCAAACTCCAGACAGATTTACTGATTGTATATATATTAAATCTCACGGATTTCATAGGTTTTTCTTAGTCAAGTTATACTCTGAGGTGGTTTTGTCAGCCCCTTTCTCAGAAAAATAGCTTACAGCTCCTGATATTTGTTCATGGTCTCCCATCCAAATAATAACCAGGGCTGACTCTGCTTAGCAACCGAGATGAAACTATTCCTGGTGCCTTTAGTTATGGCAGTTACATAATGGAACTCTGTTGGCTGATATTTAGTTACACTGTGTGGAAGTAAAGTAGGACCTCGATAGAAATAAACTACACTGTTGGTTTCTAGAAATAATAATTTCCCTAATCTCATGCTCATCTATAAAGGAACTATCTCCATGGATTTTGCCCACCTACAATGGTTTTCAATAGTCATGGCTGCTCTAAGAACTCTTAAGATCTTCCGGGGAGGCCCTCCTTTAGCTCCCACCACTGTCACAAGAACGATTGGTGGGGACGAGAGAGAGGGCCTTCTCAGTGGTGGCTCCCCACCTCTGGAACACCCTCCCCAGGGAAATTAGACAGGCCCCATCCCTCCCCTCCTTTCGTAAGAGCTTGAAGACCTGGTGATTTCAACCAGCCTTTGAGAACGACTAGTTCTAGCTCGACCATAGATATTGTTGAATATGGCCTTATTCTTCCTACCAATTACCCAAGTCACTTCCTCTAATAGGCCCCGGAAATTACTCACTTACTTTGTTTACATAGGTGATCCCTCTTTGGCCGAGTAGGATAGTCTTCCAGGATCAGAATTCTTGTGGGTCTGTAGGTGGCTGTGGAGCCCTATTCTTGATCTGCATCCTCTTCCGCAGTGAGGGCATTGGTTTCCAGGTGGAAGGCGGTCCCGGTCGGGGTTGGCTTGACGCGCTTCCTCTTGGCACGTTCTCTCCCTTTCACCTCCATTTGTGCCTCTTCAAATTCTGCAGCACTGCTGGTCACAGCTGACCTCCAGCTGGAGCTCAAGGGCCAGGGCTTCCCAGTTCTCAGTGTCTATGCCAGAGTTTTTAAGGTTGGCTTTGAGCCCATCTTTAAATCTCTTTTCCTGTCCATCACCCGGAAATGAAAAGCCATAGACCCTGCTATAGCACTGCGCTTAATTCCCGGCCCCCTAGAATTTTTGAGCTTGCATTAATCTCGGCCTGGCCTTTTAAATTGCCTTGAACAGGCAGGATTACTTTTACTATATACCGTATATACTCAAGTATATAACCCAAATATAAGCTGAGGGACCTAATTTTACCACAAAAAACTGGAAAATGTATTGACTCGAGTATAAGCCGAGGGTGAAAAATGTAGCTGCTACTGGTAATTGTCAGTAGGTTAAATGTTTTTGAGTATTTACACAAAACTGTCATTTAAGATAAGACTGCCCAACTCTGATTCAACCATTATTCTAACCTCCTTCAATGTAAATGTGCTTACCTATTACCTATAATGTAGAATAAAATAATAAATGTAATAACATGTAATAAAAATAATAATAGAGTAAATAATGGAAATTTAATAATAATAGTAATAATAATAATAATAAAGTAACAAATGTAATAAGTTAGATAATAACAATAATAAAGTAAAATAACAAATGCAATAAATGTAATAACACAGTAAAATCATGTAAATGTAATAATAGAGTAAAATAATAAATGTAATAAAAGTAATAATAGAGTAAAATAATGTAAATGTAATAATAATAACAGAGTACAATAATAAATGTAGTAAAATAATACTAATAGCAGAGTAAATTAATAAATAACCTTGACTTGAGTATAAGCCAAGGGGATTTTTTTCAGCCTAAAAAAGAGGCTGAAAAACTAGACTTATACTTGAGTATATACAGTATGTGTTATGGCAACAATTTTTATGCTTATATTGTTTTGTTAATCTTATGGTTATGTTGTTACAGAGTAAACAACATAACCATAAGATTAACAAAACAATATAAGCATTGATGATGTTACTTGATGATGTTACTTGGAAAGTCCTTCCGGGGAGATGGAGTGGTATATAAATCAAGTGTTGTTGTTGTTGTTGTTGTTGTTGTTGTTGTTGTTGTTGTTGTTGATAATAATAATAATAATAATAATAATAATAATAATAATATTATATTTTCCTGTGTCAATTTCAGAGCTGCAAGCAGACGAGGTGTACCTGTCCTGTGAAACTGCGCCATGTGGATCCGAAGAGACCCCACCGCCAGGACCTTTGTGGAAGATGCAAAGGCAAACGTCTCTCGTGCGATAGTACATTTAGTTTCAAATACATTATTTGAGCAATAGCAAAATCTTTTTTGTTTCGGCAGAAAGTTGGAATAGAAGATATTTTCTTTGGAAGCAGCAGGCTGCAGCAATGGAAAGCCTGCCAGTGGGCCTATGGTAAAGCAAAGTCACAAGGCAACCTAGTGTCTACTTTATTTGTTATGACCGCCTTAAAAGGAGGGAATCTGCTTGGCATTCTGTGACAAAACTCGATTTTATTTTGGTATGGAATGAACCAATTGGGAAGCAAGTTGAGGAGGCTTTTTTGGGGCTGGGGGCAAAAAGAAGTCTTCCTTAAAGTCACCCTCACAACCAAAAATGGGACAGATTTTGTTTCTAACGAAGCGTTTTGCTTCTTAGGAAAAGCTGCTGCATTGAAACTAGTGCACCCTGTGGGATCCAAAAGTGGAGGATAGAACTATACACTCAAACTTCACAGTGTTCTATGGCAGGCAAGTGAAATGAAGGCAGTGGTTGTATCAAAATATTAAGATCCGAGGTCTATCATGCGCCTGATACAGAAACAAGGAAGGAGGCACACGTGGCCTGATCCCAGAAGCTGTATGGCAGAGCCATAATGCCTTCTAAAGACTGTAGTGTATACTACTAAAGTATTGGATAGAATGGGACAATTGATCCAGGATCCAAGTTGTATGCACAAACTTGGGTGTTATCTTGAAAGCATGCTTAGAGAATTTTTTTTGGTAAGTGTTAAGGTGAATCTTACTGCTGAACATCAGTTTTGAGTTGTCGAAATTTCTTTTGTCTTGAGGCCAAGAAGGAGAATGTCATGTGCCTTAATATACTTTGTCCATTATGGAATAAATAGCTTTATGTATAAATAGTAAAGTGAGTGCGCTCATTCCTTTTATCTTGCACCTGATTCATATCAGTTATAATAATAATAATAAAACTTTCCCCAAGGGACTCGGTGCGGCTTACATGAGGCCGAGCCCAAAGTACATAAACAGTAAAAGCAATAAGAAAACAATCAATACAACAGTTAAAATAAATCTCATAAACAAAAGTAAACAATAGACTAACAATAACATTTAAAACCTATGGCTGGGCCAAATGTAATAATTTAAAATTTTAAAAATAATGCTGGACATGAACAAGGTGAGATATAACTGGGATAGATTTTTCAGGTAGAGATGGGGCGTGCAGACAATCCTAAATCAGTGATAAAGTGCATTTAGGGACATATTGCTGAGGGTATTTCCTTATTCTGGGAAGGCACACTGGAACAACCATGTTTTCAGGCTCCTCCTAAAGACTGCCAGAGTTGGAGCATGTCTGATGTCCCTGGGGAGCGAGTTCCAGAGTGGAGGGGCCACCACCGAGAAGGCCCTCTCCCCACCAATCGTGCCTGCAATACAGGTGGGAGTGCAAGCAGGGCCTCTCCAGATGATCGAAGAGATCGTGTGCGTTCGTACATGGAAATGCGGTCACGCAGGTAGGCGGGTCCCAAACCGTGCAGGGCTTTGTAGGTAAGAACCTGCACCTTGAATTGGGACCGGAGAATGAACTGCAGCCAGAGAGCTCCTTAAACAGGATGGTTGACCGCTCCCTGTAAGAAGCACTGGTTAGTAACCTGGCTGCCGCCCGTTGTACCAATTGAAATTTCCAGGCCGTTTTCAAGGGCAGCCCCATGTAGAGTGTGTTACAGTAATCCAATCTGGAGGTGACTAAGGCATGGACCACCCTGGCCAGATCCGACTTCACAAGGTACGATCGCAATTGGCGCACAAGTCTTAATTGTGCGAAGGCCCTCCCAGCCACTGCCAACGGCTGAGCTTCAAGCATAAGTGATGAGTCCAGGAGGACACCCAGACTGCGGACCTGTGACTTCAGGGGGAGTGTAACCCCATCCAGCACAGGTTGCCACCCTATACCCCGATCCGGTTTACAATTGACCAGGAGGACCTCTGTCTTGTCGGGATTGATCTTCAGCTTGTTCCTCCTCATCCAGACAGCCACAGCGGCCAGGCAGTTATCTGGATTCAGATGATACACATTTTAAACAACATAGAATTTCAATTAATGTTTTCTCATAAGATTATATTGGTGCTCTTTACAATTTTTCCGCCAAAGTGGGATAAGCTGGAGAAATAGTGGCTTGCGGGTGAAATCAAAGTCATCACAATGCTTATGGAGATCAGTTAAACAAGATCCACCCACTGGTAGAGGTTCAGTAATCCCACAAATTCCTGCTAATTTATATCGCATGTTAAATCTAAATGAAAGGAGCCCCCAGTGGCGCAGTGGGTTAAAGCGCTGAGCTTCTGAGCTCGTTGACTGAAAGGTCGCAGGTTCGAATCTAGGGGAGTGGCGTGAGCTTCCACTGTCAACCCCAGCTTCTGCCAACCTAGCAGTTCGAAAACATGCAAATGTGAGTAGATCAATAGGTACCGCTCCGGCGGGAAGGTAACGGCACTCCATGCAGTCATGCTGGCCACATGGCCTTGGATCTTCAGCTTAGAAATGAAGATTAGCACCACACCCCAGAGTCGGACATGGCTGGACTTCATGTAAAGGGGAAACCTTTATCTTTACCCAATCTAAATGAGCATCTTCATGCTTACAGGTTGCAGGGTTTTTGCTTTGTGTATAAAGTTGTCTTGTTTGTTGTACAACTTACATTAACTTGCTGTTTTTTAGTATCTTCAGTTTCAAGTGATTTCTCAAATACTGTGGACTTGACCTAACTTAACAAAGACCTTAAAGTGAATATATAGGTATACATTATGGGGTTAGTTAGGCACAGTATTTCTCCATTTGATTCTTCCTTCTTCTGTTCCTTCTGAAATGCATTCTTTTTGCAATCTTGGTTGGAACCAATTGCCTATTTCTGCCTTTATACTTATAGTACAATAACATAGTTTAGCTGTCTCTTAGGTTTGCCCCTGTGAAGACTGATAAAATGTCAGAATTTTGCTATTATTATAGCTGATTACTTACCAATTATTCCTCCACAAGTTTCACCATCTGCCCTAATATTTACGGTTCTCCCTGTACTTCCAGCTTTTGTAGTTAGATTTATGCTGTCTCATGTGCTGTATTTAACTGGGATCTTATTCATTGCCTTGTTAGAACACTGGGTGCTGTGAGTTTTCCAGGCTGAATGGCCATGTTCCAGAAGCATTCTTTCCTGACATTTCGTCTGCATCTATGGCAGGCATACTCAGAGGTTGTGAGGTCTATTGGAAACTAGGAAAACTGAGTTTATATATCTGTTGAATGTCCAGGGTGGGAGAAAGAACTTTTTGTCTCTCTGAGGCAAATGTGAATATTGGAATTGGCCACCTTGATTAGCATTGAATAGCCTTTCAGCTTCAAGGTCTGGCTGCTTACGGCCTGATTCCAGACATGAATCAATCAGGGCTAGCTAACATCTCTCAACAAAGGACTTCCCCAGGCAGTAAACGGTCAGATCTTGAAGCTGAAAGGCTATTCAGTGCGAATCAAGATGACCAATTGCAACATTCACACCTGCCTCAAACAGACAAGAGTTCTTTTTCCCATCTTGAATATTCCACAGATATATAAACCCCAATTGCAGATATATAAATCTCAATACAGCCTGGAAAGCTCACAGCAACCCAGTGATTCCAGCCATGAAAGTCTTTGACAACACCTTGTTAGACCAGACCAGTTGAAACACAATGGGACTCACGTAATTGTTATTCAAAAATGGATTTCCATGGAGTTGGGACAGCGAATGGGATTTAAGCTCCTATGTGAAATGTTGCTCAAGATGCCTTATGCCAACCTGTTCCCTACCTTGCTGATTCTGGTAAATGAGATGACACTGAGCATGTGAGAAATTGGTGAATTGATGGAGTTCTTAATTGAAAACACTAAGTGCCTCTGAGCCTATACAGAACACATTTCTATACAATGAGTCATTGTCTACTACCCCATGCAAAATGAAGATGCATGAGATCTCTGCGGAGATTTTCCTGCAATGATATTGACCTCAATCCTTGGCAACTTCAGTTGAAAAAAGATTCTAGATATCTAAGAAGCCCACAATTTTAGGCAGGGATGGAAAAGAATTGATTTAACAAGCTGTCTTATTTGGCCCCATGCTCCAGTAAACTGCTCAATGTATGACTTTCTAAGGAAAGGGGTGTGAACACATTTAGAACAGTACAGAAGGATTTATTATTTTTCACCTCAAATCAATAAAAATGAGAGGCTAAAAACCTTTGGCTTCCACTTAGAAAATGCCAACTATTTCCATACAGTTCAACAGGTAGTAGCCTTTGTGAAATTACTCAAGAATTCCAGTTTTGCACTGTAAAACTCAACATTGAAGTACATTTGGTTCTATGCACCCATGGCTGGAGAAAAATAAAAAAAAACTTCCAAAAAACTTTTGATTTTGCATTTAAAAAAAATGATTACCATTGACTGACCCATTGTATAAAATAGGACTTTAACATCCACAGATTTAGATACTCCCATAAGGTCCGTGTTACAGTAAGTCGTAATCGGATCAAGTTGTATGTGCGTTAAAGAAAACCGTATGCTGTTAATTATGTGCAGCTGCTAATGTAGGTCAACTAGTAAGTTTGGATCACAACTGGTGGGGTATAACTGTATGGTTTTTAGAATACAGTTCAGCCTTTGCTCGACCATTTCTACTGCTTTCTCATTTGGATGAAGATGAAGTCTTATTCTGTATTGCTTACAAAGACTATGGAACTTTGTTGCACTGTTTGTAACATTGCAAGTTTATGTTTTAACTCTGCTGATAAGAGTAAAGTTTTTCTGTTCTTTTTCCTCTTGCCTGGGTGCAATGTTATTGTGTCTTCTGCTTTGGACCAGATTAAATTCCGCTTAAACTCAAGAGTCCGGGGAACCAAACCCCTGTGGATATGAAGAGCCCCCAGTATGAACTAGTTTTGCAAAGTAAATAAACAGTGTCTGAAACTAATGTCTTGGTGCCTGAACTGTACAAGACACGGTGGACACAATTTGGAAGGATGGCAACACAAGAGTCCCTCTAAAAAGATGGCTTCATTAAACTATTGATATCATTTGAAGAATTCACTAGTTGTGTTTTTAGTAATTAAAGGGTGGAGCTGAGCTGAAACTTGAAATTACAAAGATGTAGAGTTGAGGAATTTTTGTAGCTGCAGACTGGCACAACCTGGGGGTCACAACCAGACACAGTGAAGACATCTGCCCTTGCCAATCTTAAGAAGTGGGGCTACAAAGTTGAATCCACGACATGCGAGTGTGGACTCTGCTGCTACTCTGCTGCTGAGTACGCATGCCCAGTGTGGAATACTTCACACCACACTAAAACAGTGGGTGTGGCTCTTAATGAGACATGCTGCATTATCACAGGGTGTCTGAGCCCTACACCACTGGAGAAATTACACTGCCTAGCTGGTATTGCACCACCTGACATCCACCGGGAAGTAGCAGCCAATAGTGAAAGGACCAAGGCAGTGACATCCCCAGCTCATCCCTTGTTTGGGTATCAGCCAGCACGTCAATGACTTAAATCAAGAAATAGTTTTCTTAGATCTACAGAGACACTCGCTGGAACACCTCAGCAAGCAAGAGTCCAAAAGTGGCAGGCTCAAACCCAGCACCTCAATCCGTGGGTGATACCAGATGAGAGACTCCCTCCTGGGCACACAGAAGACTGGGCGACTTGGAAGGTGCTGAACAGACTGCGCTCTGGCACCACGAGATGCAGAGCCAATCTTAAGAAATGGGGCTACAAAGTTGAATCCACGACATGCGAGTGTGGAGAAGAGCAAACCACTGACCACCTGCTGCAATGCAACCTGAGCCCTGCTACATGCACAATGGAGGACCTTCTTGCGGCAACACCAGAGGCACTCCAAGTGGCCAGATACTGGTCAAAGGACATTTAATCAACTACCAAGTTGCAAAATTTGTGTTTTTTTATCTGTTTGTTTGTTTTGTTCTGTTAGAAATGTAATACAATGGTATGGTTGCTGATGACACAATAAATAAATATGTAGCTGCAGAGCTCTATTCCCTCTGCTTCCTTTGTAAAATCTTTGGATTGAGGATATGTCAACACGATTCCACTAAAACTGAATAACTGCAGTAGGAGGAATCTTGTCCTCACAGTTACTGTTGCTTGAGTATTGATAGCCTCAGGTGTCTTCTTCAAATAAAGAGAGCATGCAAAACTGAAGAACTGAGGAGAGCATGCAAAAAAGCAAAACCAAAGATAAGCATGAACAGAGGAAAAATTGAATTAGGATGAGAGGTAAACATGTGATAGGCACAACAGGGGTATGTAAACGATATTCCGGTTTCTGCCTCACTCACCACATCCTCTTGAGAAAATACACAAAGTAGCAGATAGGAATTTTTATTTTACTGGGCCCTCCCCAAAACAAAAACACAAAAATGAGGCTGATAAAAGATGTAAAAAGTATGATACACCACTAAAAACTACATATAGCCCTGTAAGACCTTATTAAATAATTAAGAACACCATCTACAGTACCACAGAGTCTTCAAAATAATTAAATTTTATCAGAGTCAAAAGAAAAATACAGTGATTATGATTATGAATGTGCCATGTCTAGTTAAACAAGAGATTTGGAAATGTAACAGAACTTCTATCAGCAGTCCAAGAATATGCACAGTGCGTTCAATTAATGCATTTCAGCATAATTATATGTCTAATAGGGTTAATTTCCCCAAGGAAACAAAAAGGCCATGCTAAAGAGATTTGTGTCTACATTCTACAGTCTGGAATTTTCAGAGCCAGTTTTCTGAAATGTTTTTGTTGAAATCACAGTGGGAAAGACAGATGCCTAAAATACAGACCTTTATTCCTTCTGAATTAGAGGAATTGCGGGACTACATTCATACTTTTTGATTATATAAAATTGTTTTGGTTTCAACAGAGTTTAGTTAATCTTGTGCTACCGATTTTTGAAATATATTGTCGAGTTTGGAAACCAAATGGTTTTTCCCTTCTATATACAGTCCCAAATTCCTTAGCTTTAAATACGAGTCATAAAGACAGACACACGTGAGTTTAAACCTCCCGAACTCTGCAGAATACAGAGATAATTGGTCATGTATTCCATGGTCATGTTGTCTATTAACAGCCACTATTCTTGCCCCCCTCCCTTGCTTAGCTTTATACACTATTCTCATGTAACAGTGCATTGTTCAACAAAAATACTGAATTTTACACTATACAATTTCTAGAATATGTACAGGATAAAATAAGTTAACTTTCCTAATGAGTTGCGGAGGGGCAACATAAATCTTTAATATACATCTTAAAGTCTCTGCAGGCAGCTACTTTTTGGTTAGTCCATTATCAATAAACACTGATCAGAAAACTGAGCAGCATTCTCAACAAGTTAGAGATATATTATCATTTTTTTTGAAAACTGGAAATTCCAGTTTTAAAATATTATTAAATGCCTTAACATTTACAAATTAGAAGTTAGAGCTAAAAATATTTCCCACCCAAAATAATCTTGCAGTGCTTTCGCTAGGCATGCTCAGACCTCATCGCACATCATCCATACCTTCAAAATGCAATTGTCAGAGAAACATTCATTCCAACTTTCACACATAATCCACCATGACCAGACAGAACTAAATACAACGTTTTGATGAATCCATACGGTTTGCAGTTTTAACTCCTGCATTCTGACAGCACATTCCTCGCGACGTCGCCAACTGTATACATCAGACATTGTTACGATTATTATTTTTTAACTGCCTGAAAACCTCATAGGTCTTCAGCCTTGATTTTAGCCTCATTTCCCCCGCTTTACATAGTCTCAGTATGGAGAGGCTATTGCAACAACTCTTACATTTCTGCTGTTGCAGAAAAGAATGCAGTTATAGGCATTGTTTATAGCCCTTTTTTTCTAATGCAGTTTTTATAAGATTATTATTTAAAAAGTGTTCACGCTGCCCATATCGCCACTTTGGAAGAAAGCATTAAGATGCCGTGAGTTTCCAAGATCCTCGCCTCTGAATTCTGTCGCTTCTTCCAGTGACGTTCTTTAACAGTAATCAAAAATATGATGCCTTCCGGAAAGAGCAGGTTTTTCAACAGATATGAAAGGTGCCGGATAATAATGAGACTTTAGCTTTAGTCTTTCTGTGGGACAGTGATTCAAAATCCAGTGCTCAAACTTCTCACAGCTGTATGTTTGGCAAGAAGCTGATATGACTGCACCATCCGCAGGGATTCCCGGATTTCTAAATTCAGTTCCATTAGCTTTGAACTGGCTTCTGACATATCTTGCTTTGAGCCAACTACTGCAAAGCTGCCAGTCTGACCCAGGGTCTGGTGACGGAAATATATGTGTAGCAGAGTTTGTATGGGATCATCTTCAGGGTTGCCAAATATATCATTGGGCCAAATGCACCTGGAAGGAAGAAAATTACTAATTACTAATAATCTATATAAATAAAAATGTAATGTTCGTTTGTGGGATTAACAGAACTCAAAAACCAGTGGATCAATTGACACCAAATTTGGACACCATACACCTAACAACCCAATGTATGTCCTTCACTCAAAAAAATTTGATTTTGTCATTTGGGAGTTGTAGTTGCTGGGATTTATCGTTCACCTACAATCAAAGAGCATTCTGAACTCCACCAATTATGGCATTGAACCAAACGTGACATACAGGACTCCCATGACCAACACAAAACACTAGAAGGGTTTGGTGGGCATTGACCTTGAGTTTGGGAGTTGTAGTTCACCTACATCCAGAGAGCACCGTGGACTCAAATAATAATGGATCTGGACCAAACTTGGCACGAATATTCCATATGCCCAAATAAGAAACACAGATGGAGTTTGGGGAAAATAGACCTTGATATTTGGGAGTTATAGTTACTTGGATTTATAGTTCACCTACAATCAGAGAGCATTCTGAACCCCACCAACGATAGAATTGGGCCAAATTCCCACACAGAACCCCTATGACCAATAGAAAATACTTAAGGCCATTCAGTCCAACTCCCTTCACCAGGGCAAGAAAACATGAACAAATACTGGGTTGTTGTAGGTTTTTTCGGGCTATATGGCCATGTTCTAGAGGCATTCTCTTGCAAGAGAGAATGCCTCTAGAACATGGCCATATAGCCCGAAAAAAACCTACAACAATCCAGTGATTCCAGCCATGAAAGCCTTCAACAATACAGTAAACAAATACTGTTTACCCACTAGCATAAAGAAATTACATGTATTAGAAACTAACACTTTCTCATTACTTTATTTTCCAGATCACCAGACTGGGCCACAGCAAAGTGTGGCAGGGGACAGCTAGTATTACAATATAGTGGTACAGTACAATATAGTAATATTTAATACTGATATTGTACTATGCTAATAATATAATATATTGTATGTATATATATCTTGAAAGCCGCTCTGAGTTCCCTTCGAGGTGAGAAGGGCGGCATATAAATGTCAGAAATAAATAAATAAAATTATTTATTTATTTATTTATTTATTTATTTATTTATTTATACATACGCTTGTATACCGCTAATATCTCAGCCTAAGTCGGCGACTCATTGCGGTTTACAACATTTAAAAAACAGTGTTCAGTTTAAAAGCATAAAACACATATACAATACAAATTATTGGGCCACCAATAATAATCCCATGCATCTCATAACTGGAATCGCAGTCCAAAATTCATCGTCCATGATTACCAATCCTTTAGTCATCAAAATTCGTTGCAACGGATTAACCGAATGCTTGTTTAAACATCCATGTCTTCAATCTATTCCGAAACACCATCAGCGAGGGGGCTGATCGTACCTCTATGGGGAGGGTGTTCCAAGCCGAGGGGCCACCACAGAAAAGGCCCTGTCTCTCGTTCCCGCCAGCCGCACGTGTGAAGCCGGTGGGATAGAGAGCAGGGACCCCCCAGAAGACCTTAGGGTCCTGGCGGGCTGATAGGCTGAGATACGTTCGGATAGATAAGTTGGGCCAGAACCGTTTAGGGCTTTAAAGGCCAACGCCAGCACTTTGAATTGAGCCCGGTAGCAGATCGGCAGCCAGTGGAGCTGGTGCAGCAGAGGAGTTGTATGCTCCCTGCGCCCCGCTCCTGTTAGAATCATGGCTGCCGCCCGTTGGACTAATTGGAGCTTCCGGGCTGTCTTCAAAGGCAACCCCACGTAGAGAGCGTTGCAGTAGTCAAGACGGGATGTAACCAGAGCGTGGACTACCGTGGCCAAGTCAGACTTCCCAAGGTACGGTCGCAGTTGGCGCACAAGTTTTAACTGTGCGAATGCTCCCCTGGTCACCGCCGAAACCTGGGGTTCCAGGCTCAGCGATGAATCCAGGATCACACCCAAACTGCGAACCTGCGTCTTCAGGGGGAGTGCGACCCCGTCTAACACAGGCTGTAACCCTATACCCTGTTCGGCCTTGCGACTAACCAGGAGTACCTCTGTCTTGTCTGGATTCAATTTCAATTTGTTCGCCCCCATCCCGACCGTCACAGCGGCCAAGCACCGGTTCAGGACCTCGACAGCCTCCTTAGTAGCAGGTGGAAAGGAGTGACAGAGTTGGACATCATCTGCGTACAGATGACATCGCACTCCGAAACTCCGGATGATCTCACCCAGTGGCTTCATGTAGATGTTAAACAACATGGGAGACAGTATTGAACCCTGAGGAACCCCACAAGACAAAGGTTGTGGGGTTGAACAGGAGTCTCCCAGTAACACCTTCTGAGACCGACCCTCGAGGAATGAGCGGAGCCACTGCAGAACAGTACCTCCAAGACCCATCCCCGCGAGGCGTCCCAGAAGGATACCGTGGTCGACGGTATCCTCATTATTTCTCAGAGACATCTTTCACAAGTCTTTGTATTTGCAATGTTCTAGGCTTATGCACACCATTCTAAATCTATCATTCCAACAATGTACACGAAACTTCTACTTTTACTTAATTTTACTATATTTAAAAATGATTTAAAATTTCCCCTTTTGATATTGAGAAACATCGCACATTTGGCTCCACTGTACCTGAAGGCTTTGACCTGTGCTATCGCAGACACAAATTCTTTGCTCCTCATGGTTTCAATAAGAGAGTGAATGGCAGTCTCAGTGCTGGCCTGGGAAGCCTCTGAGATTTCCATTTCTTCGATGCCACTGTCAGAAGCAGATTCTGCTTCCTTCAGAAAAACCTCTAGCTGTGCAAGCTCCTCTGACATATTTATTACCTAAAGCAAAACAAAAACAAAAAGATCAATTTTCAACTGACGTCAATTTAAGCTTCAATGACAGAATGTTCTTTGTGTTTACTAAAAATTTAAGAGGGTGTAAATCAAGTATGGGCAAACTTCAGACCTCCTGGTGTTTTGGGCATCAACTCATCAACAATTCTTACCGGCTGTTAGGAATTGTGGAGGTTGAAGTTCAAAACACATTGAGAGCCACCTGGAGGGCCACATACCTGGTATAACCCCAATCCCAACCATATGAATCTGGGTTACACTTGTCCCTATGGATCAGTAGTTCTCAATCTATGGGCCCCAAGTGGTTTGGCTTACAACTTCCAAAAATCCCAGTCAGTTAACCAGCTGTTAGGATTTCTGGGAGTTGAAGGCCAAAACATCTAGGAACCCATAGGTTGAGAACCACTGCTATGGATAGTCCCACCAAGATCACTGGTATTGACACAATCCATCTGTGGTCTTTCCCCTGCTGTCTCTGCCTTCCCTTCCAATACCACTCCCCACTTTTCATGACGGGATCTCTCTCCATGAACCAGCCTGAGCTCTTAGATCCTCAGGGGAGGCTCTCCTTTCGCCCTTGCCATTATCACAGGCTCATCTTGTAAGCACAAGGGAGAGAGCCTTCTCCTCTGTGGCCCCCCGACTCTGGAACCCTTTGCCTGGTGAGATTAGGAAGGCCCCCACCTTAGAAATTTTCAAGAGGGATCTCAAAACCTGGCTTTTCCGATGTGCTTTTGGAGAGTAGCCATATTATCATACAGAGTTGTTCCCCCTCAATGGTTTTTGTCCCCAGAGTATATTTCCCCACCTGTATGAAGGTCTATATTTATGACCCAGTTCCTTACAAGTTTCTCCCCCACAAACAATCTGCTCCATCCCTATCTCATCCTGATTTTAGTATTTTTAGTATCTTAGTTTTATCTTGCACATGCGGCCCGCTCATTGTTACTTTATTTTATTTTACTGTGTATGATTTTGCTTTATCGTTTTTATACTTATATGTTGTATGTATTTTACTGTGTTGTTATTGTGCTTTGGTTTTACTTTATTGTAATATGCTGTTGGGCTTAGCCTCATGTAAGCCGCCGCAAGTCCCTATTGGGGGGATGGTGGCGGGGTATTAAATAAAATTATTATTATTATTATTATTATTATTATTATTATTATTATTATTATTATTATTATGCCTGTATCAAGCTCTTTGACAGCCTGAGCCAGAACATGTCAGCTGCCTTTAAATCCAGTTTGGAGAAAAAGCAGGATATAAATGAGTTAACAACAAGAAGTGCCAGAAAATTATCTAGGAAACAGTCTCAGAGAATCTGTCCTTGTAGTGCTAAATGCTATGGCTGCTTCAGACTCAGGATTTAGGTCTTTCTGCTTTATGTGCTGCTTTCAAAAAGCAGCAATGAAAATTCAAGCACTTTTGAATAAGGGTTGATTATAACAAGGGTGTAGACCGTCACAGTGAGGGAATGCAATATAAATATTTTAAACGGGAAGAAACAAATTTTAAAGTTTTTAAATAAATGTAACTATATTCTCATAACAGTTTATAGGAGCCCCCAGTGGCACAGTGGGTTAAACCCTTGTCTAGTAGGACTGAAGACCGATAGGTCACAGGTTCGAATCCAGGGAGAGCGCAGATGAGCTCCCTCTGTCAGCTCCAGCTTCTCAAGTGGGGACAAGAGAGAAGCCTCCCACAAGGATGGCTTCCCCTGGGCAACGTCCTTGCAGACGGCCAACTCTCTCACACCAGAAGCGACTTGCAGTTTCTCAAGTCGCTCCTGACACGACAAAATAATAATAATAACAGCTTATGTGCTGGAATTTATCGATTTCTATGAATACACCCCAATGACCTATTCAACTTCCATGTCTTTTGGGCTTCAGCTCCCAGAATTCCTGACCATTGAACAAGCAGGTTAGGGCTTCTGGGAGTTGGAGTCCCAAACACCTGGAGCATCACAGGCTGAAGAGGCCTGCTCTAAAGGCACCGGAATACGCCTGATCTTGGAAGTTAAGCAGAATCAGCCTTGGTTAGTACTTGGATGGGAAACTACCAATGAATACCAGGGTTGGAGGCTCTATGTCAGAGGAAAGAACTGGCAAAACCATCTCTGAGTACTCCTTGAAAACTCTGTGAAATACAGGTGACCTGAAGGCATGCGGGCGCAGGAAAATACCACATGTATGATTCACAGGGACCACGACAGGGAATCTTGCTTCAAATGCTCTGAATGTTCACAATCTGAATATTTGAAACATTTGGTATGTGTGAAGTTGAGGTTTGCATCAATAAAAAATTCTTTGAACAATGGTCCAGGTAGTAAATTGCAAACTGGTTAAGCGCCATTAGAAATACAACAGAAGGCAGCATATAAACTGTTCATAACACTATGTAACAAAATTTGAAAAAAAAATCTGTTCCTGGTTTGAAAGTGTTATTTCCTGTTTAAGTGTGTGGTACTTACTTTGAAAGTAGTTGTTATACTTCAGAAACTTCATTTTTGTGGCCACTACAAACTATGTTGAATTGGTTGAGACTTTGTGAGATATTCATTAATTTTTTTTAGCAATATGTGCTGCAGAATGCCCCTCAAAAAAGTTTTTGCAGTTTAATAAACCTTTCCCATGTTTTTATGATAGGACCAATTAGGAAATGACATTTATATCCCAGGAATAAAAATTGTGTTGCATAGCGTAATGGGCATTTATGCTCTTTTCTTTGCGAATAGGCTTAACCTTTCAAGAAAAGATTAGAATCATAGAATCAAAGAGTTGGAAGAGACCTCATGGGCCATCCAGTCCAACCCCCAGCCAAGAAGCAGGAATACTGCATTCAAATCACCCCTGACAGATGGCCATCCAGCCTCTGTTTAAAAGCTTCCAAAGAAGGAGCCTGCACCACACTCCGGGGCAGAGAGTTCCACTGCTGAATGGCTCTCACAGTCAGAAAGTTCTTCCTCATGTTCAGATGGAATCTCCTCTCTTGTAGTTTGCTTACAATACCACCACCAAGATTTTCCTCTCTAACCAAAGAATCCAGTACAAAGACAGTGGTCTCTTCTTTACCTCTGCTTCCTTTTTGATCACATCCACTTGGCTTATAAGTTTACAATAGGCTTGGAAGAGAAGCAGCAACTGGAAATGCAATTTATATAGCCTTCGACACAATTCTAACTCCTATAAATGAAAAAAAAAATACACAAAGTCATTATCTGCAGTATGCTAATTAGGTATATGACAATCAGACAATAAAGTTATACATAGCTTTCTGGTACAAAATTTACAATATAAAAATTATTTGCTTACTACAGAGAAGGAAATGTTAAAAAGATATACAAACTAATGTAGCAAGAAGATGAAAAAAGATGGAAGTTGCAGTCACGTCAACACTCATAATTAAGAATAAAAAGTGGCACTGCCCTTACGGATTATATATAAACTTTACCTTTTAAGAAGGGCAATTGTATTTCCAAGGAAGAAAAAAAGAGAAAGGAATTTTTATGACATTTCAGAAATGCCATGCTCTAGCAGGGGAGAGATTGCTTCTTTTTCTTTTGGTAATGTCAGCTCTAATTCTAGTTCGTATAACAAAGATAATATTTTACACAAACATGTTTCTTCCCCCAGTTAGTAAATTTATGGAAATACATGTTCTTAGTCTTTTTGATTACTGAGTAGTGTAACAACTTCAAAGTTTTGATCAAATTTGTATTAAACTTTCTCTGCTTATTTTTACATGTAGATGTATCAAAGGAGATGGTTAATGTTGTTTAAGAATAACAAAACAAAGCAAAGCAAATGGGAATGGAATCACTTGGTATAGATTATAGATTTTTACCATCTAAGCGTGGCTGACGATTCAGGCGTTAGAGAACTGAAGCAAACATTAATACGATAATAATTTATTATGAGACAAAGGTACACCACATATGGACAAGAGACAAAAATGGAAGCCAGTTTGTTTGCTGGCATGGTTAAATATTTGATAAATCAAGAGCCATCACTTACTGCTAGAATTTCCAAATGCTAAGCAAGAAGGTGTGCGGGTCACAAAAAATACGAAAAAGAAAAAAGATAAAGAATTAGTATAGAAGTTCATTCTAGATGGGGTCTTAGTTCTCCCAGATAAAACTAAAAGGAGAAAAAAACACCTAAGTCTCAAAGAAAGAGTCAATGCATGTATAAAAAGACTAACTGGACTTTAAAGGATTGATAGATACACTACTTGCACTTCTCTCACACAATATGACAAAATTATATTGTGACGAGTAGGAAATATCCGTAAAATTCTAACCCTAAACTGGACTAAGGAAACATTTGAGATAAAAGGCTGGAAGCATCTATTAATCAAAACAGTAAACAAACTTCACACGTTTCTAAGGAACTATATCAATCTCAAAATTGATATAATCACATTGTTCCCTACAGTATCACATTAGAGTGTATGCTGCAGAAAAAAGCATGAGAGTGAGATGGGGAAGGAAGGATATTACTAATCTGTGAGAGAAAAAATCAGGTATTTTCTCAGAATATCAAACACAAATATCAATATTTTTAGCTGTCCAGGGCTAGAAGCTACTCTGAAATGCTGCCAGCCTAAACAAGGACCCTAGCTGTTTTTCTCAGCACAATAATGTGGTGTGACTATGTCTGGAGGATGGCACGCAGGTTGTTGTACGTTCTACAGCTAAACTACCATTCTAAATAATACAGGAGAGGAACAACTAGCAATGTTTGCATTAGGCAGCGATTATCCCTTTATTGTCCCCTCCTGGGAAAAAAAAGGCAAAACATCTGACAACAGAGAAGCCTTCACAAATTCTACTTCTCCTTCTTTTCTGGTCTCTCATTCCCCTTAATAAGAGACAGATGGGGAAATTAGAAGGAATTCAGCTATTTTTTATGATATTTTAAATTATTTTATCATGATTCAATACATTGTTTGTTTTATAGCAGATACATATTATTCAATGCAACCTACCATGCTTTAACTTTTGGCATCTAGTGTTATTTTTCTGCTTATACATAAGAAGGAATTCAGTTAAAATGAAAAGAATTATAAAGAATCTGGTGAAAAAAGATAGCACCGGGACTGTGGTACAGCTGGCTGGGAGTCAGCTGCATTAAGATCACTACTGACCGAAAGGTCATGAGTTCGAAGCCAGCCCGGGTCGGAGTGAGTTTCCAACCAATTTGTGTAGCTTGCTGTCGACCTTTGCAGCCCAAAAGACAGTTGCATCTGTCAAGTAGGAAATTTAGGTACCGCCTATGAGGGGAGGCTAATTTAACTAATTTACGATGCCATAAACATCCCCAGCAAGCCTGCAAGGAATGAGGAAGTACTTCATCAGTGTCACAAATGGACAGTGAAGCTACAGCTCCCCTGGTGGCCAGAATACCCTAATGAAAAGCTGGAATGTTAAATAGCCTCTGAGTGTTTGTCTATATATGTTGTGTATCTATGGCATTGAATGTTTGCCATGTATAGGTGCATTGTAATCTGCTCTGAGTCCCCTGAGGGGTGAGAAGGGTGGAATATACCATATATTCTGGCGTATAAGACTACTTTTTAACCCAAGAAAATCTTCTCAAAAGTCAGGGGTTGTCTTATACGCGGGAGTAGTTTTATACACGGGAGTTGTCTTATACACTGGAGTAGCCTTATGCATGGGAGTCGTCTTATATGCGGGAGTAGTCTTATAGAGCGGGTGCTGAAACTTCTAATCCGGACTTGAGAATCCGTGGTTGCTGCTTATTGTGGAGGGAACTCAAAAATGGTAGTGGCCGCATCCCTGCCGTATGCAGCAACTGTATGAAAGCATTAACGGCGACGCTGTACAAATATGATAGAAGAAAATCCATTCATCAGGATTCGTGGACTTAATGCGGTCCCGATAGTGAGATGAAGGGGTGCCTCACCGGGAAGGTGTAAGTGAAGGGCGGAGCAAGCTGCAGGCGTCCAGAGCGCCCGGGGTATGGAAAAAAGAGGTAGTGTGGCTCTGGGCCCAAAAAAAACACCTCTTTTACCTGTCTGGCCCGCCCTTGTATCCTATTACCGTACCTCCTGCCTCTCAGATCTCGCTCCTGAAGACTGCAGTGAAGTGGTGCAGGTGCGCATGTGCGAGATCTGAGAGGCAGAGAAGGAGGTACAGTAATAGGAAAATTACCATATTGAAATCAAATCTGATGCTTTTAAAATTTTTATTTGGTGTGTGTTGGAAGAGGGGTAGTCTTATATGGCGAGTATATCCCAAACTCTATATTTTAACTGGAAAAGTTGGGGGTTGTCTTATTTATATTTATATTATTTATATACGGGTAAATACTGCAAATAAATAAATAAATAAATAAATAAATAAATAAGTATTCTTAGTAGCTTTATAAATTCCGCTTCCTGTCCAAGAAAACAGACTATCGCTGCTGCTAAGGTTCTTTCCTGTGTTACAGACAGACTTGTTCCAATCACAAAGTGCTGAAAATACATTCCTTTAAAACAAATACTGGTTCTGTACAGGAGGGCCTTTTGCAAATATAGAACAGACAAGATTTTCAATCACTCTACTAATTGTTTCAAACAAACCTTGCTAGGCAGGTCATAGGTATGTGCCCAGGACTAATTAGATTAGATCCAGCATGGCTTCTGCCCTAGACACTAATTTATCTGATCAGCAGAGAGGCAGAATACCAATTCGTTGGCTTGCAACTACAGCTGCATAAAGGCAGGCATGTGCCGGTACGCAGATGCTATCAGCTTTGCTTATCGGCACTGTGTTATTAAAACCAGACCAAAGCCGGGCTTCTGACTTTAATGGGGAAAAAAGAATCCATTATTCTTAAGCCAATACTTATAACACTCCACATTTTCCCCACAGATGGTTGCTGATAACTGAAATGAAAAAAAAAACATTTTTACTCTGTCTCGGCACATCAACACTATTACTAAAGCACACAGAGAGATTTCTTATTAATATACGACATGAAATGGAGCCAGTAAGTGGAAGCAGATACCAACCTGAGCATCTGTGGTGGTTCCATGAATACCGTCATCTGTACCAAATGTCCTTTTGCAGTCTTTCAGCCACTGAAAAATAATAAAAAAGAAGAAACCTGAAACTTTCGGGAAAACGCAGCCTAATCATAACAAGAAAGACCATGGAATGGCCTGAAGAACCGAGAGAATGTATTTCGCCTGGCAGTAAGAATTACAAGAACTGTTGTTTACTGATTGAGGAGACTTCTCTGGAGATGATCTGACAATATATACGGTGGATGTCTTAATCACAGAGAGAAGAGAAGAAATCATTATTCTAAAACTTTGTTTAATGCTAAATATATTTCAAAATATAATTTGAAGCCATGATGGAGCCACCTAAATGCTCTCTCATGAGTCTTACTGGATGCTATAATGACTTTTTCGGTTACCTATGTACACCAGAGAAGAAGAAAAACATTACTTCCATCAACTCAATTTAATAATGACTACTTAGTGAATTAGCTACAAGCGTGCACTTATCTAGAGAATGACTGATGTTTTCTAAACACTGTGATGTCAATTCTAATTAGTGGCAGTGATGCCAATACATTTGTACATCTGTTCTTCCCTCTCCTTTAGCTGATAACACAATATGAGAATAAATCACTCAAAACAGATATGTAGAGTATCTTTGCCAGTACCTAGGGCCAAATACCTATTTTATTTTGCCCTTGAGCTTTAGCTTGTGGGCAGAATGCACAATTTCAAGGGAAAATGGGAATTCTTATGGCTTCTCCACTAATATCCTATTGCGTTTCTAATGTATAAATAGTAGAGGAAGAACAACAGAGTTCTGTGAGCTCTAGTAAGATCCTCCAGTCCTGATGACCTTTGGTGCTCATGGAGGATTCCTCCATACTTACTTCACACTAACAACAACAACAACAACAACAACAACTTTATTTATATTCTGCCCTATCTTCTTGAGGGGACTCAGAGCAGATTTTAACAAACGAAAAAGGCAACCATTCAATGCCTTGATACAACCATAGATACACATACAATAATGAACCAGCCAAATCCCAAAATGAACCAACACCTAAGAACAAATTATAACACACAACTTAGAATGATCTGTCAATTAAATTATATCTAACAAAAATATTAACATAAATTTAAAAAACCATCAAAGGTTCAGTTACAATAATATTTAACATTAATTATGTAGCCAGTAATGTCAACAAAACCAACAGTACCAACAAAGCCAGAGTACAAAAGCAATTTCCAGTTGGAGGTATATTAGCTATGTATAATCATCTAATATTCCTCCTCTCCATATGCTAATGAGCAAATATTGGTTTTTAATTGTTTTTTTAAAGAAGAGGGGGCCATTTTTATTTCTTTAGGGAAGAAGTTCCAGATGTGGGGGGTGATGACAGAGAAGGCCCTTTCTCTTGTTCCCACCAGCTGTACTTGAGACGGGGGTGGGACTGAGAGCAGGGCCTCCTCCGCTGATTGCAGTGTTCGAGTTGTTTGCAGGAGGAGATATGATTTGTTAAATAGCCTGAGCCTGAACTGTTTAGGGTTTTAAACATATTGATCAGCACTTTGTATCTAGCTCAGAGGCAAACTGACAGCCAGTTGAGCTGCCACAACATGGGAGTGGATCTCTCCCTGTACAGAGCCCTGTATAGTAATCTGGCTGCTGATCTCTGTACCAGTTGAAGCTTCTGAACTGTCTTCAAAGGCAGCCCAACATAGAGTGTTGCAGTAGTCCAAACAGGATGTGACCAAGGCCATAGCCAAGTCTGGTGTCTCAAGGTATGGACACAGCTGGCGCACAAGAATAGGATTTTAAATGAGCTCTAGACCAGGGGTCCTCAAACTTTTTAAACAGAGGGCCAGGTTGCAGTCCCTCAAACTGTTGGAGGGCCGGATTATAATTTGAAAAAACAAAAACAAAAACCATGAATGAATTCCTATGCACACTGCACATATCTTATTTGTAGTGCAAAAAACACTTAAAAACAACACAATAATTAAAATGAAGAACAATTTTAACAAATATAAACTTATTAGTATTTCACTGGGAAGTGTGGGCCTGCTTTTGGCTGATGAGATAGGATTGTTGTTGTTGTGTGCTTTCAAGTCATTTCAGACTTAGGTTGACCCTGAGTGAGGGCTGTATAAATGACCTTGGAGGGCCGTATCCGGCCCCCGGGCCTTAGTTTGAGGACCCCTTCTCTAGACTGTGCTTGGTCCACCAATGCTGCTTTGGTCCCCATTTCACTTGCTTCATCACCACCAGCTTTCTAGAGTACCAGGGACCCGATGTGGCTCTGCTTTGTGAAAGGAGATGCTCAGGAGTGATTGGGTCAACTGCCCTGGCAACCTCCGTGTTCCAGAGGTCTGCCAGAGCCTTGACAGAATTACCTACCGAAGTGGCAGGAAAATCCCCAAGAGCTATCAGGAATCCATCTGGATCAATAAGCCTTCTGGGACGGACTTTCCTAATCAGTCCCCCACCCCTAATCAGTCCTTCACATTCTCCTTTCGATCTGTCTAATGAAGATTTCTTTAAGCAACTGCTTAATTATGTACCGTACTTGCCTGTGATCTCACTTCCTTTCCTTCTATTTATATCTGAATAGATTGATATATGATCCCATATAACATAAGTAGTATTTTTTACACTAGATAAATATGCTTACTTATGACAAATGTGAACTGAAAGTTAACAGGGTGAAGAGAAAAGCTTAAGAAAACACCCCAAAAGAGCTTAAGGCAAAACAAATTCTCTGTTTCAAGTTTAGACAAAAAGTACGAGGTCAATAGCAAAGGAAACAGAGGCAAACAGACTGCCCTGACAGAGTCCTACAGCTATATCTGTTTTTATATCACCTGCTCCACTCCTGACCATTAGGTTGGGTTGGAGGTTGCACAAAACAGGGTCATGTTGCTCTGGGCTCATTCCTATCCAGCCTAAATAAAGGATAAACTATGAAAAGATAAGCAGCTACACCAGCCAAGATTGAGTTTCTCCCTGCTCTACAATATATTTGCATACTGTTAATTTATATCACTGTGCATTCACTTCCACATCATGCTTTGCCTTGCTGAAATCCACATATATGTTCCAGAGTGAGGTTTCAGTACTGAAATTAGTTTCGTTCCATGAATAGATATTCCAAACACAATGTAAGTCCAATATTTGGCAATATACAGCCTTCCTAAGTGTAGCACATTTAGTAGGTTCCATATATACATCAGTCTTCCTATTTGTGTAAATGGTTGAGTTCTACTAAAGTATTTGAAGGACCTAAAATGTCTATTTAATATTTTTTTCTGGCAATTAATAAATTCTACTAACACTACATTTTGGGTATTATTGCTGTCTCTGCGTTTGAAAATCTCAAAGCAGTCTGGATGTTATTTATGAACAAGAGCTCGATGACTAGTAGCTTTAGTGACCTCTGTCATCCTAGTGCAAGTGAGGCTTTAAACATAAATTTTCTACAGTGACACTACTAAAGACTGCCTAGGGATCTATTCCTGTATTCTGCCTGTTTTTCAGTGCTGCCTTTGTGAGTGATGAGGGCAGGCCAAAGGTGTACATAGGTCACCTGGGTATTTCTGAAGCAACTGAAGTCCTTCAGACAGCACGAATTAATTTCACAGTTTACATCCAGAAAAACAAACTTGTCCTGAATACAAATCCTGTGTATTCAAACTTTTGCCATATTTGATAACTACTCTTTGTAGTAGAATAATCTAACTAATATTATGAAAAAAATCTTAAGGAAACCCAGTGTTATTCCTCTTTAGCATTGCTTTTGAAAATAATTAGATATACATGAGTGAGATTAAGAGTTAATAATTCCAATTATTTTATGCATTCACATTTCATTTAAACGAGTCTGAATGAATGAGGACATGAGTATTAGTATATTTGCAGTTTCACTGATGGCATTAAGCATCCAATTTTCCACTTCAGTGCAATTAATGTCTACACCAGTCCCCAGTCGCAAGTTAAATGACCTCTGATCTCCCACCTAGACCTACATAACACAGTAAGATTGTCATACATACATTGATTAAAAACTGCAATTGAGACATAGGATATTTACTGTGAAAGCACATTATTGTGTGCAGAAAAAGAAGACATTTTGAAATATGTCCTGCCATTGCCTGGGTTTTGTTGTTGTTCATTCGTTCAGTCGCTTCCAACTCTTTGTGACCTCATGGACCAGCCCATAAGGTCACGAAGAGTCGGAAGCGACCGGACGAATGAACAACAACAAAGCCCAGGCAATGACAGGACATAATTCAAAATGTCTCCTTGTTCTTGCCTAGGCTAGATAAGGGCAATAGGAAAATAATAATAATAATAATAATAATAATAATAATAATATCTTAATTTATATCCTACTTTTTTCTCTCACGGGACCCAAACCAGCTTACAACATATTTGAATCATGTAAACAAACCCAAATACATTGATAATAAGTATAAAATATCATAAAATAAACAACAATATATGTTCACATTCTTGTGGCATCATGTCCGATTATATTGCACTTTGTTCCAGTCCATAAACATTATGGTATTTTTTATTATTCCAGCTTAGTTTAGATAGAAAATATTAACCCTTGCTTTAGGTTTCACTCCCTATTCAGCCAGATTAGGAAGAAGAAACAAAATAGGTAAAACAAAGATGAAGAAGAATTAGAAACTGTAAGGATGGGACTTCTATCTTTTTCTTCCACACACAAGAATATACTTTTACAGGAAGTACTCAATGTGCCATTTTCTGTATGCTACAAAGGAGATATTCTGAACTGGGATATTTCAAAGCATCTAGAAAAGAACTGTGTAGTATGCTGGCATCTAAGAAGGAAGGATTTGCTGAAGGCCACCTTCAGCAGAGAAAAAGCTATCAAATTTCTCATATTTAGAAAGTAAAATTAAACCATGCTGGCACACTACAGTACACAATTTTCACCTGAAGACTGCCAGTCCTTCAATTCTGAACCTTGTCTCCCATCTTATAGCTCCCCCTCTAGTGACCTTTTTGAATCTGCAAGTGACAAACCATCCATTGTATTTGAACTATTTCCCTCTTTTGCATTGCTTGATTTTTCTAAATCCTCAATTCAAACTTTGCATTTGTGACATTTTGAAATTTTTCATGTTTTCCTGAGATTTTTCATCTACTTAATAAATGTTACAATTTCATTATACTTAAATTGTCTATGTTCATCACTGTCTTAAATTCATCACAATCAAGTTTGACTCAATAATTTCAAATCAATTTCTGTGATACTGTCATTTGTATGGGATTACAAACATGACTAAGGACCTACATAAAAATATTAACATGGCTGAATTTTAAATGTTAATTTCTTAACTCATTACATGTAGTGAAGCTAGTTTAATATAGTTTTGTACATACGAATATCTTTCCACCAAAGCTAGGCTCTGCAGGCTAATGGGTTACTCTATTACAGACATAGAAAAGCTGCAAGACCAAGAACAAGCCACAGGAATAAAGATAAATAGCCATTTAGAGGGAAAGTGTTCTTACCATATATCAAGGGAACCACAGAAAATTGATTAAGAAACATTACCCCACAAACAATCAAAAGATCCACTAAGAAAGTTCAACAAATACTACATTCAGCAAAGGATAAGAGGAATCCTCTAACTACTTCATTACTCTATTGAATATTGTGTAGCTGTGGACAAGTCTACATAGTCTACATCAAACGCAGTGCCCAGACACATATCAAAGAACATGGAAGGCACTGCAGATTTCAGCCAGAAAAAAAGCAACAGCAGAACACAAGATAAACCAAGCTGTGCACAGAATATTATTTGAGATCACAGATATTCTGGACCACTCTGACAACCACTTTGTCAGACTACAAAGAGAAGCCACTGAAACCCACAAGCACATGGACAATTTCAACAGGAGGAAACCATGAAAATGAACGAAATTTGGCTACCAGTATTGAAAAACACCAGAATGAAGACAGCGACTAATGAACATCACCCAGGCACAGGAGGCCTCCAGGCAGCAAACAATTCAAAGGAAACAAAAGCCAGGCTACTTCTAGGCAGATGCCCTCACTATTAACTATGCAATCTTCTCACATGCAAATGGATGGATCCCACTCAAAAACTTGCAAATCAGAGCAGATTACAGCATTTACAACAGACATAGGCAAACATTCAATGCCTTTACAATCACAAACAATGAAACACACAAACACAAACAAAGGCAAAGACTTCTCCTTTCATTTCCGGCTTTTGGGGGCCCTGATAATCTCTGGCTCTGGGGTAGGTGCTTTTTCTCCATTTTCAAGCCGAGGAGACTGCATTTTCACCTCTTGGTTGTGTGGCCGGCAAGATTACTTGCAGCCTCTCTTTGCTCTTTCCCAACGAAGCAGTACCTATTTATTTACTCACATTTGCATTTATTTACTCACATTTGCATGTTTTCAAACTGCTAGGTTGGCAGGAGCTAGGGCTGACAGACGGGAGCTCACCCTGTCTCACGGATTCAAACTGCCAACCTTCAGGCCAGCAATTCAGTAGCACAAGGGTTATTTAAAAATATTATATTTAAAAATATTGATTATGTAGCATGTTCAGGTATGCCTGCCAATGCTCAACTGAACAGCAGAACTGCTTTTGTTTACACTCTCATGGTCTATAAATTGAGCATCTGGTTACAAGTATCTGAGTGGTTTCAGCACCACCACCCTCATTCAGCAGCCATTTCCTTTTATCTTTTTGAGCAAAGCGTCTTCTCTATCCTCATCTGATGCAGCAATTTTTATCTCCTTTCTGATAAATCTCCTAATGTTGCCATAACTGCTATCTAATGACCCATGTGTTAGAAATGCTATATACATTATTGTCTCTTAAATTGTGGTCCCGAACTCAAATGGGCCCTCCTTAGCTCAATGATGGGGTAGCGAAAACTTTGGCAACTGAAAAATATTTCTGAATGCCACCCTTTACATAAATCTGTCAGCAACAACGTGCAGTGTTTACAGGGGACTCTATAGAAAATGCTCCAGCTGCATAAAAAGGAAAATCAGCCCTGCAAATGCTGATTTATTATCAGTAAATGTTTGATTTTTATATCTATTTTATATACCTATACACCTGGTATAGGTCTGAATCCGGGGAGTGGGGCTAGTTCCCAGTGTTAGCCACAGTTTCTGCCAAACTTGCAGTTCGAAAACTTGCGAATGTGAGTAGATCAATAGCAGGAAGGTAACAGTGCTTCATGCAGTCATGCTGGCCACATGATCTAGGAGGTGTCTACAGACAACGCCGGCTCTTCGGCTTAGAAATGGAGATGAGCACCGAGAGTTGGACACAACTAGACTTAATGTCAAGGGGAAGCCTTTATTTTTACTATACACCTGGGGTCAAGTAGAATTTTATTTGGAGGAAAGGGGTCACAAGTGGAAAAGGTTTAAGAAGCTGTAATCTAAATGAAATAAAAAGTTTATATATTTATACATAGGGAAGGGGAGTGGAAAAGATTGGTCAACCAGATGTCAAGGCAGAAGAAAAAAATACTGAACGATGGAAGCAATGGATGAATTGGTTTAGAATTTTGGTCTCCTCCAATCAGATGACACAAAGAAATAATAATAATAATAATAACAATAATAATAATAATAATTTTATTTTTTTCGGGCACTTCTACCCCTCTCAATCCCCTAGGGGGGGACTCAGGGCGGCTTACATCATAATAATAATATTGCTGGCTAAATGCAAAGAGACCTTGCAATATTGTACGTTTACCTCTTCTGCTGATTCTCTTCTAGCATTGTAAGTATCCAGATGTTCTTGAAGCTCTAGAACGCTGAACTTCAGTGTTTCTAATAAACCACAGGAGACCAACTGCAATAAAAAGAAGTATTTGAGAACCACAGTAATTATACCACATGAAACATACATATTGATAAAATCTTTATACTGGATATTTCAGCTTCTGAAATCCAAGAAAATCTTGAATACCTAGTGAGAAAAGTTAATGCTGCCCAATATCTCTATGGCAGAATTCCAAGTAATAGGGGAGTTACTCTAATCCTTTGATGGCAATATGTTTTCTGATCTTTAATCAAACCCAGAGGTATGGTACTGCCAAGAACGCAGTTCTTCTAGTAACACTGTTATTTGTTTGGCACATTATGAACATAAGTAAGGAACTACATAAACATATTAATATGGCTGAATTTTTAGAAATTAAATATTTAAGTGTACTTTTTTTCAAAAAGGTGTCACCGTTTGTTATGCGATTCACTGGCAATGGTTTAAGCAGTACTCAAGATTTAGAGAAGTAAATAAAAGTTCAGGGGAAAAAAGATACAGAGCAGTGAAATTGAACATGCTAAATGACAATAAAAGAATGACTAGTTGGAAGGAATTAGTAGTGAGGTATTTATTTATTTATTTACTGTAGTTCTATACTACAGTAAATACTACAGTTGAAAGTACAGCCTTTCAACATACCAACGGCAAAAATTCAATGCCAACATACAATAAAACAAATACATGATAATAGCTAATTACTACATATATAACTTTAACTTAAAATCATTAAATCACATGATCCAAAGAATCATGTATCATGTGGAGCACGTCATGACTATATGTATTTTTGCTGAAGCACCTACAAATCATGAGGCATAGGCAACTCATGGTTCTAAATGGTTCTAAAGTACTTACAAAACTAGAGGGTGCTGGTGCTTTGCTTCTAAAGTGTTGCTAAAGTTCTGGTGGTGATAATGTCAAAACTCTAACAAAACTTTCAAATTTTCATCATTATTTCATTGTTGGTTATTTTTTATGACAGAATCAATTTGGAACTGCCATTTATAACTAAATTTTGAAAGTTTTGTTAGAGTTCTGAAATGTTCACCACCAGCAAAGCACCAGCACCCCCTAGTTTGTAAGTACTTTAGAACCATGGATAGCCCATGCCTACAAATTACAGTTAACGAAGACAATGAGATAGCTGAGGTTGTTATACAGGGATGTAATTTAATATTATTCTTTACATATTAGGGATAATTTCAGTTTCATAGTTTTGGGAAATCATGTGTTCATAGTTTGTGGGATGTAAAAACAGATAGTGATTTAAACTTAATATCGCAGAAAAATTAAATATATATATAATTAAACTAATAACAGAATAAAGTCAAGTTCACTTTATTACGGTCAATGACCAGCTCAAAATAACAAGAATCAAAAGCAATTAAACTGAGCCAATTAAAAAGTACTTCAGACAAATTAAGTAAAATGAACAAGACTAACTGACGAATTTAGGAGGCTAAGGAAGTTTAGTAGTACTGCCCATCCCCATACAATTTCATTATGGTACATATTGAAGGCAACATGGTTTACTTTTACAACATACACTCCAAAAGGCAGAACATTCAGCACCTTGGCCATAAGTGCCACTAGGTAAACATTCAGGTTCTTTAAAGAAATATAAATAATTACCGTTTCTGCATCAACAAAAACAGTGGGGCATTCTGAACACAACATCATTACTTCCAGTGAACTTTTAAATTTTGCTCCAATTCGTTGCAGATTCTCACCAAGAAAACTGACTGATTCATGGGTTATAGCCCCAAACTTCCTTTGAATGATCTAAAAAAACAAACATAAATATTTACTTATTTCAGCATTTATTTTTGTTTGGAAGCTAACAGAAAGGGTAACAGATGAACAGAGCGCGTCAAAAGATATTTCAAAAAATCTAAACGAGATAAATCTCCTATTGGCATATGTGGGCTTCCACTTCCCTGTCACGTATGCGGAATGGACAATTATTATTATTTACTGTATTTATACCTTGCTCTTCTCAACCCCGAAGGGGACTCAGAGCGGCTTACAGATAGATGGCTTTTTTTCTATAATCACAGCACAAGAACATTTGAGGACAAAGAAAATTACCTGAAACAACCTAGAAAATATGTGAAATGTATAGACAGCAGACGATCCATCTGTATCAGTCAGCAGCTGATTCACATGGCAACGCCAAGCCTCCTCTTCATCATCATACACCTGGGGTTGAAAAGCTGCCAATATGGCAGAAAGAAATGGAGACGGTGGGGGAGATGTCTGTACTTCTGGAAAACCATCTTGTTCTTCATCTTGACTGTCAAAACAGGAAATATAAATATGATGAAGAAATACTATTTTACTATTTTAGATTATTTTATTTGGCCTAACTAAACCCATTTTAAACTTACAACCTTACTTGGGCATGACAGTTTTGGATTCTGTAAAGCTTTCAGTTTCCAATATTTAACAAACTATGGATCAAACAGTGGCCTTTTTGTTTAACCTAATAGGAATTCATAAAAGGAATACATTTCACACAGATTTTGATGAACCTCTGGTTTCATTAGTATACATCTATTGCCACACTTCATATATACAATACTTTTCAATGACACATATAAAACATTAAGCTTAGTTTTTGCTGAGAAAATGGAAGTGATAAAATGGAACATTATATTAAGAAGAATGTTTAATAAAAAGGTTGTCAGTATCTCTCTTTCAGGTTCTGAAATAGTATGTTCTACTAGCATCATTCATAAGCATATGATTTAAAAGCACATTACAACTGGACTCACTACAGTATAATAACTGAATTTAAAATGTTCTTCCTTACTTATAGTGTGATTTTTCAGGTTAGATTAATGAGGGGTATGGTTAATACTTCTATATGATATTGTTCAAGGATGACATTCTGTGCCACAACTGTAGTCAATAACAATCTTGATACATCAGGACCCTTAGTTACTGAATTTAAGTCATCCAAACTTCACAGTGATTTACCATTTGGACTTTATATCAAAACTTCTAACTGAATGAAATGTAGCTAATCTAGAGATGGGAAGGCCTGGAAAAAACCCCAGAAAAATGGGGAAAAAACAATTTCCCCCCATTTTTTTTCCAGAAAAAGTGAAAAGTATATAGGATATGTGATTTTCCATTGTTAAATCACACACACACACACACACACACACACACACACACACACACACAAACATACACATATATGAATGACATGGTATTCAAACTATAAAACATGGAAACCTTAATGAGACGTTTTGTTTCTACGACTTTTTGTTTCTACACACTTCCCCCCATCTACAATTTTTCTGGAAAAAATGACTTTGGGGAAAAAAACCCTGTATTTTCCCCTTTTTCCTGTTTTTTTAAGGCCTTTCCATCTCTAAGCTATTTTATATACTCATGTATAGGTCTAGAAAATCTAGTAAAAAATCAACCCTAAAAACCTAGATGGACTTGTCTAGAGGTCAGCATAAATACTGTTATCTTAATTCTTAATTTTTCAAAACCTTCCCTCAACTTGTAGATGAAGTTGCCTTATACAAGAATAAATACAATACTAAAGACAATGCCCTTTGCCTTCTCCACATCTAGTAGTTAACAAGATATTAAAAAACGTTTAAAATAAATTATTTCAATGTATATTATTTACTACCTTAAAGCAGTACTACATTAAAAGTCCCGAATCTCCTTTGACAACTGTAAGTCACAAACACTATTGTCCAAGATACTAGTCTCTTTCTAATTCAGGGGTAAGCAAGGTGCAGCCTATGCACTGCATGCAGCCCTCATCAGTATCTTCTGTGGTCTCCAGAGATCATTTTCCGTCCTCAATAAAACATGTTTGTCCTTTAATGGGTTCTAATAGAATAAGGAGAACATTTATGTCGTAAGTGAACTGTTCTCCATTAAATGGCCCAGCAGGGTGATTAAAAAGGTGAAGAAAATGTTTCCCCAGAACATTTGGAGACATTATTGGTTAAAATAAAGGAAGGAAGGAAAGGAAAGGAAAGAAAGGAGGGGTAGGGTTTTTGTGTGTGCAGGAGCTAGAACAGGATACTGGGCAATTGAGGTCAATATATTCTGCAACAGTTACTAATCTTTGCTGTTAGCCAGTAACTAATGAGGAGATACTAATCTTATTTTAATCCCAGAAAATCTGTATCCATGATTTAAGGTAAAAAGAAATTACCTAGACAAACCAGAGAAGTCAGCTTCTTCCTCTTCACACCTTTCATCAAGTTCCTTCAGAGCAAGAGTAACATCTTCTTCACAGATTGATTCAGTGTAGCTCTCATTAGCAGGATGCTCTGAAATTTCAGGCGTTTCCTCTAGTTCTAATGGCTCTTGGCAGATCAGCAAATCTTGTTGTTCTTGCACCACAAATGATCCCGTTTCTTCACTAGCTGTACTAATTTGTTCATCCTTTACAGAGGAACTGCCATCCTGAAAAAGAAGGCATATGGTTTTTAATATTCCAGGGCAGGAATGTGCATGTCACCAAACAGGGTAAAAGATACTGCTCTAAAACCCCAAAAGTATAGCATCCCCTAATTTAGACTGCTCATTCCCTCAGTACTGCTTCTCTGCAATAATAATAATAATAATAATAATAATAATAATAATAATAATAATCAGCACTTCTAGTAAAATAAACCACTACTTTTCTCTGTTCAACTTCATTACTTTAATTTTGTAATATAGTAATGAAGATAGTTTTTCAGGATTGGAGATTAAGATCACTAATTATATCAGATATTTTATGTTTATGTTAAATTTCATTGTCACATTTTACCTTTATTTTTTGGTTACTTTATAGTGATTATGTTATTGTTGTATGTTTATATTTTATGTTGTCCTGTTTGCATTGCTGCTGTTTTGTAAGCTGCCCCAAGTCCCTCTTGGGAGATGGGGCAGAATATAAGTAAATATATTATTTTACTGGCACAAAAGCAGATAGGTCAGAGCAAACGAGATCTAGATGCTGGATTTCGTATCACAAAATCACAAGTCGAACACTTCCCAAGCATCCAGGATATTATTATTATTATTATTATTATTATTATTATTATTATTATTATTATTATAGTATCAAAATACTTCTAACATGTTCAGGATCGTATTCTCAAGAATTTTTTTGTTATTAAGTACATGGAAAAAAGACCTGTACCACAATTTTAGTTTCCCTTAATATCCTCTGAATTATAACCAGAGAGCCAAATATAAACGGCAGATTAATCTAAGTAAAGAATAATAATCTGGAATAATAGATGCATGACAACTTCCTGACATTGATGCAAGGGTGGACAACCTGTGGTCTTCTATACTTGGTTGGGCTCCAATTTCAGTCAGTCTAGCTAGTGTCACTAGTGATCAAGGATTACAGGATACAGGGCCCAGTGAAATCTGGGGAGCAGAGAGAATTTATGTAGTGATGGCTTTTTTCTGGTGGCTATTTTATGCTATGAATTGACGTTGCCTAAACAACTAGTAGGCCCAAAGTAAGACTTTGTATGGCCACTGAGCCAATGCTTACATGCTTCCTCCATTGGTTAAACTAAGGGGAGTTTCTCTCCGTCACTATGCAAACATAAAATGACTGCAAGACTGTCACACCATCACAGAGTGAATTGATCCACAAAGAGACAATTAACTGAGTTCTGGTGAAAATTTCAGTTCAACACTTTGAATGAATTATAAGCTGTTTTTGAAAAAAATGCTCACTATTGCATAAAATGTGCCTTGTGCATATTACATCTCTAGTTAAATGCCCCTAGAACGATGTTTATCAAAACACATGTATTAATGGTAGAGCCCCCAGTGGCGCAATGGGTTAAACCCTTGTGCTGGCTGAATTGCTGACTGAATGGTTGATGGTTTGAATCTGGGGAGCGGGGTGAGCTCCCATCTGTTAGCTCCAGCTTCCCATGCAGAACCATGAAAGAAGCCTTCCATAGGATGGTAAAACATCCGGGTGTCCCCTGGGCAATGTCCTTGCAGATGGCCAATTCTCTCACACCAGCAGCAATGTGCAAGTTCTCAAGCCACGCCTCACATGAAAAAAAAAAGTTAACTTATACTTGTGATGGGGTAGCAAGTGTATCACTGCTCTCCAGTACTGTGCATACAATATAATGTACTATAATATGAAAAACACTTGGAATTTCCTTGACCCTTCCTCCATTACACATGTGTCACTCAAACCACATTTTATAAACTGAATATGAGATATATATACATGCTCTCTTGTACATTTACAGAAATCCTGTAGTGAATGTGTGAGAACCATTTCTTATTTTCTGTGAGAAGACACATATTTTTCTGACCAGAGACAGAAATATGATAATCCTTACCATCAATGTACTACAAGAAAGTGCTAATTACTTCTGTTGTCTTTATGCATTTCATATAGGATACATTTTCCCAAACACTGCACACAAATTTCATTTATCCAATATTCAAACGGGATTCAAACACAGATATGGCAACTTTAAATTTATCTTAAAGATCATAACGTTTATAAATGATACAAAGGAAAGATATTCTGTTGACCGCACTGTGTATGTATACATACAGTGGGCCTTTGGTATCCACTGGGGTTTGGTTCCAGCATACCAAATCCGGGGATATTCGTCCCACTATATACAATGGCATAAAATGGTAAAACCAAGGTTTGTTTTTGAAATCATTTAAAAAATATTTTCAAGATGTGGATGGTTGAATCCATGGAGGGAGAATCTGTTAGATCATGCTCAACCTCCAGCAGTTCTTTTCCCATTTTATGTGAGTTTTATGCTGCTACTGCACTACCTGCTGTTGCTACTCATATCCCATCTGCCCAGTTTACCAGACTAAAAGAAAAAGGGAATAAGTACTTTGTAACTGCCTGGAAACAGCAGGTTAAAAGCCTATCATCATCAGATTAGCTGAGGACTCTAAGCGGAAAACATTTTCATCCTTTTCATCTGACCCCTTAAAATGGCCAAGCTTAGGTCCTGATGGTGTGCAAGAGCCACAGATTATTGTTTAGCAGAGTATTCTGTCCTAAAAAGATTTGAAATGTTTTAACAAAAAGGGGAAAAATACTGTCCAGATCCCACTTCTTTCGATTACAAAGCCAAACTCAAACTTTTCTAGTAAAAACTGGAAATGAAAGATGGACAAACAATTCTCCCAGGCAGGAAGCAGCCAAGCTTTGAAGCTGCAGGGTCATTCAATGCTAATCAAGGTGGCCAATTGCTACATTCACACTTGCCTCAAGCAGACAAGAGTTTTCTCCCACCCTGGACATTCCACAGATAAATAAACCTCACTTGCCTAGTTTCCAATAGACCTCACAACCTCTGAAGATGCCTGCCATAGATGTGGGTAAACGGCAGGAGAGAATGCTTCCAGAACATGGCCATACAGCCCAGAAAGTTCACAGTAACCCAAAGATGAGTTCATAAAAAATTTACAGGTTTTATATAGAAAAACCTATTTGCAATGGCAAACATATTCTTAAAAAGACAAGAAGGAAGAAAAACGAAAAAAGACTAACTCATTTATATTTTAGTTAGTCCTGAATTTCTTCAGATGCAGTACAGAGTGATCTTAAAGCTTCAGGTTATTGTGCATATGTACACAGTTGTTGTTATTATTATTTACAGTATTTATATTCCACCCTTCTCATCCCGCAGGGGACTCAGGGTGGATTACAATGTACACATATATGGCAAACATTCAATGCCAAAGACACACAACTGATATAGACAGACAGTCAGAGGCTATTTAACTTTTCTAGCTGCCAGGGGAGCTGTCGCTTTCATTGTCCATCTGCGAAACTTATGAAGTACTTCCGCATTCCCCACATGCTTTTGCCGGAGTGCTTTGCTGGAGTCTTTTAATGGCATCATAAAATAGTTAAATTAGCCTCCCCACACATAGGTGGTACCTAATTTTCCTACTTGACAGATGCAACTGTCTTTCGGGTTGCAAAGGTCGACAACAAGCTACACAATTGGGTCGGAAGCTCACTCTGACCCCGGCTGGCTTCAAACTCATGACCTTTTAGTCAGAAGTGATCTTAATGCAGCTGACACTCAGCCAGCTGCGCCACAGTCCCGGTTGTGCAATTGTAGGGACCTATGCAATGATATGCACATACAACAAAGAGAATTTACAAAGAGAAGGTATGGACTCCGAGGGATTTGACTTTGGGTAACCAGATGTATTGCTTTTGTATGTCGGTATTATTTGATCACTATAAACACTTGGAAGACCTGTATCATTCCACACAACTGTTTGAAGATTTAGAGCAGGGGTCTTCAAACTTTTTAAATAGAGGGCCAGGTCACGGTCCTTCAAACTGTTGGAGGGCTGGATCATAATTTGCAAAAACAAAAAAACCCGAATGAATTCCTATGCACACTGCACATATCTTATTTGCAGTGCAAAAAACTCTTTAAAACAATACAATAATTAAAATGAAGAACAGTTTTAACAAATATAAACTTATCAGTATTTCAATGGGAAGTGTGGGCCTGCTTTTGTCAATGAAATAGGATTGTTATTGTTGTTGCTGTTTGCTTTCAAGTTGTGCAGATTTAGGCTTACCCTGAGTGAGGGCCAGGCACATGACCTTGGAGGACTGTATCCGGCCCTCGGGCCTTAGTTTGAGGACCTCTGATTTAGAGCAAAGGCCACAATTTGGATATCTATCCAACTGTATAAACACGCTTAATAACCTGAGGATTTAAGATCACTCTTAAAACTGCTGGTAGATCGCTTTATTTCCTCTCTTTCCCTTTAAACTTGGCATCCTGCAAGAAATAAACATAGCTACCTCTTTTGAAAATGACTTTGAAATACTCACTGATTGCTTGTCAGCGACTGGCTGGAATCAGGCTTACTCCCAAGAGGCATTTCCCCTTTTGTTTTTTGAACTTGTCACCAGGACAGTGAGGACCCGTTCATAAGGACTGGCTGAACCAACCAGTTGCTAACACAGCTGGCCTGAGGTTCATATTTCAATCAAAGCACCAATCACAAATGCAAAGGCAAAGCAATAAATGGGGGAAGATCACAGGAAAGATAATTGCTATACCCAGGAAACCACTTTGCTGATTATTCGGCACCATACAATATTCATTACTAGCCCTTCAATAATATTTTTAACCTGTGGCAGCCATCTTCAATCCATCAAATAGATCTGTTTCTAGGGAACGTTTTCATTCCTTTAGGCCACCGCAACAGGTTAGAAATACAAATATTAAATTACATAATCAGTTCAACAGATGAAAATTCCTATGGAAAGGAAGCAGAAGACCACTAATGCAGTGCTAGAAAGAGCCCAAATCAGCCATGCGCCAGCCCACATTTCTCCCCACCTCAGGCAGCTGGTTGCTAGCATTATCTAGAGGGGAAACCTCCAAACTTGGGGTCTCAGCTCTGATTTGAAGCACCTCTTCTGTTCCCACGCTGCTAGTAGAGTCTTGTGACTGGCGCAGTGACCCCGCATGGTCTAGCACTGCGTCGTCGGCAGCAGAGTCACAGTTTAGCTAAGGAGACAAAAAGGCAGTTTCAAATAAGCAGAGGAACAACCAACCAATCAGATATTGATATATGTTACAATGCAAAATGAAGAAACCACACATAACCTACAACTGTCCACATGCACAATACATACTAATTGTGGAACTCTCTCCCTAAGGAAATCAGGTTGGCCACCTCCCTCCTGTCCTTCAGAATACAATTGAAGACCTGGCTCTGGAGCCAGGCGTTCAACTAGAGCAGTGTTTCTCAACCTTCCTAATACCGCAACCCCTTAATACAGTTCCTCATGTTGTGGTGACCCCCAACCATACAATTATTTTTGTTGCTATTTCACAACTGTAATTTTGCTACTGTTATGAATCGTAATGTAAATATCTGATATGCAGGATGTATTTTCGTTCACTGGGCCAAATTGAGCACAAATACCCAATACACCCAAATTTGAATGCTGGTGGGGTTGAGGGAGATTGATTTTGTTATTTGGGAGTTGCAATTGCTGGGATTCATAGTTCTCCTACAATCAAAGAGTATTCTGAACACCACCAATGATGGAATTGAATCAAACTTGGCACACAGAACTCCCATGAACAACAGAAAATATTGGAAGGGTTTGATGGGCATTGACCTTATGTTTTGGAATTGTAGTTCACCTACATCCAGAGAGCACTGTGGACTTAAACAATGATGGATCTGGACCAAACTTGGCACAAATACTCAATATGCCCAAATGTGAACACCGGTGGAGTTTGGGGGAAATAGTCCTTGGCATTTGGGAGTTGTAGTTGCTGGGATTTATAGTTCACCTACAATCAAAGAGCATTCTGAACCCCACCAATGATAGAATTGGACCAAACTTCCCAAAAAGTACCTCCATGACCAACAGAAAATATTGTGTTTTCTGATGGTCTTTGGTGACCCCTCTGACATCCCCTAGCGACCCCCCTAGGGGTCCCAACCCTCAGGTTGAGAAACACTGGACTAGAGGATAAAGGCAAGATGGAAACGAATTTTGGAATTTTTACAACATTGGATTCTCCCGGCTTGGTTTGGGCTTTACTGGCACGTTAATGTATTCTTAAATGAATGTATTGATGATTTTGTAAAATGTTTTTGAAATGATTTTACTGTTTTAATTGTAATTTTTGGTGTATATGTTGTTAGCATCATTTGATGCTTCTGTGGGGCCGCCCTGAGTCCCCTTATGGGGAGAAGGGCGGGGTAGAAATGTACAAAATAAATAAATAAATATACATTTTATATTTCTCAAAAATTGACATAATGGCACTGAAACCACTGGAAACTAGTTCCTCTATTTCGGGAACCGATTGCTACATTTGTCTCTCCCGAGATAAACGAACTACAAATAGCCATGTCACCTCTCTTTCCCCCACAAATAACCTCACATGCCAGATTGCCATATTTTAAGATTTGTGATTAAAACTGAAGCAACCAAATGACTATGGTCATTTAAGATAAGTATATTCTTACATTATATATACATTTAAGGTAAGTATATTCTATCATGTTCCATCACCATTCGTATGCACCAGTTATAGTTTTCCAGAATTGTTCTAGATATAACTTTTCCATTGAGAATAAGACTCCTCCTGCTATCCAAATAACAATCACAGAAATACCTGTGATGTGAGTATGGAAATGTTTTATACACATAAAGGTTATTCCAAATCACATTATGCCATTGCTTTTTGCTCAGTGCTCTTCCACAATTCTCACTGAGATATTACAATGGCTAACACACATTTTACTGCCTCAAATGTTAGTCCTGTTTCTGGATATATCTGGCCTATTAATTCCAAAAATGACACAAGTTTCTCCCTATTAGCTCTAGTTTTTGAGATACAGAATATATGCCACTACCAGAATGCATCTGCTTGCCCATAGAAAACCATGATAACCGTATCTAAGACACTAGAGCTGATGTGATCTATGCAATGCAAATTTTTGAATCAGTGCCACAAATAATTCCAGCAACAGGCCTAAAAACCAAGATACCAAGGATTTGGGGGGGGGGGGATTGGGCTATATTATCAATACTCAGAGGGCCACATCAATAGTAGCTCAGATTATAGGAGGTTACAGCCTCACTGTTGTATCAAGCCATATGTGAAGGCTTAAACAAAGAGTTTTTTATCAACATGTAACATCATAATACAGTGTTCCCTCGCTACTTTGCGGTTCGCTTTTCGCAGACTCGCTGTTTTGTGGGTTTTTGCCTCCCAGTTTATGAATGGTTGCCGTTGCCCACAGCAGGATTCTAATCCCACCTCCTGGCAACGATGGAGGGTGGAAAGGGGTTTCACCCTCCCCCTCAGGAGAGAGGCAGCCAATGAAGAGAGATTGCAAAGCAAAGCAGAGATAGCTAGCAAAAAAAAATGTGTGCGGTGCCTTTAAATCTCTCCTCGCTTCTGTCTCACCCTTGAAACTCGATATACATATAGAGCGTCCCTATTTCACGGATTTTCACTTTTCGTGAGTAGTCCTGGACAGTAACATTCGCAACTTTATTTATAGACTGCTCTCTCTCCCTGAGGGGACTCTGAATGTTTTACATACAAAGGGAAACATTAAATGCCGTAGTCATATTCACACAAATCAAAATAATACAAAATAACATCAGTAACATTTTACCATCTGTGATCGTGATAAGATCTGACTTGCAGTCAGAGCTTCCTCTTCTGATGATTCATCGGTATCTTCTTGATTGGTCAAATTTAAGCTGGGGGTGCTACCGGAATACTGATATTCTTGGAGAGACGGTGTGTCTCCTTTGTCAATGCTATCCAGAGAGCGCCTGCGGACCCCCCAGTTGAAGTTATCCATGCTTTCGCCCTGAAACAAAGAGGAAAAATGTATTCTAAAGTTCTCAGAATATATAAAACATAGAAAGGAACACAGCAAAACAAAGCCACACAAAGAACAGAGTTTCAAGTTTCCAAGTTAATGAGATAGTTAAATTCAATTAATTAGAATTGTATTCAAATAGTTTTAATATATGGAAGAACAGTATCCTTAATATTCTTCTGCACATACCTTGTATTCAGAATTAGCTCAGTGTAAAATGATCTATAACCATATCACCTTAACAATACAAGATATCTGACTATCAAGCACAGACAGACAAATACACCACAGATGACAACAGATGAAACAAGCCACTGCACCAGGCTGCAACTTACCTGCAGCTCCTGGTTCGCAAAAAGAAAAACACACATAATTAGAACGAGGACAAACACTTATAAGATACTTATAATGGGGGACATTTTCTATTATGTACGTTTGCAAACAGCTGAAGATTGATTCAAGCTCCGGAAAACCTTTTGCAAAACCCCCCAACGTTTAATTCACTCCAGGTTTGAGTAAAGTTCATTAAAAAAATATCATGAGACAAACACTTAAAACAAGATGGCGATGGCACTTTTTTGTTTGTGTAAACAAACATTAAAACAAGTTTAGTGAGTTGCTTGAGGAGAACACAGATGAAATCTTAAGCAGACTTTATCTACATTTATTAAATAAAACATATAGTAGACAAATTTCATTTACAGTGCAGGAAGCCATAAAGTTTTACTTACTTAGTCTTATAATTATGTGTGTTTAGAAGAGTTCTCAAAATGAGCACGTATTACTTGTGTCACCTTGCATATGTTAGTAGACTTGCATGGAAGTCACTCTTTGTTCCATGGTAAGGATGGGAGTGCGTTTTTAAAATAGTTTACCCTTTGGTGCCTTTCCAAATGGACAGGAAGTATCCCCACATGCCTAGATGTTTTTATCAGGCATTCCATTCCATTTCCAGTGGGTCTCAGACTCCTGAATGTTCAGCTTCTCCCACTTCTAAACATCCTGTTTTGTGAGCTACTTGGTTTTGAGCATTATCTGGGGCCCTTCTACACAGCCATATAAAATCCAGATTATCTGATTTACCTGGATTTTATGGCAGTGTAGAAGGGGCCTAAGAAGCCCCAAAGGGAATTCCAGTTAAAAGTCTCAGGGCATTTATGAGAGATTTAGATGACAACATGGACGTTGCTACGCGTGACCATTTTCAAAAGCATAAAACTCTTTTTTTAAAAAAAAACTAGTTAGGGAGGAACATCCTTTTTTTTCAAATTCAGTGAAAAATCATCAACAAGTAAGAAATAATATAATAATGATAATAATGCACAATTTAATTTACTATAAGACATTAGGTGTTTTTTGAAAAGTATTTCGTTCCTTAAGAATGTTGTAGTTCCAAAATATCTGAGAGCCTAAGTATGCAGCTTGTCTGTCTATTGGTAAACTCAGCCTTGTGTTATAAGCTATACTGAGGAAGTATGGAGCAGCTGGTTTTGCCCTTTGTGTTTGCTCAGCGGTATAAGACACAATGTAAAATCTCAGTGTGACTCAGTTGTCCCACTGATCTGCCACTATCTGTCCAACCGTCCAAGAGAAGAAGACAGTAATAGAGGCAGGATCCAAGATTTAGGAACGGGGTGGCACTAGGGGTTCTAACTCTTGAAAGTATTTTGTGTATTTTTGTGTAATTAAGATAGCACAAAATGCAATCTCTTGAAAAATAATTTTGAATTTTAAAATTGTATAATATACATAGTTTTACCCCTAATCTTCAAAATGTTTTAGTATCAGTACATACACAAAAAAAAAAAAAAAAAAAAAAACTGGACTTTATGTGATACAAGTTCAGTACAATTTAAAGACTTCTGTCTCAGCATTTGATCTATACAAAATTGCAATACAATGGTTTAAACTTTCAAACAACATGGCATTGGCCCTTCAATATGATTTCCATGCACTGTAATGATTACTGTATGCTACAACAGTTACATTTTTCTACTTAAAAACAGATAAATGCAGGTAAAATGACAAGTGCACTATGAAATGCAATATGAATAGGAAAAGGTCAAAGCAGTGCCAACACAAACCTTGTGCTAAGTTAATCCAGAAGCGAGTGTACTAACATTGCATTTGATTTAAATGTTCAGTGATACGACTGTTGTTCTGTCACTGGTTGTATCAAAGACTATACTTTGTGCACTCAATAAAATTGTACAACTTTTTTATGTTACTTATTTTTTCTACCACTTTTCTATGTTACCTATTTCTTCAGTTCTACCACCAATTATAAAACATGGAGGTTATAAGAGACCCAGTGCAGAGCTGAGAAAATGCAAATATATACACATTTCACTGGATCTGATCAAAAAGAAATATATTATATTTACATCTGAATCCTACTTTGGTAAAAAGTGGGATATAAATCAAATAAATAGAACAGTAAAGCAGGAAAATGTAAGATTAGCAGCTATCATGAAACAAACACTTCAAAGGATGCCAAAAGCACCACATGAAATCTGAAAAAGCTGCTATGCATTTAAGAAAAGCCCTAGAAGATTATATTTATCTCAATTTTCTTTGACTAATCACAACACTGGTTTATAGCTAAAGGGAATGATCAAGGCCACAAAATGTTTCCTCACTTGAATGAAAGCCTTGTGGAAAAGTGTACAACTAGAATGGCTGCAGTACAGACTTACCTCTGCATCTTCCAATTCAACATCTAAAAAGTCAAAATCTTTAAAAACTCCAAACTGTTGTTCACTGGTGTTATCTTCTACAGCTACTTCTTCTTCCTGAATTACTTCCTCTGTTGTAGAAATAAGACTAGTTTGTTGATCCCCAACTTCCAAGTCTTCATTAGAAGAAAACACAACCTAGAAATGAACAAAAATAATACAAAGAAGCATGGCTGTAGAGTGCCAACAACAATATCCACCACTATTGCATCTCAAACATGGGAGTGAGTTGAGGCCAGTTAGAATTTCACTAAGTGTCAATAAGACATTGATTTATCTTATCCCACAAAAATATGTCTAGTTCTTCAACGTTAAAGGATCACAAAATGTAAACCAACACTATCTGTTTTGCAAGCAACTCACTACTGTTAGAATTTTTATTGGTTGATGAGCACCACAATTTCATGTAAAAATCCCCAACTACTTACAGATGGATTCTTGGGGAGGCCAGACTCTGGACCACACAATGACAGTACATTCATTAGCTTCTCCCTGGTTCTTCGCTGGAAAAAAAATCAAATAAATTATTAGAGACAAGACGTTTTAGAGACAAGCTGTAGCATTTTGATTTCATATTTAAGAATCCTCAATATATAATATTATTTTGAGTTCATTCACCTGGGATAACTGTGGCCTCTTCCAGCTTACAGGTACCAAGGCATTTGAATTTGAACCTGAGGAGGTTGAAGAAGTACTTCTTGTAACAGCAATGACTTTAGGCTTTCCGTTTCTGCCAGCTGCACTGTGCTGATCACCATACTTGTTTCCAATGATTGGGGTCTATAAAAAATAATAAAGTTCAAATTGTTCAGGTCAACAATTGAATTTCTGAGGCCGCACTTTCACAGTGAACTGGAGGCTAATCTGCTATAAATAAGTCTGAGCTGCACATACAAAGGGTTCCAAGCAACACTACCCTACAATTAACACACAATTATATCCCTCCCCTTGTTGCCCCTTGCTGATATTGCTGCCATTTCAAAAACCGCTTTGGGGAATTTCACAACTCTCCAAAGCATATTTTTGTAGTGCAGAGGAGGGATGTGCTGAGAAAGAAAGTTTCTTCTCCACTGATTCTGCTAAGATGTCCTGTTCTGGGCAAGGCAGGAGGAAAAAAGTAACAGGAAGGGATTTTGAGTCAACAATGAAAGGAAAAACCACACAATTCCTTTCTCATTCTGGATGGTGAAAAGGATAACCCAAAGTGAATGGATTTCCGTCCTGGGCCCATTATTTTTTCAACATCTTTATTGTCGACTTAGATGAAGGGTTAGAAGGCAGTTTGCAGATAACACCAAATTGGGAGGGATAGCTAATACTTCAGAAGACAGGAGCAGAATTGAAAACAATCTTAACAGATTAGAGAGAGGGGCCAAAACTAACAAAATGAAATTCATTGGGAACAAATGTAAGATACTCCACTAAGGCAGAAAAAATGAAATGCAAAGATACAGAATGGGGGTGCATGACTCAACAGCAGTACGTGTGAAAAAAGATCTTGGAGTGCTCGTGGACAACAAGTTGAACATGAGTCAACAATGTGATCTGGCGGCTAAAAAAGCCAATGAGATTTTGGCCTGCATAAATAGGAGTCTAGTATCCAGATCCAGGGAAGTCATGCTACCCTTCTATTCTACCTTGGTCAGACCACACCTGGAATACTGTGTACAATTCTGGGCACCACAATTGAAGAGAGATATTGACAACCTGGAATGTGTCCAGACAAGGGTGACTAAAATGATCAAGGGTCTGCAGAACAGGCCCTATGAGGAGCGGCTTAAAGAGCTGTGCATGCTTAGCCTGCAGAAGAGAAGGCTGAGGGGAGACATGATAGCCATGTATAAATATGTGAGGGGAAATCATATGGAGGAGGGAGCAGGCTTGTTTTCTGCTGCCCTGGAGACTAGGACACAGAACAATGGCTTCAAACTACAGGGAAGAAGATTCCACTTGAACATTAGGAAGAACTTCCTGACTGTGAGAGCTATTCAGCAGTGGAACGCTTTGCCCCAGACTGTGGTGGAAGCTCCTTCTTTGGAGGCTTTTAAACAGAGGCTGGATTGCCATCTGTCGAGGGTGCTTTGAATGTGATTTTCCTGCTTCTTGGCAGGGGGTTGGACTGGATAGCTCATGAGGTGTTCTCCAGCTCTATGATTCTATCCACTGTACCTACCACATAATTACTGACTGACTGTCCTGTGTAGCCATATACAAAAAGGATGAAATACAAGTGGTGTACGGGTCTGACAGTTTGAGAAAAATAAAATCTTGTACTTGATTTAGGTGAGTAACACATTAAAAAGTTAATTCCTGTATTTCAGGATTACTGACATCTAGAAAAGTATGGAATTGCTTCTGCATGCCCAAGGCAGACTTATGTTGTCTTCTATGATGTTTCACCATAACCTTATAACAAACAGTTTCTGGAATTCCACAAAACCTTTCATTATTTCCAGAGTAGATCTTTGGATCATTGCTATTGTTTTTATTTTTATGATCAACCTGTGCAGAATATTTAATTGGCTGAATATAGGCCATATTTCCTGTGTATGAGTAACAGAATGAAAGAATTGGTACCACTTATTTCTGGTTATTCAGGCATTAAGTGAAACGGTGGCCAAGCACACGGTCCAATAGTTACAAAGAAAACAACATCCTAACAGAGAAATCGAAGCATGGAAAACCTTATACTTCAGTTAAGATGCCCTTACCTCTGAGATATCAAAATGGAAATCTAAGGTCTTCCCAGGTAGTTCTTTGGAAACATTATTAAAAATTTTGGTGAATGAAATTTCAGGGGAACTTATATCACCACCATAGGACTTTGGAATATCATTAGGTACAACAAGACTTGCTGATCGAGATACCACCAGTTTCAAAATATTAAGCGCTTCCTTCCAATATGGACTCTAACAAAACAGAAAAGAGAACATATGTATTACTCTTACTGATAATAACAAAATAATAGTAAAGAAATTTAGTAAGTTTTTTTTTAATTCGGTGGCTGTATTCATGAAAACAAAAACATGATTCTGAAATGTTTAATATATGGAGACTTACTATCTAGTACTGGAAATTGTGCAAACTACAGTGTTTAACAGCATCTATGCCACTGTGCTAGAATTCAAGCAGTTTCCCCAGAGTAATTTTAAATCATTCAGTTTAATTCAAGAGCACGTTCATGACGTGATGCATGAAATAAGTGAGGTTTTGTTATAATGGCTGCTTCTGGTGTCTCAGTGTGGCTTTGAAAGGAGTATGCCAGTTCTACATGGGGTCACACTTGAATTTCTTTAGCAGCAATCAAGACAAGAGCAAAACACCACAGGAAGAGTCTCAGTTAAGAGCATTCTCTTTAATTCTGCAGTGATGAACTTCAAAACAAGTGCACATATCAAGCTGAGAGGTCAGTAAAAGAAAGGGGGAAAATACAGATGTCATACAGTGAGGGAAAGAGAAAATAAAAGAAGAAATAGAAACCCAGCAGGGTTTGTTTTGAGATTGTTCGAAGTAGAATTTTACTTGATTGCAAAGACTTAAAATCTAGATAGATAAAAATGGTAAATTAAACAGATCCTGTTAACAGAGCATATTTCAACATAACAATGTAATTTTTAAAAATGCACAGTTAAACAATTTGGGTGATTATCCTTAATACATTAATGTGTTATATTCTTAATTCTTTTGTTCCCACACCCTTTCAAAAGTGAACTGTGATTAATCCAAGACCCCAGTTTGGAACAAGCTGGATCTTAAATAAACTTTAAAACATGATTTATGATTCATTCTCTCCCTCTTTTACAGAGGCACAAATCCAGAAATTAGTAATTTCATCTTAAGGCATTATATCACAAAATTACTTTATTGGACATAAATTCAGCATATATATTTTCCTCTATCAAAAAACAGATGGTTTATCAATACTTTTTTCATTAATCAAATGCTTAATCAATAACCAGATTACAATCATTTACATAACTAAGGCATTGATTAAAATAACAGGCAATAAACAAAAAGACACCTGAGCATCTAAATGAGAGGCCAGAGAGTGAACAGATGGTAGCCTATATGAACCCTGATTACAGTCTACTTGACTGAATGTCTCCTGACAACAATGCAATAAGCTAAGTGCATAGTTATTAACTGCAAAAATGGACCAAGATGGGCACGAACAATCTTGCCTGGCTAATTAGGACTAAGCTCCTTTTTGTTCAGAGGTAAAGAACAATATCAGTACTTGGGAGTCTAAACTAATTATGTGCCCCAGGCATTCTGGAAAAAAAAAGTCTACCAAAAAAAAAAAAAGGAACACAATCTACAAACTATCTACAGACCGACTAAGAAAATCCAACAAATGCTACGTTCAGCAAAGGACAAGAGGGATCCTCTCATCTCTGCAGGAGTGTACCCTATACCATGCAGCTGTGGACAAGTCTACATAGGGACCACCAAACGCATCATTGCCCAAACACGAATCAAGGAACATGAAAGGCACTGCAGACTAATTCAACCTGAGAAGTCAGTCATAGCAGAGCACCTGATGGACCAAATTGAACACAGCATATTATTTGAGAATACAGAAATGCTGAAACACTCTTAACGACCACCATGTCAGACTACTCAGAGAAGCCATTGAAATCAACGAGCATGTGGACCATTTCAACAAAAAAGGAGGAAACCATGAAAATGAATATAATCTGGCTACCAGTATTTAAATACTCTAAAATTAGGTCAGTAAATAAAGAGCAACAGTCAAGAAACAGAAATTCCAGGCAAGAATCAATCAGGGCCAGATAACAGCTCCCAACAAAGGACCCTCAGGCAGCAACCAGCTAGGCTTTGAAGATGCAAAGCCATTAAATGATAATCAAGGTGGTCAATTGTAACATTCACACTTGCCTCAAACAGGCAAGAGTTCTTTCTCCCACCCTGAACATTCCACAGATATATAAACTTCATTTCCCTAGTTTCCAACAAACCTCACAACCTCTGAGGGTGCCTGCCATAGATGTGGGCAAAAGGTCAGGAGAGAATGCTTCTGGAACATGGCCATTCAGCCCAGAAAACTCACAGCAATCAAGTGATTCCGGCCATGAAAGCCTTTGACAACACATCTACCAAAAAATCTACAAAAAGCTCAAATCTCTTTCAGGGATGACACTTTCAACAAACTATTTTGAAAGTCTTGCTCCCAAATATAAAATAATAAACAAATCGCATAGGAATGCGATGTTATAAAGCAATACACTAAGTGTCCAGACATTATATCTTATTGAAGCAAAGTCTCTCTTATGACTGAGTATTCTTGGAACAAGAAAGGTTTTATGCAGGCATTGTTATGCTGAATTCCTTTTCCAGAGCTGTGTTGTAACATTCAGCTGTTTATTTCATTCAGCTAAACAAGCACACACATCAGGTTCAATCATGGGCTGCTGCATGTTCAATATTCAACACACACTGAATAGTAATAGAGATATTCTGTAGCACAAAATGCAATGAATGTACTGCCTGCATTAATAAAACTGGATCACCCTGTAGTTTATTAAATTTATCCATAGTTTATCTAGGTAAATTCAAAATATTGTTCTATAAAAACAGATTTACTGTGTGAAATTTTACATTGGTACAGAATGTGCTGAGCCAAGCTTTTAAAAATTCTTACCTGAACATATTTACCAATGATCTTTATGATTTCCAGATTAAACTGCTTCACTGGTGCTGCAGAGAGGTCAATATGACTCAAAAGACTATAAATGATTTGAAGTAAAGATTGCTGCATGCTGGATATTCCTTTCTCTAATAGCTAAGATAAAAATATAAAAAGATATTCAACCTATTGTCCTTAAACATACATTTATGTGTTACAAACATTGAGAGTGAGTATGTTTCCTTTAAAAAAATTGGTACTAAAAACAGATGTTGAACAAAATTGTCCTCTCCAGCCAACTACATTAAAAATGCTTTTAACATAGTATTTGGTGAAATTATTTAATTTTATATTAGAAAGATTTCCGAGCTGTGATTATCTGCAAAGTCTGCACTCTTTATATAGACTATCTATGAGCCCCCAATTCATCCATCACTTTAGAAAGTGCAGATTTAGAAGCATTACCAGTCTGCCAAATTTATTTATGTTTTTTATGTGGATGTTAAAAGAAGTAGTGGTTGAATCTAAAATAATTCATACTTAAAATAGGCCCAATAAAATAAACTGGATTTAGGCTAGTTATAAACAACATATGGTTCCAATGATTTCAATAAATCTACTTGAAATGTGACACTGTTTGGACCCAAACTGAGCTTCTTTAAGAAATGGATAGGGAAGATGATGAGGAAATGGTACTTTATAATCTGTGCAGCGAAGGGTTGAAAACTGGGGAGTTTTCCAATCAATGAATTGCAAAGATCAGTTGTGTTCTTTGCCTGCCCTCCATATGTTGCTGAACTGTAACTTCCAGCATTCCTAACCAGCACAGTCAATAGTGAAAAAAAAATACTGGGAGTTCAAAATCAACAATATGTGAAATTCAACATAGCTTCAAGACTCTCATTCCAAACATTGACCCTGAAAGAGTTGCAAAACAGTCTCTTGAACTTCAAGAAAATCCCCCACCCCAATTGTATTTAGCAGCATTTAAAAGCAAGGTGATAAAAAGCTCAGTTATAAGTAAAAATAACACACCATAACTAAAAGTAGTTTGGATCTATATGAGACAATAGATTATTTCATTACCTCTGCTAGATAAGTAACAAGATTAAAAGTTGTTTCTGAGAAGGAGTCATGCAAATATCTACACACTACATTAATCCAGTTTGAGCAGTCTCTGGAATAACTATGGGTACTGTATAGACTCATCATATGAGCCAAATTGGCAAGCGTTGGGGACTTTTCTTCTGCACAAACCTGTGAAACACAAGAAAAAATATTGTCAAAAAAGATATTTTTAAGTATAATTTTTGATTACTATAGTCACTGGCTAAAGATAATACTTTTTTGTCATGTCAAGAATGACTTGAGAAACTGCAAGTCCCTTCTGGTGTGCGAGAATTGGCTGTCTGCAAGGATGCTGTCCAGGGAACGGCCAGATGTTTTGATGTTTTACAATCCTCGTGGGAGGCTTCTTTCATGTCTCCACATGAGGAGCAGGAGCTGATAGAGGGAGCTCATCTGCGCTCTCCCGATTCGAACCTGCGACCTGTCGGTCTTCAGTCCTGCCGGCACAGGGGTTTAACCCACTGCGCCACCAGAGGCTCCTTAGATAATACTGTGAAACTCAATTACAATTATTGCTATAAAGGGGTGGTTCCCAACCTTTTTTTGACCAGGATCACTTGAACTGGGACCACTTTAACCAGGAACCATTCTCCAACATTAATACCAAAAGGGTTACGAATCAGTTTTTGGTCATCTTTAGATTTGGTTTGGTTATTTGGGGTGTTGATTTAGAAAATTGCATTGGATAGACCACTTCTGCTGTAGTTTCTGATACAGAAAATGTGCCATCCAGTAGTCGCCATCTGCTTGTCCACAGCAAACCATTTTAAGCTGATGTGGTAGTAGTAATCTTTCGTGTGTAGTCAGCCTCTCCCCTTCCAACATCTTCGTTGCCTTGGCACTATAAGAGGTTTTCACGAGAATAGTGGTTTTGAGGCAACGTTGTAGTTAAGGTGAGGCCGCAGACCACTGGTGGTCCACAGACCACAGGTTGGGAACCATTACTGTAAAGTAACACTGGATACTTCTAGATTTGTATTCAATGAAGTGGTTTCACTGATCAGCAAATGTAACACGCATTAGTAAAAATAGTGCATACTTCAAACCAAAAATAAATCTGTAACACAGGTATCATGTGAATAACCAGTGAAATGATCGGGTCAGATATTTGATAATGATCGGTAGTCCATGCTCTGGTTACATCCCGCCTTGATTACTGCAACGCTCTCTACGTGGGGTTGCCTTTGAAGACAGCCCGGAAGCTCCAACTAGTCCAACGGGCGGCAGCCATGGTACTAACAGGAGCGGGGCGCTGGGAGCACACAACTCCTTGCTGCACCAGCTCCACTGGCTGCCGATATGCTACCGGGCTCAATTCAAAGTGCTGGCGTTGGCCTTTAAAGCCCTAAACGGTTCTGGCCCAACTTATCTATCCCAACGTATCTCAGCCTATCAGCCCACCAGGACCCTAAGATCTTCTGGAGAATCCCTGCTCTCTATCCCACCGGCTTCCCAAGTGCGGCTGGTGGGAACGAGAGACAGGGCCTTTTCTGTGGTGGCCCCTCGGCTTTGGAACACCCTCCCTATAGAGATACGATCAGCCTCTTCGCTGATGGTGTTTCGGAAGAGATTAAAAACATGGTTGTGTAAACAAGCATTCGGTTAGTTTGTTATCACCGAATTTTATGGACTAAGGACTGGTTAATTATGGATGACGAATTCTGGACTGTGATTTTAGTGACGAGATACATGGTATTATTATTGGTGGCCCAATAATTTGTATTGTCTATGTGTTGTTGTTTTAAATTGTATATTGTTTTTAATTGTTGTAAACCGCAATGAGTCGCCGACTTAGGCTGAGATATTAGTGGTATACAAGTGTATTAAATAAATAAATAAATAAATAAATATTTATCCAATGTACCCCTTCCTCTATAAATGGTTTCCCAGCGATTGCCTTATCAGTGACATTCAATGCCTACTTATGTGACTTCTCCTCCTTAAATTAAAGGAGAAAGAACATAGAAATTACTTGAGTGAAAAGAGGAATGTAATTTTGAAACTTAAATAACCTGTTAGATGACAACTCCTCGATCTGTACTACAGCTGTTCATTCTTTCTCTTTGTTTACGGACATCTCTTTTTGCAATATGAAATGGAAACTAGAGAATAATCAGACTATTCTGCAAACTATTCTGAAGATTGTGGAGTAGAGGTTATTTTATAGTATTTGCAGAGTTTATGATCAGGTCACATCCAGAGTTCTCTGTTGACTAAATGTCATAAGTAACCTTCCTTGTAAGCACTTCCTTGGAAACTGTTTGCAATGCCGCATTAGAGAAAACAAGTTTTTAATTCACACTTTGCTACGCTCTTCACTATGGTAGAAGTTAATTTCTGAATCATTTTAGGTGATTACATACCTTTGCTATTCTATCTGCAGTTTCTTTGCAGAACTGAGTTGGATTATCAAAATGCTGGATTAGATGAGGCAATAAACACAAGATGTTGAGAGGAAATCCTGCATAGGAAGAAATGAAGCAGAGTATATCTGTACAAAGGACACATTTCTAGTCTTTTGTGACTACTTATTCCAAAATATGATGCCAGCAAATGCTATGTGATTTAAATCCAACAAAAATAGATTTTAATTTTAATGTGTCATGACAGTATTTCCTGCCCAGTTTACTGTATTGTTGCACTTTCCTGCGCTCCTGTAAAAATGTATTGCACTCATTGAATCTGTACCTCAGCTATGTTTCTTTCAGCCGTATTGTTTTTATATTGCTTTCCATTGTGTTGTTATTTGTTTTATCTGATGTTTTAATTGGTTAAAGTGTTTTATATGTGTACTTTAATTGTAATCTTGGGTGTGTCCCTTGTAAGCCGCCCCGAGTCCTCTAGGGGAGATGGTTGGCAGGGTATAAAAATAAAGTTATTATTATATTATTATAATTCTTTGAGAAATCTACTATAATCACAAGATAAGATATTTCTTTTTTCTAAACCTCTCTTGTGAACTCTTTTCATATAACACCTCACTGCTTTTTTGCCAAGTCAGTTTTGCAATTTGAATTTTCAGCAGTCAATATAACATTGGCTACATATCTTACATCTGAAAAGTTTACCTGTTAATTGGGAAGGATCCACCAACGCATGTTTGGAGACTGTGATGAGTTTGCTAAGTAAATGAACTGTCATTTCCTGTGTAGAAACTGAGGTAAAACCCTTCAGGAAGAGATGCTGAAGGCCTGGAAAGTTATTCCATTTTAATTTACTTTGCATTTTTTCAATTTTCTCCCTGCTTTCAGACTTATCCAGAGGCAAATGGACCAGAAGTCTGTTGAGCAGCCTGAGAGCCAGGAGGTATTCATATTCATAATCTGATTCAAGCAATGATGCCGCAATCCAGAATATGGTAGCCATCAGGTTCACAGGGTCAGTAGTAGGCTGCACATCATGCATTCCTCCCTCTTTCAGGGAGGAAAGGCTTCTAGTCCTTGCTAAACTGTTGGAATGGTTTATCCTTCCATCCATTATATCCAGTGTGTTGCTCCTCCGCCGATCAATCTTTCGGTCCCCTATTAAACTCAGTCGCAAAGAGTTGCTTCTCATGTTACTATAGTAGCCTATAAAATTGCCACTGCTAATGGAGCTTGTGCTTAGGTTTATCTGACCAGTGCTTTTCCTGTTAGCTGCATATTTGTTTCCCATTAATGGATCATGGTATGAAGCACTGAAATGAAAAAAAGAGTATGGCACATCAAAGTTATAAAAAACAATCTCAAAAACACCAAGGAATTTATTCTCCCAATTTCATTTCATATAAGAATTATAGAATCATAGAGTTGGAAGAGACCTCATGGGCCATCCAGTCCAACCCCCTGACAAGAAGCAGGAAAATTGCATTCAAAGTTCAAGAACCCACTGGGAAGCCAGGGATTGAGGAAGGATTGAGGAAGAAGGCTACTCAGGAGCTGGCAGATTTATCTCTGAATGTTTACAGACTATTTTCCCTGCTTTCCTTACCACGACCACCACTATCACCAAACACATGTTTTGTTCCTGCTACCATGACTGCTGCCTGCATCAGCATAGTTATACTGCCTACAAGGATTTTAGTCATAATCTCTAAGACAAGTTTATAACATAATGGGGGCCCCCGGTGGTGCAGCGGGTTAAACCGCTGAGCTGCTGAACTAGCTGACTGAAAGGTTGGCAGTTCGAATCAGGGGTGCGGGGTGAGCTCCCGCTATTAGCCCCAGTTTCTGCCAATTTAGCACTTAGAAAACATGAAAATGTGAGGGGTATTTTTTTTGGTTGTGTCAGGAGCGAGTTGAGAAACTGCAAGTCGCTTTTGGTGTGAGAGAATTGGCCGTCTGCAAGGACATTGCCCAGGGGACATGCAAATGTGAGGGGGGGTTTTTTTGGTTGTGTCAGGAGCGAGTTGAGAAACTGCAAGTCGCTTTTGGTGTGAGAGAATTGGCCGTCTGCAAGGACTTTGCCCAGGGGACGCCCGGATATTTTGATGTTTTATCATCCTTGTGGGAGGCTTCTCTCATGTCCCCGCATGAGGAGCTGGAGCTGATAGAGGGAGCTCATCCACGCTCTCCCCGGATTCAAACCTGCAATCTGTTGGTCTTCAGTCCTGCTGGCACAGAGGTTTAACCCACTGCGCCACCGGGGTACCGATGTGAGTAGATCAATAGGTACTGCTCCAGTAGGAAGGTAACGACGCTCCATGCAGTCATGTTGGCCACATGACTTAGGAGGTGTCTACGAACAACACTGGCTCTTTGGCTTAGAAATGGAGATGAGCACCACCCCCAGGAGCCTTTACTATTCTACAATGAGCTAACGTTTTAAGAGAAAACCTTAGTAAACTTTAAACAAACAAAACATTCAGGTCTTTCTAAAATTACCCCAAGGCAAAATTGATTAACTTCTTAGGAAGGAGAGTTCTAATACTATGGGTTCATCATTTGAAAAGCCTGACGAAGAATCAATGTATAGTTTGCCAGTATGACAGGATGCATTCTGAATGTTTAAGACAACAATCCCATACACACCTCCATGAGTACACCCTAATGAAAGGGGCATACTGGAGAACTTACTGTGAAAGTCCATTCTTGCTAAGGAGAAGGACCTATCCATTAATGGGTTAATTCTTGTCCCACCCAAGCTATGCAAAATGTCATGTGATTTTAAATCAAAACTTTCTTTTAGTCCTTATTTCCTCCTGCTTTAGTTCTTCCACAAGTCAAGGCAACAAAAAAAGTAGAAAGAAGACCCTGCACAGTATTTTGTAAAAGGCCAGAGGAAGAACCAAAGTAGGAAGAGATGAGGACCAACAGAAATTTTAGTTGAGGACCACATGGCATTTTGGCATCAAGAATGATCCATTCATGGATGATTCCTTCTCTGCTGACAGAGAATGAAAATAATTACCATTGGATAGGAATGTCTATTCTGCACATTCCTCATCCAGCATTTATGTGATTATAGTTGAAGTTATGCTGTTTCCACCCAGCTTTTCACATTTCAAGGGAAGAAAAAAGGGAAAATATGGAAGAAAAGGCATAAAAAGCAGATAAACCCACTTCTGCAACCCATGGAAGCATTTGTCAATAAAGTATCAAGTTCTGAGTTTTTGAAATCATGGGAACCAGATGAAAAAGAAAACAGAGCTTCTGCACTTTTGTTGCATAGAAGAAGCAAACTGCATGGCAAGCTACACCTACAAAAATTGCCTTCTTCCATAACTTGAGCTATCCTATTCTAAGTAGGTACATATTTTCAATTTCTCTCCACATGCCATGATAATTTGTAACCTGCAGATTCCCTCATCTCCTTTTTCCATGCAGCAAAAATAAATTTTGGGCTTCATGGTCAAATGATGCAAGACACACACTACAGATGACTACATCATTTCTTACTGGGAAAGTGCGGTGAGAAGATCATAATGCTTCATGGTGTCTGCCAGTGTATCAGCAGCTGACTCTAAAGTAAGAAGTAGTTCTATGACAAAACCCTGTGGGGGAAAATTTGGGACACATACACAACAGAGGGACAAAGATTTCAAGAGAAAATTAGTGCAAGGGACAGATGACAAGAAGCAAGAACGCATCTCCATACACACAGAATATGTAATCTACCACCAAATTATACTGTTTCCCCCTCCCAAGAGAACAGGATAGTATAGCTTCTATAATCACAGTTTGTCTTTAAAGAAATAGCTGAAATGTCTTGGAAGTGAATCAGTTTAAAGTGTACACAGTCCAGCTCCTGTCAGTCAATTATTCACATGTATGCTTCTAGGAGACTTAGCAACTGTATTCAGAATGGCTTCACGTGTTTTCCAGCACACAGAAGCACTATGTAGGAGAAGCTTTGTGTGCTTATTTTTCTTCAGCTTAATTACATTTACATTTTGAGAACTCTCACAACACCATAAATCAGTGGTTCTCAACTGTGGGTCCCCAGATGCTTTGGCCTTCAATTCCCAGAAATCCTAACAGCTGGTAAACTGGCCGGGATTTCTGGGAGTTGTAGGCCAAAAAAACCAGGGGACTCAGAGGTTGAGACCCACTGTCATAAAGGAAAAGTGAGGGATGATATTTGAAATATTTGTTCAAAATGTAATATGAAACATATTATATTCCTACATTATTAATATATTTATATTTAATCTTGGTTTTGTACAGCAACATTTAAAATTCAGTTACATGTGAGCAGAATCAGGTTCATGTGACACATGCTAAATGCTATTGTGTGCAACTTATAAGTTATACTTTTCACATAAAGACAGTTGAATAAATTCAAGCAATGAATGAACATTTATTTAAATACCTTAAATTGCACATTAAAACTGTTTTTAGTAGACAAAAAAGTACCTGAGCTTCTTCTCCTGCATCCCCAACAGTTTCCACCAGTCTGGACAAAATGTCAGAAAGCGTAGATGCAGACAGAGGTTGCTTCAGTGCGCGAAAGATCTGGAAGGATCTCCCAGCATAATGCCGAGAGGAGCAGGAAAGTGCAGTTTGAAGAGCAACTTCACTCAGGTGATGTTCCAGCTGAAATCCAACTGTAAATAAAGTGACCGTACATAAGAGCATGAAGTAAAGAATGGAATTGAGAAACTTTATACACAGCAAATTACTGTGCCAACATACACATTTATTCCAGCAAAATACATTAGAAGTGGACATTAAATTATTACTTTTTCTTCAGTATGTGTATATGTGTGTGTGTGTGTGTGTGTACACACACACACACACACACACACCTCTTTATTTTGTTTAGATAGCCAAGATTTTAATGAACCATGATACAAACTCTATTAAGATGGGTTTTGGGTTACTTTCATTTGACCATTAAAATATCATTTTTATTAGGCTAAGCACATTAAAATATCATTTTAATTTTTATTAGGCTAAGCACAGTGGAAGAGCAATTGAAGCCATGGGATTTGTATACAAGACTGATTTTAGGGGATGAAGGAAATGTTATCTCTCCCGTGGGTGTTTCTTTGTCCTTCCAGAATTGCGCTAGTTTTATTCTTGCTGCTGTTACCATATAAAACATTTTTTTATTTGTATTACTGTCCATATCGAAGTCGGTTAAGCCCAGTAAGAAATACTCCGGCTTAAACTCGCATTTGATTTGTAAAATCAAAAATCAAATAATTTTATTTGGGTCTTCAGGATAAACATAGATCCTATGGCCTCAATATTTAGCCTAGGATGATTTTTGTAGTTCTTTAGTTCTGTCCTTAATACCAGCCTGGACAACTTGAAAGCTGCTGCTGATTATAGTAATTTTATTTCTTGCCCGGCTCTCCTCGTAGCTCGAGGTGGATTACAGCATAATTACAACACATAAACATTGTAAAATTCTATAAATATACACATTTCTATAAAAGATACAGATTAAAATGTATTTTAGAAGATCTTTTAGTTATCCAAGGAATTATCCAGTGCTGTTTATAGATTTTGCTCACACATCACACTTTGTATTTATTTTTTCTATTATTGCACCAAAAGTTTAATGTTTTGTTGTTCTATGGTTTTATTGTTATTCTTCTGTTTTATATTAATTTTATGATACTTGCACTTATTAGTAATGTTGTACAAATAAATAAACCAAGTATATAGAGTTCCTGTCTCGATATCTGGATACTGAGGCAAAACCTAAATACGTAGATTTATGAGCTATGTATTTATGAGCTATGTATTAACTGGAAGAATTTGGAGAGACATGAAAATACACAAACATTTTCTAATGCAGTTCACGGAAGTGAGTGACCTGCTAGTCTTATCCCTGCAGTTGCCCTGCTGAATGTTTGGTGGTACCGCAACAAAAAATGCAATATTTTCGAAATAGATTGATTGGAAAGTTTGACAAAAAGGAATCCCTGTTTATATACTTCTAAAGTGCTGCATTTTTGAACAATGCCATATCACTGAAATTCAGAGACAACAGGATGAATAATAGGACCCATATTTTGCCAGTATATATAGTATTATTCTTTCCCCTTGAAATCTTCCTATATGAAAAATGCATCATACATTACCAGTTGCAAAGCATACCTGAACTTGATTGTTTAAATACAGAAATGACATGCTTTAGAAATACGGTTAACTGCTCTGCACTCTTTATGCTTGGATTCTTTGCTGAAACATCTTCATGATTCCAAAGCGGACCTCGTTTTCTAAAAAAACAAAGAAGGAAACTTGAAACTCATCTGTCATAAATGTTAAGACAATACATCTTGAAAGTGTTCAATTTGTTGAAAACAGAAAATTCAATTTTATCACCCCATTAAATCTTCCTTTATATAAAATGCAGTAGATGCAAATATTTGATGACTAGAGAAATAACATTTTCCTCCAGCCCATTAAAGTCTTCCCCTATATAGAGTACAGGACTGCTGAAGATATCTAAGGCTGTTAGGCAAAAATGGGACAAGTATATTTCTAAACAGCACTTGGTTTATTAGCCAACGCTGAAGATTGAATAAAAACAGAAAGCTGAGGTTGCACAAGAAGCTAAAAAAGGATCAAATTATGACAAAGTTGTAAAAATATGCCCAATGAAAGGCTCTTATAGAAGTTACTTCAGTACGAACATTGGTTCTCAAGTTCTAGGGAATCTGAATGAGACAGTCAAACATCAATGCTCACTAAAACAATGTTCAATTCATCCATCTCTCCATTTCTGCTGAATATTCAGACAACAAAGCCTAATACAGGGTGTGGCAGCATAACTTCCTTTTTTCAAAACTTAATAAAACCCATTGTATGAATCAGAAAATTTTATTTTTATAATGTAGGTGCACACCTAAAGTTTTGTTTTATGTAGTTTTGAAGATCAAATTCGGTAGGTGACATCCCCCATTCTCCATACACTGAGTAAACCGATTTCTGGCGTTTGTCATGACTCTTGCCAGTATAGCAGGCGTTATGTTGGCAATTTCTTCCTGGATGTTGGTCTTCAAATCTTGTAGGGTCCTTGGACAGTTCACATAAACACAGGATTTAAAAAAAAACCCATTAAAAATCACAAGGGGCCAAATCTGGAGAGCGGGCTAGCCACTCCAAATCCGCTCGAAAAATAGGCCTCAACGGCAAAAGCATGCTCCTCACTGTTCCAACGTATGATGGCAACTGAACTTTACACTCCCGCCTCTCAAATGAGACCACTAGGCTCCGCTACATCTTCAACTGACTGAATGGTGAGCATTTTAAAAAAGGAAGTTATGCTGCCTCACCCTGTACAAGTATTTATTTCTCGTGTCAGAAGCAAATTGAGAATACAGTTATAATGTATAAAAAATCACTAAGTTAAAAATCTGGCATTATACTACATTTCTTTTGATCAGAAGCTGGCCACTTGGAGTGCCTCTGGTGTCGCTGTAAGAAGGTCCTCCATTGTGCATGTGACAGGGCTCAGACTGCACTGCAGTAAGTAGTCTGTGGTTTGCTCTTCTCCACATTCGCATGTCGCAGACTTCACTTTGTACCCCCTTTTCTTAAGGCTGGCTCTGCATCTTGTGGTGCCAGAGCGCAGGCTGTTCAACGCCTGCCAAGTCTCCCAGTCTTCTGTGTGCCCAGGAGGGAGTTTCTCATCCGGTATCAGCCATGATTGATGTTCTGAGTTTTTACCTGCCACTTTTGGACTCTTGCTTGCTGAGGTGTTCCTGCGAGTATCTCTGTAGATCTGTTCCTTGATTTAAGTCATTGGCATGCTGGCTGATCTCCGAAGAAAGGATGGGTTGGAGATGTCAATGCCCTGATCCTTTCATTGCTGGCTATTTCCCAGCAGATATCAGGTGGTGCAATACTGGCTAAACAGTATAATTTCTCCAGCGGTGTTGGGCACAGACATAGATAATGCGGCATGTCTCATTAAAAGCCACATCCATTGTTTTAACATGGTGAGATGTATTCCATACTGGGCATGCGTACTCAGCAGCAGAGTAGCAAAACACAAGAGCAGACTTCCAGTATGCCTAATTCAAGTGGAAACACTCATATATATTCTGTAGCAGTAAAATTATATTGGGAAATCAACAGCTAGGTTTGTTTATTTCTTTATTGGCACTTTATTTTGCAGGATCATGATGGGCACCAGAAATGTTGAAACCAGTAGATATCTCCATGCAAGACATGGCCAACATGTTTGAACATGGCCAAAGTATCACAGAATTGAATAAAAGGTGCTACACTTTAAACTTTAAATATTACCTGGTAGTAATAAACTCCATGAGTGATTTCATTTTTTCATCTTGCTCTCCTGAAATGTCAACTTCACTGAGGATGGTGCTATGCATATGAGAAATGGCAGCACTGGTATTTCCTAAGCTGATGCTAGAAGAGGTAGAACTTGAACTGAGCCCTGAGTCTGTCATTGGGGAGGGCTGGTGATCCGGTATAAAATCATTTACACCTAATTACAGAAAGACATAATTACTATCATAAAACAAAATCTTATAGGACATTGCAATGTACGCTAATAAATATTTACTATTTTTAATACAAATTATTAATATATAATTTCAAAAACAAAAAATACTATGAAATCCATCAGCTGGGTGGTCATATTATGTGGTTTAGTGCTGCCATCTGCTGAAATAAAATAGAAAATGCCCATGCAGCACAAAATAGTTTCAGATTTGTATTTCTTTATGTATGCAACAGGGACACGAAAGAAGCATTCCCACAGGATGGTAAAACATCCTGGGCAACGTCCCTGCAGACAGCCAATTCCCTCACACCAAAAGCGACTTGCAGTTTCTCAAGTCGCTCCTGACACGAAAAAAAATTGCATGCAACATAAATGATGTATGTAGAAGAAAGCATACATACTAAAACTAAATGTTCAAAGAATTATCTATCATTTTCTATATTATTTACAAAATGGAAATAGCAGGTTGATTGCATATAACTGTATTTCTTTGAAAGTTTCTGTACCTGTGCAGCCTATCTTTGAAAATTTCTACAGTAAGTTGGCTTTGGGTGACAAAGCCAACTTATCCATCCAACATGCCCTGGTTGATTCCCATTCAAATCTCCTCAGTTCCTGTCTGCCAAAGCAAACAAGAGCCAAGGATGAGCATGATGGAGAGGGTGGGTGGATTGTGTGGGTTCGCAGATGACGATTTGAAGAAACAGTAACAGGTTAGCAACCTGCTCTTCTTCATGGACTCTGCTTCACACACATGGGAAATTAACAAGCTACAAGGCTAGCTGATGGGTGATTCATGCTTTGGAAGAGTTAAGGACAACAAATCCAAAGCAGAAGTAGCTCCTGCACCAATATCTAATTTGTAGTGTTTAATTAAAGTTGGGGTTTGTATTTAGGGTCAACAGTACCCTGATTAGAAAGGTGTAATTGCTATGGCCCCATGTGCTTTGTTTTCACAAGTTCAATATATTTCAGCCACTAATAAAAGTGACCTTTCTTGGGGTCTTCACTTTACATAGAAATTTTTGAGTGGTATAAGCATTCTCCAAAGAAATGGACTATTAACTTAAGCAAAACGAGTCTCAATTCCTTTGGAGAGTATAACTTGGGAGCAGTTTCAAAAAACAGTTAGCAAAGGGGAAGAAGCATAAAGGGAATGGCAAAGATAAAGATACAAAATCTCACCTAACTTAGACATTCGACTCTGTCTGTACTAAGTTCTACATTTTAAAAAAAAAGCCTAATATCAGTCCTTAATATATGTTATTACATTATGTGCAGGGGCTTAGTGCCACTGATCTCTGTTTAGATTTATAACTAAAACATTAATGAATTTATGCCCTATATCAAGGATACTCAAACTTTTTAAACAGAGGGACTGGTCTCAGTCCCTCAAACTGTTGGAGGGCTGGATTATAATTTGAAAAAAACCACATGAATGAATTCCTGTGCACAGTGTACATATCTTATTTGTAGTGCAAAAAACACTTAAAAACAATACAATAATTAAAATGAAGAACAATTTGAACAAATATAAATTTATTAGTATTTCAGTGGGAAGTGTGGGCCTGCTTTTGGTTTATGAGATGGGATTGTTGTTGTTTTTGTTATGTGCTTTCAAATCATTTCAGACTTAGGTTGACCCTGAGTAAGGGCCGGGTAAATGACCTTGGAGGGCCGTATCTGGCCCCTGGGCCTTACTTTGAGGACTCCTGCCCTATATCCTAGAACCCGATCCCAGATTATCTGCTTTGAACTGGATTATATGAGTCTACACTGCCAGATAATCTGGGATCAGATCCTGGGATATAGTGCAGTGTAGACCCAGCCCTAGTTTCATAAATTGTCTATTAAAATTGAGACGATGTCTAATAATTAGCTGTAAATAACTTTTGGCTGCAATGGTTAATAAGTATATTGTTACGGACAATTCAATCTCAAAATATTCAATGTATTAACTAGAAGCATATCTAAAATACCTGTGAAGATGTAATCCAAATGTGCTGTTTGTTTGACAGTGAGCACCCGGGGTTCATTAAACTCCCTATTCCTGAGAAGGACTGAAGCCACAGACTGGACATTACTGCTAGAGCCCATCACAATCAATAAATGCAATAGGAGATGTTTGCAGTGTTCATATACTTCAGGATGGTGATGGTCAAGTCCTAAAAGCAATAAAAGATCACACATTAGAGACAGTACAGTCAGAATGACATCTTCCACTTGTTGTAATAGTATTATCCAAAGGAATTATATTACTAATTTACTAGAAACCAGACAAGAAAATAGAAGTAGTCGGAATGTATGCTCTTGCCAGCCAATTACTACTCTGTTAAATCTAGGGTTGGCATACTCTGGAGGGCTGTAACACATAGCTGAAGCCACCATTTGGGGGTGATCAGAAGTCACCTTTGTGGTTTTTGAAATATTCTTGCTGTTTGAGAAGGGGGAATTTGGGCCGTGGTTTGGAGTAACACTGAGATTCCCAAGAGCTGCATTGCAAGACAAAGGGGAATAATAATAATAATAATAATAATAATAATAATAATAATACTTTATTTATACCCTGCCACCATCTCCCCAAGGGACTTGGAGTGGCTTACATGAGGCCAAGCCCAACAACACATCAATAAAACAAAAAAGCAATAAACAAAACAGTACAATACAATACAAATTAATATAAATCACATATAGGCAATAACACACAAGGATTTAAAAACCCATGACCGGGCCAAATGTAATAGTTTAAAATTTTAAAAATAAATGCTGGGCATGAAAAAGGTAGGATATATCTGGTAGGAGGGTTTTAGAGAAGAGAGGGGAGCGCAATCCAATAGTTAAAGTGCATTCTGAAGACATATTGCTGGGAATCATTTCCTTATTCCAGGAAGGCACACTGGAACAGCCACGTTTTCAGGCTCCTCCTAAAGACTGCCAATGTTGGGGCATGCCTGATATCCTTGGGAAGTGAGTTCCAGAGTCGGGGGGCCACCACTGAGAAGGCCCTCTGCCTCGTCCCCACCAATCACACCTGCGAGGGAGATGGGAGCGCAAGCAGGGCCTCTCCAGATGATCAAAGAAGCATGGGATTGTAAGTTAAATTGGAGTCCATTTTTATATAAACGAAGTTACCTATAAACACTGCGTGAAGTAAGAGGTGCAGATAGTTCCCCCAGTCAACCTTCACACTGTGATCAATTATCAAGTCAGTCAACAGAATCACTGCTATGTTACACCTACAAAAAATTAATAAATACTGGTTAAAAAAACAAAATACAATAGCAGTTACTACTAGTATCCCAGCTACAAAATTATAATTAATTCCACAATCAACATCAGTCTAAATTAATCCAGTTCTCTCAAGAATTATTCAGACATGTTTGAGGCTGTCATATATGAAGCATTTATTTATTTATTTGCAGTATTTCTATCCCGCCTTTCTCAACCTGAAGGTGACTCAAGACGGCTTACAAATTGGCAGCAATTTGATGCCACAAGAGTTATAAATACCATTAAAACATTTAGCATAACATAAACATCCATATAAAAACCATTAAAAACATATAATCACCATTTCTCTCATTATTTCTACTGATTGAACTACTGATTGGTCGGGGAGTTCCCTGATTTCCCTGATTTGAGATGCTCAACCACTACTGCAAATAAATATAAACTAATATAGAAGTATTACAAACACAGAGTTGGAAGGGGCCCCATAGACCACTGTGATCAATTTCCTGCTCAGTGTGGGAAATCCGGTTAGCACAGCCCAAGCAGGTAGTTTTTCAGCCTCTGTTTGCCTTGCAGCCAATGATGACGACTCTTTCAATACGGATTTCCAACCAATGACAGTTGTCAATACCTGATTTACATCTATTGCTTACCGATGAAGAACCATGCCAGGAGAAGATGTTTCAGGCAGATAATCCACCAATGGTGACCAACAACCCCCTGAAGGTGGAAATGGTAAAGGTTCTCCTTCATTGTGCTCCATCACTTTCAGCCGCCAATTTGAGTACAGTGGCATTGAATCACCTAGCAATTATCAACAGTATTAGTTTCACAACTTGAGTTTCATTCTAATATATTCATGCTAATTGAAACAATTTGTTTTCAAATATGCATACAGCACCATTTTGCACTCCACATGCACTCCAATATTCAGATGCCTTCTAACAGTTTCTTCTTCAACAATAGCACCCCACATCAATTACTACTCTGTCCCTTGGACTGTTTTATATAAGTATTTACTTCATGTTCCTAGGAACAAAAGACATGGAATTTCTGCATTCAAAACTGGGCTGGGGCTAAGGGAAAAAGCCCCAAATGCTGTTGTGGTTATATAGCCAATAACCATTTCAACTGTGGACATTAAAATTTAATAGCCCCTAGATCAGCGTTTCTCAACATGGGGGTTGGGACCCTGGGGGGGGGGGGGGCCATGAGGGGTGTAAGAGGGGTCACCAAAGACCATCGGAAAACACAGTATTTTCTGATGGTTAACTACAACTCCAAAATTCAAGATCAATGCCCACCAAACCCTTCTAGTGTTTTCTGTTGGCAGTTCTGTGTGCCAAGTTTGGTTCAATTCCATCGCTGGTAGAGTTCAGAATGCTCTTTGATGGTTGTTGTTGTTCATTCGTTCAGTCATTTCCGGCTCTTCGTGACCTCATGGACCAGCCCACAAAAGAGCTCCCTGTCAGCCGTCAACACCCCCAGCTCCTTCAAGGTCAATCCAGTCACTTCAAGGATCCCATCCATCCATCTTGCCCTTGGTCGGCCCCTCTTCCTTTTTCCTTCCATTTTCCCAGCATAATTGTCTTCTCTAATTGTCTTTGATGGTAGGTGAACTATAAATCCCAGCAACTACAACTCCCAAATGACAAAATCAATCCCCCCCCCCCCCAACCCCACCAGTATTCAAATTTGGACTTATTAGGTATTTGTTCAAAATTTGGTCCAGTGAATAAAAATATAAACTGCATATGAGATATTTACATTATGATTCATAACAGGAGCAAAATTACAATTATGAAGTAGCAATAAAAATAAAATTTATGGTTGGGGGTCAACACAACATGAGGAACTGTATTAAGGTGTCGCACACATTAGGAAGATTGAAAAACACTGCCCTAGATTGTGCGTATGTGCTTTCAGGTCACCTGTTGACCTATGAAGATCTCATGAATTTCATAGGGTGTTTTAGGCAAAGAAAACACAAGTGGTTTTCCAGTTTTATTCTGCAATATAGCATACAGCACCTTGTATTTTTTAGTGGCCTTCCATTTGAATAGTAACAGATGCTAACAAAAACTGGGCAAAGTGCTATGGCAGGTTGTTCTAGACTCCTATAAGGTAAAAGAAGAGGTGCTTTTGGCATAGTATGGCCTAAGTCCTGGTGTAAGACCTGACTGTAGTAGACCCATGGAATTTACCCATCAGCTGAATTTTGCTATGCGCAACTTTCCATTCAACAATTGATCAAATGGGCCTACTCTAGTTGAGAACAACCAATAGACCATGTGTGTTAGGAATATAGAGGTGTCTGTCCAATGACACACAAGCTGATTGTTTCTAATTTTCTCAAAGCAAAGAAAAATAAACTGGGAAGTTACTGTTTGATCCACAGTTAAAATACGGTAGGCGCCTACCCTATTTATACACATAATAAAAGTGAAAATATGTATGTGTGTGGTGTGTGGTTGGAGTGTCCACTTACACAGACAAGCTCCTGCCTCCACAAATAGCTATAGCTCCCACTACTCAGGAGACACCAATGGCCCTCCCTCCAATGACATTGCAGGTTACAGCAAGCACCATGAACATGTAGAAGAGCCCTGCCAATGTCCTCCACAAAAACAATACTGCCCACCATGCAAGTGAAGGCTTTCAAATGGGGACAATTTCTTCCTAGGTTTTATGTGTTTCCCCCGCCACAGACATCCCAGTGTTTCTTACTCTCCTCATTGGTGTGGAATTTGCATGACCCCACCCACTGCCTCTCCCTTAACCCTTTCCTATTCTTTTCTATGGCACACAGCAAAATGAGGAATTGATCAGCAACTGAACATACACATACTAGAGAGTTTTGGGGAGAATTCACCATGATTTATAGGAGCTGTAGGTATTGGGGTGTATATTTCACTTGCAATCCAAGAGCACTCTGAACTCCACCAACGATGGGCCTGGAACTAACGTGATACACAGAACCCATGACCAATAAAACATACTGGAGGGCTTTGGAGGGATTTATAGGAGTTGTAGTGCACCTACATCTAGAGCACACTATGAACTCAAACAACAATGGATCTGGACCAAACTTGTCATGCATACTCGATATGCCCACATTTGAATACTGGTGGGTTTTGAGGGGAACAATCCTGTATAATTTGGAGTTGTCCTGTACAACTGGGATTCATAGTTCACCTGCAATCAATGAGCACTCTGAATTCCACCAAAGATGAAATTGGACCAAACTTGGCACACAGAGCCCCAATGATCAAGTAAAAAATACTGGAGGTCTTTGGGTGAAGTTCACCTTGATTTGGGAGAGCTGTAGTTCACCTACATCCAGAGAGCACTGTAAACCCAAACACCAATGGATTTGGATCAAACTTGGCATACATACCTGATATGCCAAAATTTGATTACTGGAAGGATTTGGGGGGAACTGAACTTCCTTTCTGGGAGCTGTAGTTTACCCACAACCAGAAAAACTGTGATCTCCACTGATGATGGACCTGGACATACTTGGCACACAGAACCCCAATGACTAACTCAACCTACTGGAGGAGTTTGAGGGGACTGACTCACCATAGTGGGAGTTTAGTTTACCCTACACAGCCAGAGAGCACACTGAACCCCACCAATGATGCATCTAGAGCAAACTTGACCAACATAACAAACTTTAAGTACTGATAGAGTTTTTCAGGTTTAACCTGGCATGATGTGAGTTGTAGTTCACCCACAACTTTATGCATTTTGTGCAATTAAATTCAAATAACCCAGGCAACGCTAGATACCCAAACTAGTAATAAATAAAGATCAGGTATCCCTCAACACTGCTAAATATATTTTGCACAAAATCCAGCTAGCATTGCTCATGTGTGCATCTACCTATGAAAGATGGTATCACTATGAGGAAATTAAAAAAAAATCATACTTTTCTCTTCTTCATATGATCCTCCCGAACTGCTGCTATAGCGAGATTCTAGCCTGTGGTGCTGGCGATTTAGATTACTATTCAATCCACTGTAGATATCTAGATGTACATAACTGAATGGACACAAAAGATGATGTTAGCAACAGATAAAAACTTTTTATTAATTAAATTGTAAATTTTCCTCTAAAAGAACAAATAATTTGTATTTTAAATGTGTTTCAATACTGTTGTTGTTTGAAGAACCTCTACTTACTTTTCATCAGTACTCTCTTTTATATTCTTATTGTCAGGATTACCATCTGAGGGTGCCACCATTGTATTGCTACTTGAAGTAGTACCTAAAAATGTAAAATAATGTGCTCTTTAGCATGTTTTATATACTGTAAAATGCAACTGGATTTCTGAATATAACTTATCATTTTGATATGCATAAGGACTCTTACTTGTCAAACTTTGTGCAATCAGAAAGCTATGAGAAGAATGCTTAAAATCAAAATGCAAGGGACCATGCAATTAGTTCTTGAACATCCAAACAAGCTTTGGTGCTTCTGCTCAGCATTCCTTCATGTCATACTGTATGTTATACTTTGAAACCGAGATGAGTTTCAAAACAGCTTGTGAGATGAAAAGGGCTTGGAATCATTTGTGTTAAAGGTAAATTGATACCAGAGGCTTTACTTTTGAAATTAATTTGTTAACACTGGTTCAGGTTTTTAAAATAATATTACAAACCTAATTTGTAATAATTTCATTAGATGTGAACTGTACATTCGCATATTTTATTTAAAGATTCACTTTTATTAAACATGGCAAAATAACAGCTTTTAAATCACTGTCTTAAATTCTGATGAATTAACAAATTAATTTCTAATGAGTTTTCCAAGCTTTGGATATGGCAGCTGTTTCAAGAAAAGAAAAGAAAATCCACCAGCCATGCACAAGTCCTTAAATAAATTCTATGTTCCATAATGGAAAGATAAATGATTTTACTGCTCAATGCTTTTTTAAAAAAAAACTAAAAAGGGGGGAAGGGGTGCAGGGGAGCACTGCCTAAATGTTCTTAGCTCATTAATCTTCTCTCAAGTCTTCAAACATTCATGGAAAGTACCTCTGCATCTAGAGCTAGACTTCTCGCTTCCCATTCCTTTGAAGCATGGGGAGTGAGATAGCAGCAGCTCAATTATACATGTCATCAAAACTTCCAAAACAACTTTTAATATAAATACCCTTTATATTAACCATTCAAATGATAAAACGTCAATGCTATTAATATAAATATATATTACAATAATGAAATGCATCTATACATAAAGGAAAGGATTGATTAAATAATTTGTCTCACCTGAGGTAACAGAAGGGATTTTAAAACTGGAAGTGATGCGGTAATATGGTGGGTTGTCCATATGACTAACTCCAGAACTGACAGGGTCAGTAAGCTGTAGTTCACTCACCAGCTCTTCCAAAAGCTGCATGGTTTTATCTCTACCCAAGTAAACAATTACCTTCTTAACCTGTGATCCAAACATTAGGAACCAATCATTCAAGGAACCACTTAATACAGTACATATAATTATTGGTAATTAAACCTTTTAACTTCATTTTCATTGATATTTATTAAATCTTATATTACCTGTCACTTTACAAAGTAACCTCTTTGTCAACCCTTAAGCCAGAGGTCCTCAAACTAAGGCCCGAGGGCTGGATACGGCCCTCCAAGGTCATTTACCCAGCCCTCGCTCAGGGTCAACCTAAGTCTGAAACGACTTGAAAGCACACAATAACAACAACAATCCTATCTCATCAGCCAAAAGCAGGCCCAAACTTCCCATTGAAATACTAATAAGTTTATATTTCTTAAAATTGGTCTTCATTTTAATTATTGTATTGTTTAAAAGTATTTTTTGCACTACAAATAAGATACGTGCAGTGTGCATAGGAATTCATTCATGCTTTTTTCAAATTATAATCCGGCCCTCCAACAGTTTGAGGGACTGTGACCTGGCCCTCTGTTTAAAAAGTTTGAGGACTCCTGCCTTAAACCATTTTATTGTAAATGAAGAGGTTTCACTTTTTTCTTGAAGTTAAAGAATGTACTTTATAATTAAGAACACTAAATATGGTGTGTGTGTGTGTGTATATGTGTATATACACACACACACACACACACACACACCAGAGTGAATATTCCATCATCACTACTAACTCCGTACATTACTTGAACCTTTGAAATATTTTATGGAATTTTGAACTGAAATATTTAATGGAAAGATAAATCAATGGCAATTTTGGGAATTGACTTCAGAAGAATGTGAATTGTATCCTCATCAAGCAAAATTAGAATGTAAGAACTAGAAAATTGCACCTTTGGGAACGTGAATGGCCCCCTGCTCAAAGTAATATCTATATGAAACAGGTAATAAGAAGCTTAAGTCTTACTTACATAAGGCAACAGGCTGGGTTCGCTGTTCACTCCACAGATGCTGATCAAAAAATGCAGGATTATTTTCAAATTCTTTGGCCAACTGTCCGCTAGTGTAATCCAAACATTCTCAATTTCTGACCATGCTATTTCATCACCATACTAGAAAGCAATGTTTAGATCAATGATGTTCAACAAAAGTAATACATGGTAAGAAAATAATTCCTTATTAAATGCTTCATAGTCATGTAAATAAAATCAGTGGATAATAGACTAAAGAAAATATGAATGAGTTGTATGCTGATAAATATTATAAAATAGTGTAAATACTGTAGAAGTAGTGGTACCTGGTACTAGACGATGTGTGGTTCTACTTAATGACTAAACTTCTCCAAATTATATCTATCACTTCTCCCTGTTCCAGAAAACACTGCTCAATAAAATGAGAACATACAATGAGAACACAATAAGACTTACTTAAGAAGTAAGTAAGTAAGTAAGTAAGTAAGATGCATGGAAGTGGAAGAAGACAACAGAATAGGAAGGACAAGAGACCTCTTCCAGAAAATTAGAAACATTGGATGTAAATTTCAGGCAAAAATTGGTATGATAAGAAACAAAGATGGCAGGGACCTAACAGAAGCTGAAGAGATCAAGAGAAGGTGGCGAGACTATACAGAAGATCTGTATAGGAAGGATAATAATATTAAGGATAGTTTGACGGTGTGGTGAATGAATTAGAACCAGACATCCTGAGGAGTGAGGTTGAATGGGCCTTAAGAAGCATTGCTAACAACAAGGCAGCAGGAGATGACGGGATCCCAGCTGAACTGTTTAAAATCTTAAAAGATGATGCTGTCAAGGTGATGCATGCCATTTGCCAGCAAATATGGAAAACACAAGAATGGCCATCAGACTGGAAAAAATCAACTTATATCCCCATACCAAAAAAGGGAAATGCGAAAGACTGCTCCAACTTCCGTACAGTGGCCTTATTTCTCATGCCAGTAAGGTAATGCTCAAGATCCTGCAAGGAAGACTCCAGCAATACATGGAGCGAGAGTTGCCAGATGTTCAAGCTGGGTTTAGAAAAGGCAGAGGAACGAGAGACCAGATTGCCAATATCCGCTGGATAATGGAGAAAGGCAGGGAGTTTCAGAAAAACATCTACTTCTGCTTCATTGACTATTCTAAAGCCTTTGACTGTGTGGATCATAATAAATTGTGGCAAGCTCTCAGTGGGATGGGCATCCCAAGCCACCTTGTCTCTCTCCTGAGGAGTCTGTACAAGGACCAAGTAGCAACAGTAAGAACTGACTACGGAACAACAGACTGGTTCAAGATTGGGAAAGGCGTACGGCAAGGCTGCATCCTCTCACCCAACCTTTTTAACTTGTATGCAGAACACATCATGCGATGTGCGGGGCTGGATGAATGCAAAGCTGGGGTGAAAATTGCTGGAAGAAACATTAACAACCTTAGATATGCAGATGACACCACTCTGATGGCCGAAAGCGAGGAGGAGCTGAGGAGCCTTCTAATCAAGGTGAAAGAAGAAAGCACAAAAGCTGGGTTGCAGCTAAACATAAAAAAACCAAGATTATGGCAACAAGAATGATTGACAACTGGGAAATAGAGGGAGAAAATGTGGAGGCCGTGACAGACTTTGTATTTCTAGGTGCAAAGATTACTGCAGATGCAGACTGTGGCCAGGAAATCAGAAGACGCTTACTTCTTGGGAGGAGAGCAATGTCCAATCTCGATAAAATAGTAAAGAGTAGAGACATCAGACTGGCAACAAAGATCCGCCTAGTCAAAGCCATGGTATTCCCTGTAGTAACCTACGGATGTGAGAGCTGGACCTTAGGGAAGGCTGAGCGAAGGAAGATCGGTGCTTTTGAGCTGTGGTGTTGGAGGAAAGTGCTGAGAGTGCCTTGGACTGCGAGAAGATCCAACCAGTCCATCCTCCAGGAAATAAAGCCCGACTGCTCACTGGAGGGAAATATACTAGAGACAAAGTTGAAGTACTTTGGCCACATCATGAGAAGACAGGAAAGCTTAGAGAAGACAATGATGCTGGGGAAAATGGAAGGAAAAAGGAAGAGGGGCAGACCAAGGGCAAGATGGATGGATGGCATCCTTGAAGTGACTGGACTGACCTTGAGGGAGCTGGGGGTGGTGACGGCCGACAGGGAGCTCTGGCGTGGGCTGGTCCATGAGGTCACGAAGAGTCGGAGACGACTGAACGAATGAACAACAGCAAGAAGTAAGTCTCACTAAGTTCAATGCCTGCTCATTTCACACTGCGATCCTAGATTGGGTTCTCTCTCTGCTCCTTTCAACATGGTTCTTAAATATCCCGTCATGCCTCCTCTCTTTAGAGTTCCCTGGGAGATAGCTCTCATCAAGTTTCTTTAAATGAGATGGGTAGACTAAAGCTTACTGTCACTCTGACATAACTTCCACACTAAAGTGAAATTTATCACCATGATTGGGGTTAGAAAGTAAAACTTGTTACTCAACAATAACATTCCTACATATGATACTACTTCAATAATCAACTAAAGCACCAATATTCTGATTTAGCTTACCTTTGCTGTCATGTACATTAGGTTGTTTAAAACCAACGCTGTAGCCTGTGGCGATCCCCACCCTTCTCCTTTGAGCCAGCGCCTGCTATTCACCATCAGCTCTCTATCCTTCAAAGGATCTTCTTCATCTTCATCTTGCCGTCGAATTGTGGGCAAAGGTTTCAAATCCACCAGTTCAATATTATTCATCCAGGGAAGCAAATAATGCAGCATCACCTGCCTTCCAGAGGGGTGCGCCATTTGTATTCTCTGGCTTACTTCTGTGCTCAAAAAATAAATTTAAAAAATTAGAAAAATGTACAAGTTTTTTTATTGCCTTTCTTTACTTGAAATACGTTTGGTCACAAATGTTAGAACCATGCAAAACAACTGCTTATTTTTTAAATTCAGCCTACAACATCAAATAATGTTTTTATTCCTCAACCATAATATTTTTGTTCTACTTCCCTTGAACAACAATAAAAATAGGCAGCAGCGAAAAATGGAAAAATGAAGCTACTGAAAGACCTTTACAGAAAGATGCTTTAAAATGAAACTGAGTACATTAATTAAACATATAGTAGTACCCCAATCATGATAGTCAGTTAATTAAAACAAACTTTCTTAGCAACCCAACAGTGTCCTCAAGCTCAGTGCTGAAAGTCTTAAGTGTGTCTCCATTCATATAAGAGGGATTAGGTTAGCAAGCAGGTAGGGCTCATGACACTATGCAACACAATTTTTTTTCCTGTATCATGTACAGGGTGAGGCAACATAACTTCCTTTTTTAAAATGCGCACCATTCAGTTGGTTGAAGACGTAGTGGAGCGCTAGTGGTCTCGTTCGAGAGGCGGGAGTATAAAGTTTTGTCCTGACACAGTTAAGTTGCCATCATGCATTGGAACAGTGAAGAGCGTGCTTTGGCTGTTGAGGCCTACTTTTCGAGCAGATTTGGAGTGGCCGGCCTGCTCTCCAAATTTGGCCCCTTGTGATTTTTTTTCTATGGGGTTTTTTGAAATCCCGTGTTTATGTGAACCGTCCAAGGACCCTACAAGATTTGAAGACAACATCCAGGAAGAAATTGCCAACATAATGCCTGCTATGCTGGCAAGAGTCATGAAAAAACGCCAGAAATCGGTTTACTCAGTGTATGGAGAATGGGGAATTTGATCTTCAAAACTACGTAAAACAAAACTTTAGGTATGCAACTACATTATTAAACAAATAAAAATTTCTGATTCATACAATGGGTTTTATTAAGTTTTGAAAAAAGGAAGTTATGCTGCCTCACCCTGTACTATCACACTACGAATCACATTGTTTTCAACTGAATTATACTCCAATTAAACTAAATTATGTAACCATTTTGTCCTGAGTTCGGGAATAAAATCTAATGCAAAGTTGTAACAATGAAAGAGAAGGAACAACAATTTATCAATTAACAAACAGTCAAGATTTTGCCCAGATGAGGAGGGTGATGGTAATAGCAGAGAGAACTAAGAGCCCAAGGAAATGTTTGAAACTGATACAAATATATTTGAGGGAACAATAGGACTGCATTGTCATGCAATTAAAAACAAGCCTTGAAATAAAAACTTGTACTCATTGACCCACTAAATGAAAATGTTTTGTGTTAAAGTACTAGCCAGGCAGACACAAGCATGGACACACATATATACGGTATCTTGCAAGTATTTTATTTCCCCTTAGATAACTCTGCAATTGATTAAATGACATTTTTGTTCCTGTTTGAGCAGGCAAGTTTTTAATTCATAAGATCTAAAGTGTGTTGCACTGCTGTTAGGTATAATTTAGGTCCTTGTTCTAGAAACAGTATGGGCTACTGTGAATGGAAAGAATTTGAAGAAAGCTTGAAAGTATAGAGAAGGCCGTCAGGTAGCTCAATGCCCTGACATAATCAAATACCTGAAAATATTGCAAGAGTTAATTCAGGATAGGTCCTTGCTAATTCTTCAGAAAGTTGATAATAAGACACAGAATACAAATGTGGCAAAGGTGCAGGCTGGCTCAATATCCCATCAGTTCTCTGAACCTCCAGTTTGTGAGCATAACGAAACATCTTGGGCTCTAAAATCTAGATAAAAAAGTATAAAACAATGTTTATACAAGAAATGCCTCACAATATACATTCTAGAGTATTTATTTAAGCAATAACCCTATTAAATAACTGGTTCACAGAATACCATGTGGCCAGGAGCATATGAAACATGGCTTGGAGTCTCTTGAAGAGAAAAAAGTAGCATATAAATTAATAAAATAATAATAATAACAACTGTCACTTATTACCGAAAATAGAAAAACACTTCGCAAATGTTGGCTGAAATCCAATTGTCTGTTACAATCAGAACAGACCAATTAAAGCAATATATAAGTGTTGAATTTCCAAGGTCTAAGAAAACTTGCCACATGAAGTCTCTAAACTAGAATAACACTATAAGGGATGAATAGTAAGGTCTAGTAGTAACCACTACAGTAAACATATTATTATTATTAGTAGTAGTAATATCCTGCTTTTTCTCTCTAAATAAGAGGCTCAAAGCAACTTACAATAAAATTTAAAACTTAAACATATATAAACATTGCAATATAATTGAGTATTAACAGTATTAAAAATAAAACCCTTTAAATGAATTAAAAACCTATTCATAGCTAATCTATATACATGTAATAATTTCTTATTGTTAATTGTAAACTATTTGATAATGACTTTGCAATATATAATACACAAATATGAAACTGATAATAAAACCCTTCAAATGAATTAAAAACCTATTCATAGCTAATCTATCTATATAAATGTAATTAATTTCTTATTGTTAATTGTAAACTATTTGATAATGCCTCTGCAATATATAATACACAAATATGAAACCGATAATAAAACCCTTTAAAGGAATTAAAAACCTATTCATAGCTAATCTATTTATATACATGTAATTAATTTCTTATTGTTAATTGTAAATTATTTCATAATGCTTTTGCAATATATAATAAACAAATACGAAACTGACAGAACAATTAACTTTTATCATATCGATTTTATAAGAATAAACAAAGATCTAATTAAACCAGTATCTTGCATCTGTTAGTATTAGACTTTCCTTCTTATCCTTTAGAATTCCAAAGTCCCACGGATTCATTAATTCTATGTTAGTTGGGATTTATAAGCAGATTAAGGCCATTGTACTCTTACAGCCTTCTCGAGTTTAATTGCTTACAATATTACTTTGCATGTAGATTTTAAATCTTGGATAGCACAAGATGAAAATGGGGAAGAAAATAATACTGGGGATTTTGGGTTCTTAGGTCTGTGCCAGCCCAGAAACACTAAGGAGCCTGTTATCTGCTTTCAAGTGAGTGTATAAAAAAAGATGGCCGCCATCCCACTCAATTTTTATGTGGAAATTTCACTGAAACGAGAACATGTTAAATATTACTATCCACCCAACAACTTTATAGATTTTACTCTGAGAATCAAAACAAAAGCATTTCATATCTACCTGTAACAGTTGCATAGCAACTTCATAGATTGCCCTAGAAGAGTCAGCTGCTTTAAATAATATCAGATTAAGAAGGGTAACTGTATCACACTGGTAATCTCTGCAAAGAAAATAAAAGATAAATTCTGAGAGATCAAGTATGAACAAATGACTTCTTAGAAAGGGATTAACATGAAATTCTATGTATATTTAGTTGGAAATAAGCCTCATCATCAACGGTTCCTATTGCCAAGTAAATATGTACAGGACTGCACCCTCACTTTTTTTTTACTCAACCTTTTCTCTGTTACCTGTTTTGGAATACACTGGCTATGGCTTTAAAACATCCAGCTGCTACCCGCTTAGAGCCTGTATAACAGCGATCTACAGCCCAATACATGAGGTTACTCTGGTCAGGATTAAGCTCCAACAGCAACATAACCGCTTCACATCCAAGCTGATGAACCTAAATAAAATACAGGGCAAAATTTGGTACACACTTCCAATACGTTTTAAAATTAAACACACCTGCAAAGATTTACTTTCATTATTAATAAACATAAAGAGAAAAATATTTTTATTTTTAAGGCAACAGATTACTAAAGTCTTCTGAAATTATAACTAAAATATTAACTAATAATAACAAATTACAATTTAAAGTAATCTTTAGTTGTATATGTTAACCTTCACAGTATTGTATTTAAACCAGAGGGGATTAATGCAACTCATTTAAACCCTCATTACTGCGTATAGAGTTGATGGGATATGCAATCCATTAATATATGGAAGGCCAAGATTGCCTACCTTGTTTTAAATGAATTCATTAATTATGGCTTGCATATATTCATTTTTATTGTATTTATGTATATGTATGAATTGCTGCCTTTTGTGAGCTGCTCTGAGTCCCCCTGCGTGGGTGAGAAGGGCGGGATATAGATATAGTAAATAGATAAATAAATAATACTGCCCCAACCACTCCCACACCAGTTTTCCCCCTGCTTTAGTTTTGCTCCACACCAAGAAACAAATGAAATAGTTAATAATAAAATGTCCATTGTTTCATCCAATGATCTCTTTATTCCTGTATTAGACAGCAATATTTTACTACCCTCTTAACAAACGATGGTACACTCCAACAATATTTTTCTTTGTTAATTTCAGTGGAGGTTAGAAGGAGCTACATATTTTTAGTGTTCCTATATTTAAACCACTGAATTAGTGGCTTTAATCACTAAAATGTTTTATAGATTATTTTCACTGTATAGATTACCTTCTTATCCTGTGAATCCAAAATATTATCTAGCCATTTGTACAAATAGCCATCTGATGATAGTCCTACGTTATCTGCAACAGGGCCACAACAAAGTACAGCAGACATAGCCTTTAAAAGTGGAGAGAGAGAAAGATTAGACAAATGTAGTTGTTACTGTTTGATTTTAAAATTTCTATGTAAATTATGAGTATTGTACAAGAGGGTATCAAGAGCAATACTGGATTCTTCCAATTTTGCAATATTAAAACGGTTGCATTACAGTTTCAGGTGAGTCATGTAGATACAATAAGCTGAAATTTCAAAAGCATTGTGCAAAAGCATGGTCACAATACCTTTAATGCACAGTACTGATGTCTATTTATTTGCATGTTTCTATCGCTGTATCTGTCTAGTGGAGTAAACATGATACTGAAAGGACCTGCCCAGTGACTGAACAACATAAAGAGGCTGTGGCGGAGGCTCTGCTGCGGAAAGACACTTCTTCTCTGGTGCACTACAAGAAAAATACAGATTCATTATTTTATACCAAGTTGATATATATGAGTAAGACAAGACAACAAAAAGCCAAGTTTGTATGTGCAGGCAGTCCCCAAGTTATGAACAAGACAGGTTCTGTGGTTTGTTTGTTTTTAAGTTGAATTTGTATGTAAGTCAGAACAGGTACATTTTTAAAGTGTAACTCCAGCTAAGAATTTTTTCGCTTTGGAGAGCATAGGGAAGGGTTAACATCTCTGTGGTGTTTGTTTTGCTATCTGTGCTCCTGTTCAAAAGATCTCACCTCACTTTCTGTCCCTGTAATAATTGGATTTTGAACAATTTTGGTTGTTGTAGAAACAAGTATTGGTGATAATGCTTCAGTGGAGACACCTTTTTCCCCATGATAACTCTTTAAGGAGTGAAATTCCCTTCTGAAGAGTAGATTACTCTCACTTCCTGTTGTCTCACCCCTGTTCTTAACTAGGAGTCATTTGTAAGTCAGATGTTTGTAATGCGGGGACTGCCTGTATAAACTTACAAATTACAAGATTAAAACCTTTCTAACAGTGTTGACTCACTGTCAGTGTTGACCTTTACTGATTAATAAACATAATTTAATGACAATTGGAGCGATGCCATTACTGACAAGAAATGCTAAATCAATTGTAACATTCTGTAGTGATCTTTAGGCTTTTGTGCAACATCTCATGTATGGCTGGAAGGGGTATGGAAACATTCATTTCTGTTTTAGCTTAACTGAAGGTTGTTATGATATTCAAATCTAGACAAACCATGCCAACTATGATGAAGTCTGCTTGTTTCAACAAATGAGAACGAAGATTAACCAGAATCTTCAGTCTGGGTGTAATTCAAAACTGCAGAAAACACTTTGGTTTTCTCAAATCTGCACTGAAGAAATTGAGTCAATCTTGTTGGAACTCAACTTTGTACTGCTCAACAATGATTCAGCATTCAGTTATGTCCAGCCATTAGTTACCCAATGTTTGAGAATATTTTCTACTTCCTGAAACTCATCTGAGTCCTCAGGTTCATAAAATAATTCTCTGATTTTCTAGATTCAATTATACATACACACATAGATGTGTTGGATGTATTTATCTCTCATTTTGCTCCCAAAATAGACCACATTGTATTACAATATCTCAATAAATTATAAGTATTAGGGAAAGTATTAAATATTATAAGTATTAGGGAAAGGAGACTCAGTTTGTTTCAATAAAACATTGTTTTAATTATAAATAAATAATAAGTATTAAAACACACATTAAATCAAAGCATTGATTAAAACAACTTAAAGCACCATATTAACAAAAATGTTCACCTCCTTAATTTCAATTCTGCCAGTGCCTCAAGTCCTGCCTGAATAAAAATATCTTTGCCTGAGAAGAAGAACAAGGACATCTCCCTAAGAAGGGCATTCCTTAGTCAAGGATCAGCCACTGAGATGGCCCCAGCCTGTTTACCAAACATGCCTCTGAAGATGGTGAAACAGAAGAAAAATCCTATACTTCTTAAAACCAAGTAAGTCTCTTCATATGGAGATATGGACCTTTAGATAACCTGGAGCTAAGCAGCATGGAACTTTATAAATCATAACCATAATTAAAAACTCTGATTTAGTTCTGGAATATAATTCATAACCCATAACTTTGAATTGTACATAGAAATGGATTAGTAGCCAATGAAACTGTTGTAACATGGGAGTTGCATGTTCCTTATAATCAATAGCCATAGCATTCTTAACTAACTTCAAGTTCCAAACACTCCTCAAATGGCCTTGTGTACAGCATGTTACAGAAATCCAAATGGATATAATGAAGGCTTCTGTCACCATGACGAATCAAATACAACTAATTTATGAGCTTTAATTTCAAATGCCCTCCTGACCACTGCGGAAACCTGGAATTCAGGATCCAGAACTGAATCTAGGAATATCTCCAGATTGCAAACCTAGTTCTTCCTAAGGAAAATAATCATATCCAAAACAGATTAAATCCCCATTTCATGATCGCTTTCCAAATGACCAGAAGTACAGTGTTCCCTCACTTATCACAGGTGTTCCGTTCCAGGACCACTCGCGATAAGTGAAAATCCGCTAAGTAGGAATTCTCTGCCCACTTGAATGGGAGTGTTCCTACTTCACAGCGGCCTCCTCCTTGCCACCTCCGCTGCTCCCCACCCAAGCCTGGAGCCCAGCCTGGCAAGGAAGGAACGGGGAGCAGCTATGCAGTGTTCCTTCGCTGCTCCCCGTAAAACAGCGAGTCCGCAATAAGTGAACTGCAAAGTTGTGAGGGAGCACTGTACTTCTGTTTTGCCTGGATTAAGTATCAATTTGTTCACTCTTATCCAGTTCATAACTGAAATGAGACACTGGTTTAGAACTAGAAGATCTTTAGGTGATATATAATTACATGTAATCACATTAGTAAAATCACCTCCAAACCTCTGGACAAACTAAATAAAACTGTGAAAATTTAGATACTCTCGTATCCAAAACAGCAAGCATGCCTAACAAGAGTTTGTTAGCAGAAACATTGATCTAAACCCATCCCTCTACGTTGGCCTAAACCACTGAAAAATATATGCCTATGTCCCATTATGGAAAAAGAGTTTTAAAAATTAGATCCACATTTTTTTTCTGATTAATTGGTGGATATATGCAACACTGAACTGGAATAAATAGTTGTGTATATCCTATGGATTCTGAAATACAAAAAACGGGTAATTCTAAGGTTTCAACATAAAGTATATTCTAACTTCTATTAGCAGTTTCCATACTATAGGTATGTGTAAAACACAATTTGTTCATATGTACATCTATTGCATTAAAGGTGAAATAAATATGAAACTTAATGTAAATACCTGGAACATTCTGAATGATATTTGCCACTAAGGCACTAAAATGGCATCGGATATCTTTCAGTGTATCAGAGTCTTTTTCATTTTCTGCTTCTAGGAGTTGCCGAGTTAGATCCACATACTCCAATAACGTATTGTTGAGAGAATGTGTTTCATTATCAAGGCCACCACTTGCACTACAAAGAAGTAAAACATATAATTGGTAAAATATAGCCTTCTGGAAAGAGCAGTATTCTCAAATTTGAAAGACATTCAGTGAGAACTAGATAGCATATAGTCATCATGATATACTGGTGTGAGTGCTGGACTAGAACCATAAAGATCATATAGTTCTCGCTAAGACATGGAAACCTAGAGAATGACCTTTGGTAAGTTGAAAAATGAGTATATAACTGTAATAGTTATCCTGGTGTAATTCCGATGTTCCAATGGAAATCCTGGCTTGCTACCCAGAAAAATGGAGAACTGGTAGAGTTTCTGAAGCCTAGATGGCCTCAGCAAAGGTAATAACTGCCCTCTGTAAATCTCCCAGTGCTCCCTGACTGGTTGTGTCTTGCTGCCAGTTATTTTCCCTGCCTTCCCATTATGTATACTCACATAGAAAATGGTAAAGCAAGTAATTTTTCAAGTCTTGAGGAATCGTGATGAGAACACCAGATTGATGCTAATTTTCACAGTTTAGTACATATTCTGCGCAAAATTCACACATAGCTATTTTGCAATATTTCTGTGTGAAAATATTATTAAACCTGTTTCTTATGCAAAACAACAATGTGCAAATTTTGTGCTGAATAAGACTTCTGAATTGGCACTGAAAACTGTGTTTATTTTAATTTCTTGTAGCAGGATGAAAGCAGCAAACATTATTCCTTCCTTCCATAAAGAAGACAATTAGTCACAAATTACACCCCTAACATATCTCTATGAAGAAAACCTGCTCCTGACATCACTGCAATGTCAGCAGACATGACTATGGAATCCCATATGACTCCTGACACTTTCACAGCACAGTTTTATGCTGGTACAGAAAGGCTCTCTCTAGAAAAGGAAGCTCCAAGAGTGGAACCCTGTATCATAGCATTATCAGCACAGCGATTTATCTATCTGCACAAACCTGTTCAGAACTTTTATACCTACCTGTGACTAATGACGCCAGCATCTGCCAACAGTTCAAATATTCGTACAAGTTGTACACGTAAAATATCTCGACGCCTGCGTCGTTTCATGTTCTATTAGAGGAGAGAGAGCAGTACAGTGAAACTACATCCATACCTGCCAGGTAATGCTTTTGTCATTAATCTACATTACTATTTTTTTTAGCCACAAACATTAAGGAATTCCATATATTGTGGGACTGCTAATTGACCATACTGACTGAGGCTGAATACACAATTCCATGTTAATTTTTTTCATTTACTACTGAGTATTTACATTAGGCGATGTACATTAGAATTTTCAAATAAAAAAAATGTTGATTACCTCTGGCCTTCTTTCAAGTGCTTCTTTAATTATAGGATGCAACTCTTCTATTAATTCCCTAGGTGAAAATTACAAGTGATTAGGACAACCTTGTAACATCAATATTTCTATCTGTACAAACCAGATGCCAAAATATTGGACAATGCTTTAACAGACAATGCTATTAAAAACCATTTATGGTAACATTATTTAGCAGATTTTTTTTTAAAAAAGTTGTAGTTTCCTGCACACTTGATTTGAACCGATATAATGGATCCCTGCAGGTAAGGAATTATATGTAGGAAACAAGGATTGCAAAAAATGGATAAATATCACGAGAATATTAAAATTTGAAGCATCTGATTTGTCCTGCTAATGTTGAGCTGCACACTTTCATAAAGGAAATTAGAAGGAGACTTGGTCAAAGGAAAAAGGGTACCAGTCTTTTCATCAAGAGTAGAAACTGTCTCCAAGTGAATAAAGTGACAACAAAAAACAAGACTTAGAAATACAACTGTTTCAGCAAATCTATGCCTGACAAAGAGAAGTTAAACACTTTAGACATGCAGCCAATATGACAAAAAAGAATATGATTTTAATCCAGGAAATAATCTCCCCTGGGCATTTATAAAGGTGCATTTCAGTCTGCAGTCTGGGCACTTTTTTTCGTGTCAGGAGCAACTTGAGAAACTGCAAGTCATTTCTGGTGTGAGAGAATTGGCCGCCTGCAAGGACATTGCCCAGGGGATGCCCAGATGTTTTACCATCCTGTGGGAGGCTTCTCTCATGTCTCCACGTGAGAAGCTGGAGCTGACAGACAGGAGCTCGCCCTGCTCCCCGGATTCGAACTGCTGACATTTTGGTCAGCAGTCCTGACAGCACAAGAACAATAATTAAGCTTGTCCTGTTTAGGTCACATGATCATTGGCTTCTTGACTGTTAACAGGAGAAGCCCCACAGCAAGAGAAAAAACTCATCCTCTTAAAATAATGCCCTAGAGCAGGGGTCCTCAAACTTTTTAAACCGAGGGCCAGGTCACAGTCCCTCAAACTGTTGGAGGGCCGGATTATAATTTGAAAAAAGCATGAACGAATTCCTATGCGCACTGCAAATATCTAATTTGTAATGGAAAAAACCCACTTAAAACAATACAATAATTAAAATGAAGAACAATTTTAACAAATATAAACTTATTAGTATTTCAATGGGAAGTGTGGCCCTGCTTTTGGCTGATGAGATATGACTGTTGTTGTTGTTGTGTGCTTTCAAGACATTTCAGACTTAGGTTGACCCTGTGCGAGGGCCGGGTAAATGACCTTGGAGGGCCGTATTCGGCCCTCGGGCCTTAGTTTGAGGATCCCTGCCCTAGAGTATTAGATTCAACATTATTTGAATCAAGGACTCATGATAAACCCAAGTAAGCAAAGAATTGTACTCCAAAATATCCAGTCATTCAACTATTCCTGTTTTCAGCAGCTAGAAAACTCATGGGAGTAAAATTAATGTAAATTCCTGAGTGTTCAGGATTTTCCATTTTCAAATTGTATTGCTTATGTCACGCCTTACATTATTAACAGCTTTATACATAAAAAGAACACTTATTTGTTTTTAATTCTTGTTAAGTTAATGTGCAGAATATAATGATTACCTAAAAGCACCAGGACTGGTCCTGCCGAGGCCCAGCACAAGGGATTCTGTGATTTCCATGCTCTCAGAGCGCATCATTGGAACAATGTGCTTAAACAAGGACGAAGGGGAAGGAACACCAATTATCTGAGAACAGAAAAACAGCATCAATACTCACAATTAAATGTGATCTCTGGATTTCTATATCATATTATGAAGGAAAACAAATGGTTAAGAAAAGAGAGTCAAGAATGTAAAAAGGAGACGAACAACTCCTCAATTTTCATTTAAATGGAACTGTGGAAATTGCAATCATTCTTTCCCCCAAGTCATTTTGCATGGGATGCCTCTCCCCATATCTCTATTATTCTGAATGTCTGTTATTTCATGCAGACATAAAATGCAACCACAGTATAAAGGTTATTCGTCTAAGTAATCGTAAGGTGGAGTAACTGAATGAGGTCTTTTAACTATAAAGGCCAGCCTATTTAGCTTGCAAGTAACCATAAGAGAGGGATCAAGTATGTTTTTTATTTCTGGTAAGAACAAAAATATGTATAGGCTAACATTTTGATAAAATATTCTAATCGTCAATCAACAAAAATAAAAATGCAATAAAATTAATCAGATTTCAAAGATATATAAATTGTATGTATCTGGAATATGGTTTAGCCCTAAATGGTTCTGGCCTGGCTTACCTGTCCGAACACATCTCTCCCTATGAACCATCTAGGTCTCTAAAATCATCTGGGGAGGCCCTGCTCTCGGTCCCACCTCCTTCGCAGATGCGACTGGCGGGAACGAGAGACAGGGCCTTCTCAGCAGCGGCCCCTCGGCTATGGAACGCCCTCCCTAGGGATAACAGATCGGCTCCCACCCTCCTAACATTTCGAAAAAGAGTTAAAACTTGGCTCTTTGAGCAAGCAATCGCAGATGCAGTGTAACAGGCTAATTTAGATTGAATGATGCGACTGAAAAATGATTTTAGTAATGAGACACTGAGGACTTATGTTTTATTGTTTTTATTGCTTTTATATGGTTTATACTATATGTTAACTATATTTTATGTTGTTGGGGGCATTTAATTATGCCAATTGTAAATTGCCTTGAGTCGCCTTCGGGCTGAGAAAGGCGGTATAGAAATATGGTAAATAATAATAAAAAAATTGTAGTGGCTTGGTAACACTATGTAACAAAATTTGAAAAAAAATCAATTCCTGGTTTGAAAGTGTTGTTTCCTGTTCAATTGTGCAGCACTTACTTTGAAAGTAGTTGTTATACTCAAAAAACTTAAGTTTTGTGGCTGCCACAAACAATGTTGATTTGGTGGAGACACTAGAAGATATGCATTTAAAAACTATAGAAAAATGTGCTACAGGATGTTCCGCAAAATCAAAGTTTTGTTATATTTTTATGTCAGAACTAATTAGAAAATGACATTTATAACCCAGGAACAAAAAATCATGTTACGTACTATAACAGTACATTTTATGATTTTAAAACCCTATGGAAAAGACTGTATATCAACTCGGTACAATTCAACTTTGCTTCTATGCATATGAGAAGACAGGATTGAGAGACAACAAATACTTATGGCATTTCTCAAAAATCAAACTTTTCCGGTTGTGTAGGAACAACGAATGAACATACTTTTGAATCAATGCTGTAACCACTGTCGGGGGTAGACGCCAGCGTCTCAGGAGGGGAACATCTGACAGAACCTGCAGATGCAGAAGAGGATGCAGAAGTTGCTGCACTGCAACAAAGAATCAAGTAGTTTCTCCAGAGCCCAATATAAGAGTCGCTGCTTATAGCAGTATTTACTTTCTTGGCATTGATAGGGCTGCTGTTAAAAGAAGATAAAGGAAATATTTGGTTTTTCAAAATGGTATTTCATCATGTACTGAATGCCCCTGATTAATATAATCTCATGACTAAGAACAATATTATCAATCGAGAGCAGTGCATAATCTGCATATGTAGATACTAAAAAAAGTCTGGCATAAGATTTGCCTTTCTAGAAAATCTTCTGGAGCAACAATAAACCTTTAGCATCACTGTTTCCTTAAATGTTATGAACACCCTAATAATATATGGGGGGAGCATTTCTGCTACAGGAGGCAATGCTTGCATGGAGCAGACCAAGTGTGGGATGTGGACCCTTGTGCCCTCTCCTTCTTTCCTTCTCTCTTTCCTTCCTTCCTCCTTCCCTCCCTCCCATACCTCCCTCTTTCTCCCTTTCTCCTTCCTTCTCTTCTACCCTTTTCCTCATTCCTTGCTTCCCTCTTTCCTCTCTCCTTCCCCCCTCTCTTTCTCCTTCCTTCAGTCCTTCCTTCCCTTTTGTCTTTCCTCCCTCCATTCCCTTCCTTCCTTTCTTCTCTTCCTCCCTTTATTCCATTCTCTTTTTCCTTCCTCCTTTCCTCCTGGGGGATGTTTAACTGGGAGAAGAGAAGGTAGAGAACCATGTTCTATTGAGGAGGAGGGGGAAAACTGACTTTCTGCTGCTCTAGAGACCAGAGCATAAGGGAGCAATGGTTTCAAATCGCAGGGAAAGAGATTTGACTGAAAATATTAGGAAGAACTTCCTGAGAGTAAGAGCTGTTGGAGAGTGGCATATGCTGCCTCAGAGTGTGGTGGAGTCTCCTCCTCGGGAGGCTTTTCTGCAGATGCTGCCTATTGGGAGTGCTTTAACTTTGCCTTCTTGCATGGCAGGGGGTTGTACTGGTTGGTCCTTGGGGGTATCTTCCAGTTCTAGGATTCTAGGATTATATATCAGGAGCAGGCAATATGGGGTATAATTGATACACTTTTTTGTCTCCTGTCCACCATCTCATCCTGACCAAGGCTAACCTTTTTGGAATCCAAACGTTTCTAGACTTTCCTTCACTTTCTGCCTCCAAAAGAGAAGAGGAAGGGGAGGAAAGGGCAGGGGGGGACTTGGGGAGAACACCCTTCCTCCTGACCCATCCATCCCACTCCGGGCTGCCATGCGGCACATAAGGTAGAAAATTTGCCCATGCCTGGAGTTGACTGTCCTGCTATAGCAGTTGTACTCTCAACTTATCCATGGGCTATATGAAAACCCCCATTTTGGCCCCTTAACCTACCCTCGAATTGAGATTGACATATAAATGAGTATATCTGGTAGTGATGCTAAGCACATTTTACTGCCATAATTCCATTTACATTCAAGGATTAATACTGTCTTTATTCTGCTCCACAACCAAAGTCAAATCACAGCAAAAACAACCAAGAGAAGACATACTGAACTCCTATGTCTCCATACACACAAATGAAACTGGTTACTCTAAAGCAGTCATTTTAAGAAAGCCACTTACTTTATGTCAACCTGTGGAGACAACAGCTGGAGTCTGGTATAAGAAAACATCCAAGCATAGCTCACAGCTGTAGGGCAATGTTTTGGAAGATACTCCTGTTTCATAAAACTGGACAGGCTAATAATCCAAGGGTCCTGGCCCTGAGTTACATGTGCAAATATCCATATGTGGGATGGACTGATGACATCAAACTGGTGGCTAATAGGGGATGAGCTCCAATCAGCTAATGTTTGCAAATCTATTGAACTGGGACAATACAGTAACACAGTCTGTATATAGAAACAAAAATAAATCAGTTTAGTATAGAAAAATGATGCCCCAGGAAACTGCTAGTGAAAGAAAAGAAAACTCTTGAATAAACAGGGTCCTTGCTAGTGGGTGGGTTTCATCTAGAGGGTTTTTTTTTAGGGAGGCAGCTGTTATTTTGTTTCTTATTCTAATACACAACAAGTCATCCCTACCTGTGTTGACAGTAATAGCTGCACTAAAATAATTCACAAGAACAACACATCAACTCAATACTTTTCCTCAGGTTCAAGACAAACTAGGGCCTGTCCAAATTAAATTGAAGTGAAGCACATGCCTAACTGAGGTATCCCTCCCCCCCATAAAAATTTTCCTTTTGTGTGTGTGTGTGTGTCAGGAGCACTTCAGAAACTGCAAGTCACTTCTGGTATGAGAGAATTGGCTGTCCACAATGACGCATGGATGTTCTACTATCCTGTGAGGTGCTTCTATCATGTCCAGCTCCAAACAAGCTGGAGCTGACAGATGGGAGATCACCCCACTCCCTAGATTCAAACTGCCAACCTTTTGGTCAGCAGTCCTGCCCGCACAAGGGTTTAATCCATTGTGACACAGGGGGCTCCAAAATAACCCTGTAATACAGGGGTCCTCAAACTTTTTAAACAGAGGGCCAGGTCACAGTCCCTCAAGTTGTTGGAAGGGCCAGATTATAATTTGAAAAAAATGAATGAATTCCTATCACATTGCACACATCTTATTTGTAGTGCAACCCCCCCCCCCAAAACAAAACACTTAAAGACAATACAATAATTAAAATGAAGAACAATTTAAACAAATATAAACTTATTAGTATTTCAATGGGAAGTGTGGGCCTGCTTTTGGCTGATGAGATAGGATCATCATGTGTGCTTTCAAGTTGTTTCAGACTTAGGTTGACCCTGAGCGAGGGCCAGGTAAATGACCTTGGAGGGCTGTATTCGGCCCTCGGGCCTTAGTTTGAGGACCCCTGCTGTAATACATTTACCTCAAGCTAGCCATAGGTTAAAAAGAGAAACCATAGGTTGAAGGCACACATCAGCAAAAGCAGAAACTATTGATCGTAAATACTGAGATTCAGAAATGCACCGCATTCAACTCAGTATAACTACATGTAGAAAACACATTATAGGTTCTAAAACAGGAAACCACCTTTTTCAACATCTATTATTGTTTTCAAATACACACAGAAAATGTTTCTTAAACATCTTACCTGATCAGCACCAGTGAGATGTATGAAACTTTCAAGAACTGATGAACTCAATCTGTCCATTACATCTATTGCCAACTCATCATCACCCTAAAATTGCAAATATATGATGTATGACAAAGTCAGGGGACATTAAAAGAAGACTATTAATTACGTGCTGCCATTGGCTTACCTTGGAAATGTCTAGGGCTATGAACAAGGCCCTTATTTCTTTAAGACAACTGACAGCCAGTCTTCTAGTAGCAGGTCTTGTGCTACAAAGAATGACCAGGGCAAAGCCTTCCACCACATGAAATACACTTGAATAAGGGCTTTTTTCCAGGGGAAGGGTAGGAGCAGTGCCATTGCCCACACCACGCTAAAAGGGGGGAAAACAGGAGTTATTACAATAAATTAGGATCTATTATCTGTAGGAATTTATAGCTGCTAGGAATGGAACAAACAACATATGTGCTTAGTCTTCCCTAAATAATCAACAGAAGGAGTAAATAATCAACAGAAGGAGTGGTAATGCCAGTTAGCAATTTCACTAATTAACTAGGGGTGGGAATTGTGCAGCTCATGGGACTCATGAATAAATCTGAATTTATGCGATAGAGTGGTGAACATTAAAATCTATGCCATTTACTACTACACATCAGCACAATATTTAGCAGGAATTCATGCAACACAATTATACCTGAGCTTCTTGGTTCTTATTTTGCATTTGGACCGCTTGTTTCCATTGATTAATTAACTGCACTAGCATCTTTACTGCATTGTCAAGAAGTGTTGGGTGAACGTCAGTGACTTCACGGACAATAAAGTAAACAAATCCTGAAAGAACATCTTCTCGCCAATCTGGAAAGTCCAGCATTAATGCTTGCAAAGTATTGAAAGCCAGTGCACGCAATTCTTCATCCATATGAACTGTTAGCCTGTTGGAAACATAGACTGCTGTTTAAAATCCAAAAAAAGGATAAGTGCTTTTATATAACAATCTGTTTCAATATGAAGTTTGAAAACAAAAATAAATAACAGAATGAATTGTTTATCTTTACACCCCAATTACTGGGAGTTGGTGCAGAAAAATGCTATTGGATAACAGAAATCAGAAATGGACTGTGGAATCACATTTTTCGCCATTTCTTCCATTCTCTAGATTAAATCCCCACCTAGAATAACCAAATGAGATGGGGACACAAGTCACCTAGCCCAAATTCCTGTTATGCAGAAATACAGAGATAACACACTTTTGGGAGATGGCTCTCCAATCTCCTTGTAAAGTCCCCCAATGAAGAAGAGTCCACTACGACCTTATAAGGCAGTCCATTCTATTGCTGAAAAACTTTGAGCGTTCCCCTGAGTGCTCATACAGAATCCCTTTGCTTGCAATCTGAATCCATTATTTCACATTCTAGGCTTGCTCATTCTTCCACATGACTTCGCTTCATGTCAAATTTTAATATTCTCTTCAAGATAATACCAACTAGCTCTCTAAGCTATTTTCAACTGCAAAGCCAGTCTTCCAATAATAATAATAATAATAGTAATAATAATAATAATAAGTAATAACAATAATAACAATAATAATAGTAGTATTGTATTGTGTCAGAAAAGACTTGCAAGTCGCTTCTGGTGTGAAAGAATTGGCTGTTTGCAAGGACGTTGCCCAGGGGGTGCCTGGATATTTTACCATCCTGTGGGAGGCTTCTCTCATGTCCTCGCATGGGAAACTGGAGCTGACAGATGGGAGCTCACCCCATCTCCAGATTCAAACTGCCAATCTTCAGATCAGCAGTTCAACTGGCAAAAGCATTTAACCCAAGGGTCCTCAAACTTTTTAAACAGAGGGCCGGGTCACAGTCCCTCAAACTGTTGAAGGGCCAGATTATAATTTGAAAAACTAATGAATGAATTCCTATGCACACTGCACATATCTCATTTCTAGTGCAAAAAACACTTAAAAACAATACAATAATTAAAATGAAGAACAATTTTAACAAATATACACTTATTAGTAATTTCAGTGGGAAGTGATGATGAGATAGGATTGTTGTTGTTGTTGTGTTATTGTGTGCTTTCAAGTCATTTCAGACTTAGGTTGACCAAGAGTGAGGGCCGGGTAAATGACCTTGGAGGGCCGTATTCGACCCCCGGGCCTTAATTTGAAGACCCCTGGTTTAACCCATTGCGCCACCACAGCTCCAACAACAACAACAACAACAATTTCATTTGCATCCCATTACATCTCCACGAAGGGACTCAGGGTGGCTTACATGACAAAGGAGGATTAAGAAAACTAAAGTGAATAGAGAGTAGTCAACAGTTGAAAATGACACAAGATTGCGACTCCTGTTTCTGAACTGATACAAGCACATTCAATACATATGAATGTAGCCTTCTTTTATCTTCACCACTCAGAGCACGTTCTCAGCCTTTCAGCTTTTTGAATGCAATAATAATAATAATAATAATCAAGCCATTCTGCCCTACTTCAAAAATATCACTACTTTAGATAATAGATTTCTGGCTGGAAACAGTCTGTAAAATTCAAAACTATAAATAGGTTTCCCCCACACAGCATGTTTTTAAAATGAGAGAGCTTTATTGTTTTACCTTGCAAGAAGTTCAATAAGGTCTGTTCTGCTCATGCCATCTGGAATTAATCTTGGGATAGCAGCAATACAAGTTCTAAATAAATCGATTTTTGGTTTTCTTTCCCCCCTATGGAAATAAATAAAACTTATAATAATCAAATCTATTAGCATGATGTATTTACAGCATGGATCCAAACGTGGATTTCTTTTTCCTGTTGTGCAAATTTCAGTACAACTTTATGGCTGCAATAAAGACGACTCTGTATTTCATTATAGATTCCTACTGACTGGAATTAATTTTAACAGAATTTAAACATGGAGAGAACTAATCCCCAACTTCCTCTGAAGTACAGGCAAGTTTGACAACTTATGTTATTGAATCAGATGTAAGTATGATTAATTGGTTACATACGTGATCATGTCTTCAGGTTCCTTATTGGACATCTGTATACTAGTCATGCACATTGGTCTTCCAACTTCTTTGTCTAGATGCCTCAGGATGCTATCCAATGCTTTTCTTACTTGAGGATAATATATTGACATTCCTGAAGAGGCAAAATCAACAGCACTTGGTAGTCAAATCTGTTCTTCACTGTCTTGATATCAATCTAAACCAGTGGTTCCCAACCTCTGGGCCTCCAGGTGTTATGGACTTCAGCTCCCACAGTTCCTAACAGCTGGTAAGATGGCTGTGATTTCTGAGAGTTGACGTCCAAAACAACTGGAGGCCCAAAGGTTGCGAACTTTACAACACAGTTCCATCTATGACGCTATTTGCAAAGATTTAGAATGAAATAAAATTAGCCCGAGACCTTTTAAAATTTGATATTTTGTAGGCGTACATGCAGCAAAGCATCAGAGTGCAGAGGGCTCCTATAAAAGACTTCACCTATTGTTTATTCAGGGTACTCAAAATTCATGCACTCTAAGCCAGACAGAATTCTGGGAACAACGAGCATTCCCAATCCCTTTTGAGAAGGCCCTGTCCCTCATCCCCACCAGTCGAGTTTGCGATGGTGGTGGGATTGAGAGCAGAGCCTCTCCAGATGATCTTAAATTTAGTGATTGTTTGTAACAGAAGATACGTTCAGACAGGTAGTATATACTACTACTGATATGCCAAAATTTGATTACTGGGGGGATTCGGCGGGGACTGAACTTCCTTTCTGGGAGCTGTAGTTTACCCACAATCAGAGAAATTGCGATCTCCACTGATTATGGACCTGGATAAACTTGGCACAAATGAACCCCCATGACTAACTCAACCTACGGAGGAGTTTGAGGGGACTGACTTGCCATAGTTTAGTTTACCCTAAAGCCAGAGAGCACACTGAACCCACCGGTGATGCATCTAGAGCAAACTTGCACAACATAACAAACTTTTAAGTACTGATGGAGTTTTTCAGGTTCAACCTGGCATGATGTGAGTTGTAGTTCACCCACAACCTTATGCATTTTGTGCAATTAAAAAAATAACTTTTTCAAATAATCCGTGCAACACTTATTTTTAATAACTAGTACTTGATCCCTTGTGTGCCATGTATATTTATTAGTTCTAGCAATAAATAAATATATTGATTCACAGACGGAAATCCACTATTAAGAGAGATACACCTTAAAAAGAAAATACTCTGTCAGTTCTTTAACATAATTCTCAAATGTTTTGGAACTTAGATATTTGAAGAATTGTCTCTATCTGCCCACAATTTGAGTCACGTTTTTCAGCCAAGATTCTCTGCAGCCTTAATGTTCTTCCAGAGGTTACTAGGGATTCTGTAAGCGGTTGTGTTTGAAAAAATAAAAACAAACATTTTGAACTGTAAATCAAATTATTTTTTGGCAGAAGTTTCCTAAGACCTGAAGAATCCCTCTAAGCGAAATGGTTGAGAAAGGCCGATATGGGCTAACTATCTGTGGGAGAGGAATATCTTATTGCTGCATTTCTGGATAAGTGGTAACATGAAATCTTTCTTCCAACAGTCAAACATTGGAAATGCCTTCTCCAAGTGTTACATTTTACTGACATTAAAATGCTAGGCTTAGACCTATGTTAGCTCTGCTATTGATTAACTGACTAATCTTATAGTGTTGGGTGTTTTCAAGTTCTTGTTATTTCTGTCTGAGATATAATATATAAGACATAAAGAGAAAACCAGCCATTTTCTTTGAATAATATAATAGACTGACCTATAACTTTTGCTTCTTCATCCGTCAGAGTTTTATTGAGAAAAATTTTCTTTACACGGAGAGTGTTCCCTGAGGGAAGTACAACTCCTGTAGTTGGCATAGGTGGCTCGCCATCCTTTTGTTGTAAACTGTCTGCTATCACGAGGAAGACTCTGAGGCCTATATTCATTCTCTGCAGAAGACAGGGAAATGCTTATTAGCAACCCAGGCAAAATAATGTAATATATGGTAGATTAAAAAGCATATTTCAATTAACAAAACCTTTGACAAACTAACTCCTTTCTACCAAGTTTATTTGTCTACCTCTCTCTTTTTATTGTTTATTTGTCTACCTCTCTCTTTTATTTATCATTTTTTTAAACCAGCACAGCACTGCAAAGATGGAACAAGAGAACTGAGAAACATATATTGCTTCCCAAATCCCTTCTTGAACATTTGTCAACTGTAAAACAGAGAGGATAGGGGAGAGCAGATCATCCCACCTGCCGTAACAGCTGCATGTTTTAAAAGGCATATGTTTAGCCACCAAAGTGGAAATGATTTTTTTAAAAAGTAGATCCCAGTGAAAAATTTTTAAAAAAATCCAGCCTGATGCGTTTTGGAAGAAGCCTTCAAGTAGTCTGTAGAAGGTCCAAATACTTTTGTTTACTTATGTAAAGGCTTATCTGACCTAGAGGTTTCATTTCACACAGGATTTATGTTAGTTTTGAATAAAACATTTGCTGAAACACGTTCAACAGTTCCTGTTTTTTACAGTGTAGGAACCTATTCCTATTTTTTCATGTTATTTCTGGTTTGGGACAAAATTTTCTGTTAAAGGGATGCTCAGTAACACATCTACTTCATTAACTGAGGCATACCTGTTAATGCTCTACTTTTAACGAAACACAATATCATCAGCTAAGCATTCTGAATCAGCATCTGGAGGAAGTTAATTCAAACATATATCAAAACTCGTGATCCTATCAGCTAAACAACTTGTAGAACACTTTGGTCCAGCACCTCTATTACTATTATTTATGTCATTTCTACCCCACCTTTCTCCATCCCGAAGGGGACTCAAGGTGGCTTTACAAGATAGGCAGCTATTCAATGCCATTAAAACAATGTAAAAATTACAATAAACATTTCAAAAATTGGATAATAAAAAGCATCAAAACATTTAAAACATTAACCAATATCATCACTGTTAAAACCACACTATTCATAATCGTAGTCCAGGCCATTCCAAACTATAAACCTATCCTAGAAAAAACACCTCTCCCTGACATAGATGCAACCCATCATTTGGCACATATAGATGTGCTAGACCAATATTGCATAGAAACAATGAAAAGATATTTGTCAGAAGAATTCACAACTTGGGAGGAATAAATAAGGATTCAGTTTCTCCTGTTCTAAATGTTAGCTTGTTATTGCTTGTGAAAAGCTATTCAATTCCTGAACTGGCCAACCACCAGTTCTGAATTAGTGAGCATTGCTGGCAAAAAACCTAGAGTTTATTTTCAACTGTGTTTCCTGGTTTGCAGATAACAAGTTGTGAAACAACTGAAACAAAATTTTCAACCCAAGGTTTCCCAGGAAATCCATGGATATGTTTCATGTGGTCTGCAAACCAGAAACAATAACAAAATCCTCTCCTTATTTCTAATATTTCCTTGAATTTTAATACTTTTCAAATGTTTTTCTTTCCAGACTAATCTGTATGAATGAAACCAATTTCAAATGCAATATAATAAACCATAAGTAAAAGTGTTCATGTGCACTTGGTGGGGAGGGACCTGAAGCATTTATCTGAATGTCAAGAGAATCGAATAACTGAAAAACACGAGAACCACTGAATTCCTGTTTAGCCCTTGAACAACTATAAAGAAAGAATGAAGAGGAATATAGACGACCAGGTTCAATGAGTAACACAGGATTATTTATACAGGACTTAATTATACTGTTAACAGAAAATGTGAATGCAAATTACAAATAAGGAATTAAAGCAGTCCATAAACATCGGCATGTTTTAGACTTTAAATCACCTAAATATGTAAGTGAAGTTTTAATATTTAAAACACCTTGACCTGTAAGCATATTTATAAGTACATATCAAAAACAAAATAACAAGCATTTGAAATTCCAAGGGTGTTACCTCTGGATTTATAGTGAAGGTTTTTGGTGATTTGCCAACACTGAGAAGATCAAAAATGATTTCTTTCATTGCAAAATCCAAGCGTTCCTAGAGAAAATTATGTCAACATGAGATGCTTTGTAAATTATAAACATATTCCAACACAATGGGGTATTAGACCCTTATTTTCAACTCCTCAGAAAAAAGTGTCATGTTACTCTATCATAATCCAATGATCCAACAACTTGAAAATTTCACTGTGAATTGTTCTAAGATCGTTCAGTGTGCCTTAAAGTAGCCTATGTTGCACCGACACAGATATAATTTTGTATAAATTTGCCAAATCTTCTGACAGTCAAAACTATTAAAAATAACTATTTAGTGGCACACTAGCTAAACTCTGCTCTTAGGAACGACTGAGTTTTCCAAACATTTATCCAAAGTTTCTTCTATAACAAGATTTCTACTAAGACACAATGGTGCTGTTACTACTAATAAATTACACTATGTAACACGATTTTTGTTCCTGAGTTATAAATGTCACTTCCTAATTGGTTCTATCATAAAAACATGGGAAAAGTTTATTAAGCTATCATAAAAACATGGAAAAAGTTTATTAAACTGCGGGACATTCTGCAGCACATTTTATTATAGTTTTTCAATGAATATCTCATAGAGTTTCAACCAATTCAACAAAGTTTGTGGCCAAAAATTAAGTTTTTTGTGTATAACAACTACTTTCAAAGACAGTATCACACAATTAAACAGGAAACAACATTTTCAAACCAGGAACAGATTTTTAATTTTTTTTGTTACATAGTGCTATAGCATTTTTAAGCATTTTTAAGCTCCCAGCTCATCATCTATCAGCTATACATAACAAATGTGCACAGTATATATTCCCACAATGTTGAAAAGGCGGTTATAGTAATGTCTGTTTGCATGCAGAAAACATAGCCTGTGTGCAGAAAATTCATCTTCAATTCTTTTATTCATCAACAATGTTCCCTCATTAATTTCTCCCAAGTTCGTCTACCTACTAGACTACTGAGACGACTTCATGGGGAAAATAGAGCACAAGAATCCTATGGGGTACTTGTGTCAGCAGAACTGGGAAACCACCAAGAGTAACCCTGAGTAAAGGTTATGGTACAAGAACAAACCCGTAAGTATTGAATGCATATTAGACTGAAATATATTGTGGTGGCATTACCTGAGCAATGAACTGAATAATTTTTACAAATATGTTCAGAGGTGTGTCTCGGGGGACTACACTGCGAGATCCTTTTGGGAAAAGTGCTGATACAATGCTCATGAGTCGGCTGTAGAGAAAAATATTTTTAAAACAAAATTAAAGAAAGTAACTTAGCTTAATCAAAAGAAGAGCAAACAATGCATTTAATATGAAAAATATAAATATTTTAATATATTGAAGTATAATGACTTACCTTTGTGTTACAGTGTTGCTTTCACATTTTATTCTAATAACATAAACCCATAATAATCTATATAGTGATTCCAGTGCAACTCGAGACATTTTGGGATCTTTATTCTGTGAAAACAATTTTTAAAAAATTAGCAAACAGATTTTCAGATAGAAACAATATATTTAAGTATTGTAAAATACTAGTAAAATTGGCTTCAACAAAAATAAAATCAACATAGTCACATATTTTTGACTGAAAATATTGCTTCTTTAAACTTCATTAACATCAGTCAATTCAACTTAATTTCAATTATTCTGCTTTAACAGAAAGCCACAGCAAAAAACACAACATTACCGAACAAGAAAACAAGTATCAGCCAGCGTTTTAGGATATATAATCTTCAGAAGGCAGAATACAGAAAATTCCACAACAAAATAATGTATAAAACATCAGATTAGAACCAATACAGACACCACTTAAAACGACTAGTAACAATTAAATTATACATAGTACTTAAAATGCATATTGAAATAAAATGTATTAAACATATTTTAAAGCCTGTAATGATGGAGCAATCTACATTTTCTAGGAGAGGGAATTCCAACATGCAGGACCACTATCAAATGACCACTACTAGCTACCACTGAGGCACATCAGATTCTTACAAAATGTGACTGATAACAGGCACAACCTTTCACATTGGGCATTTGAGAAAGTGAAACAAAAAAACCCCTAATTTTTGCCCAAGTCCATAGATTTGATTTCATGTTATTATAATTAAATATTCACTTATTCAGAAGAGTGATTGGGTCAAGCGCCTCATATTTCTGGGATCTGATTTTCACCACTTTCAAACCACTTTAGGTCAGTGGTTCTCAACAACCTGTGGGTCCCCAGATGTTTTGGCCTTCAACTCCCAGAAATCCTAACCGCTGGTAAACTGGCTGGGATTTCTCAGAGTTGTAGACCAAAATACAGGTTGAGAACCACTGCTTTAGGTTGTCTTGAAGAAGATGTAGTCAGAATTAAGGAGCTGGCAACCCCAGCCATTTGACCTTGGGAAGAAATGTATGCTCGTATTTTAGACAAGAATTACAACTAGAGTGTTATGAAATAATTATTTAAAAATTAAAATTGAAAAAATAAGAAACGCTAGTGTTGTTTAGCTGCAAAGTCTCAATTTTTTTGTTTTTCTTAAAATGAAGCTAATGTTAAGATGCTTCTAGTCTGGCTTCTATCAAACATGAGTTGGAAAAATATATTCCCTTTTGTGCCAATTACCAATCACATTTTTAAAAGAAAAACAGCATTGTATCCAAGAATCAAAGCATTTGTTACTTGAAATGAAAAGGGGGTAACAGCAGCTTTTAAACCATAAATGGAAATGCTCCTAAACCCTTCAACTCCTCATCTGTGGCTCCTCAGGAACTCCAGAGGATTGTGGGTCACATTGTGAACCACTCTGGCAAACTGGAATGGATGTTATTTCACTTTCAGCCATCACTTTAAAACAGAATTCACTGTGTTCCACGTTTTCCTTCCCAAAATAGCTTGCAATGACCTCATCCAACCTTAACATTTCTTTTTTTGCCTGAACAGCACCTTTGGCGCACTTAAGGAGTGCTAAAGGCAACGTAGAATTTCCAAAGCATTGTACCTGGCCCTTAAGATGCATGATTCCCACTCCTGCTCTAAAGCAATTGTCCAAAACTTCAAAGGAAATTAGTATTATTTCGATGTACAGTACAATTTCCACAATAAACATTGTCAAGCAGAATGAAGGAGAGCCTAAATCGTTTTTCTTCTTAATTACCATCAATATAACAAACATATCACTTCAATCTCTTGAAATTACACTGGACTTACAATGTATCTACCAGAGCTAGGCAAGGTATAGTCTTGAAGCCACATATGTCATTCTCTCTTTTGGCCACTTTATTTTGGGTAGGGGACTTTGTTTTACTGTAATTTGATCATCCTCTGTAGAGCACCAGTTTCCTGTCTCTGTATGTCCCAGAGATAGAAAACAGATGCCCACATATAGTAGATGTGAATATACCAATAAGCTACTTGAAAAAAAATAATTTGCTTGTTATACGGTTGATTAGTGCTGAAGTACATAGCCAATTTCCTCCACTCAGTACACAAGTCAGTAAGACTAACAGATAGTTTGCTATGAACTCCAAATTGAGTGTGCCACTCCCAAATAGTTCAGAATTAAATATCAACAAACAAACATTAAATTGTCACAGCCTTACTGCTTGCTAAAGAACAATACAAAGATTTGGAAATCAGTGCAATATATGATCATGGCAGCAAGATTGCTTTACGTGCAGAAATTGAAGAACTCAGGAAAATGATGGACTTGGCCGAGATGGATAAATGTACCCCCTTATTAAAAGAAGGAACACTGGGGGGAAATCTAATTGATTGGAATCACCTGAAATTGAGGATATAGTACACATATTATTTGATTGTAAATTGTATCAGAAGCTAAGAGACTTCTACCTTGCTCTATATAACGAACGGACAATGTATTGGTAATCTCACACCAGAACAACATATTTTATGCGTGGCCAAGACCCAAAAACAACATATAAAACAACTCTGTATTTAAGTAAAACAATACATTTGAGAACCACATATGTGGGACTTATTGGGGTAAATTGTAGAGGTGATAAGGAAATATGATGTATATATTCAGTTTTATCCTATTTATTTACTATATTGTTTTATGTGTCTTATTTTAACTTACCACATAGAGTGCAATGAAATCTTATCAAGCCTTATTGTTGTTTGGTTTGGTATTGTGATATGGCCTAAGGGCTAATCAATAAAACTGATTAATTGGAAACTTTTTATTTGCCTTTTCGAATGAAGATGAAAAGGATTTACCAATTTTGAGTTCTGAAGACTAATTTGAAAAGTCTTTTTGTTTGAGAAAAGTCAACACTAAGAAACCTGGAAAATGATCCCTATGTTATTCTTTGTAGCTGAATGAAGATAGACTGGAATTCAACTACTTTTCTTTTTTTTCTTTTGTTCTTCCTTACAAATGTGAACAATATAGTAACCTAACAGCTTCACAGAGTCCAAATGTTTCAATAGTACTTGCTTGTAATTCACTTTAAGAATGAAGACATTTTCAATAATCTTGCTTTGCTTTCTTAACAGGACAAGATACTGACCATTCTAAGCAATGAACAAGTGTAAAATGTAATGAACTTGCCATGGAAACTATTATTTGAAATTCATTTGCAAAGATAGGAAACACAGTAGTGTTTTGAAATAGTACATTTAACACCAGCTGCAAAAATATTTCTGTTAAATTCACATTCTATAGAACTAAAATGTATAATAGTTTATTATCCTGCTTCATTCCAACCCACAGGTCAGAACTGCGTATTCCTCTCGATTCTGCTTAAATTTTAACTGCCAGGTTTTTTTTTCCACCAATGGATATGTTGGCAAGGGCTGATGCAACTTGCATTTGAACAGTATCAGGAAGATACTCAATTTCCAACCATTCTAGCCTATTTCAATATATGAAATCCAAAGCTGTTTTATTCTTTGTCAGAATTTATTTTCTGTGAAACTACATAAGTGTTTTTAAATAACTACCATAGAAATGCACTTTGCGTCATACTGCATGGGAAGTATAACTGTTTTTGTTATTTGTTATTAAATTCCTGGCAATGCCAGCTTTCATACATAATATCTTTTCACACAATTGTTTCCTGACTGAGGCATTGCTACTTTTACAGAATCAAACAAGACACACAATGCAACAACATAAAAACAAGACAAAAAGCTATTTCTTACTTTGTTATTACAACGTATTAACTCACCTGAAGAGTTTCTATTTGTTTTCTGATACTGTTGTTAGATGGCATCTAAATAAAGCAATGCAAGACAGCAAAACATAACAAACATGAGAATGGGAAGCACATGCATGTTAGATGAAAAATAAAAGCACAAATAGAAAGCTGTTTACTAGGGCTCTATTCAACAGAAAGTTATTTTTGTAGAATCTGTTTGACTCTGGTACGCCAATGATTCATTAAATTTAGCATGGTGCTTGTCATCTGTATCTCCTAGCTTTGACCATCATCTTCTGGCAATCATGTTAAATAAAGCTTAATTTTCTACAGCCAGGATCCAAAGATCCAAATCATTAGTTTTGTGGAACAGCGCTTTTCATCAAGAAGCAGTATGGCAAGCCATTTTAAAAAACAGAAAAGGTTGTCATTTTTTTTTGTTTCACTTATGGTTCTGATTACACTATGTAACACGATGTTGTTCCTGGGTCACAGATGTCATTTCCTAATTGGTTCTATCATAAAAACATGGGGAAAGTGTATTATACTGCAAAAAAAACTTTGTTTTTGCAGAACATCCTGTTAAAGTTTTTCAATGAATATCTCATCGAGTCTCAACCAATTAAACATAGTTTGTGGCATCCACAAAAATGAATTTTCTGGAGCATAGCAACTGTTTTCAAAGTAAGTACCACACAATTAAACAGGAAATAACACTTTCAAACCAGGAACAGTTTTTTTCAAATTTTGTTACATAGTGTTATTGGAGATGTGGGTTAACATTCCCCCAACAGTCCAATCCTCAGGAGGTTGGGAGAGGTAAGGGATCATATCCCATGCTGTGTCTGCCTACTGAAGATGCAGTTATCATGGTTTTTTAAAAAATTCACATAGCAGCCCTATCTTCAGAAAGTGAATTCTTTTTTTTTTTGGGGGGGGGACTATTTTGAAGATAGGTGGGCCACATATTTTTGTTTCGACCAGTACCTCTTATGTGAAATAGACACTCTGTGTGTTTTGCCCAGACAAAGGAAAAGAGGTACTGGGGGGGGGGGGGACACAGAAATATGCTCCACACAGGAATGGGAGAAGAAACTGGATTCATGAGATAAGTGATACTTTGACACACATAGAGCTGAATCATTTCTGTTTGCCACATGTTTCTGTTCCCCCTGGTATTTTCCTTCTTTTCTTGGGTAAAACGAATACCAGCAGCATACAGGAAGAGGAAAGGAGACAGAATCCAAAATGTAAGTGAAGTGGCATGTGAGGCCTTCTCTTTCTCCTGGGACCATGGTGTGTAGCTCCTCCCGCAGGGACCACAGTGGTAGTACCCCATTCCAACTCCCAGATATTAAAATAAGTTTTTCCACTTCAGTGTGTGTGTGTGGGAAGTATATGCTTGTAATCCCTGCAAAAGTGTGTTTATCCTTTAAAAAAACACAATAAGATTTAGCCATGGTATATTAGTGCAATCTAATCAGCATACATTCCTAAATATTCAATAACTCAACTTCCCAATGAGGTTGCTCATTTTTCCTTATGCTGACTAGGTATAGCTTCCAACTCTGGTCCCAATTTTCCCCATACAAAACCAAGCCAAAATGCTAAAAATAACTATAAATTCACAAAACCAATTCAAAACTCCAAGAGTGAAACAATGGAGAATACTCCAAAATATTCTTACAATATTGCAACAGACAAAAAAGAAACTAAGGATTTAAGTCAGTGGTTCTCAACTTGTGGGTTCCCAAGTGTTTTGGCCTATAACTCCCAGAAATCCCAGCCAGTTTACCAGCTGTTAAGATTTCTGGAAGTTGAAGGCCAAAACATCTGGGGAACCACAGGTTGAGAACCACTGGTTTAGGTAGAAAGTATGCTGGAATTGATGTGTGGAGAGTCGTTGGGGCTCTTACCAAAACACTTTCATAGTAGCTCTAGAAGGTTCTAAACACTGCACTGCTTCGGCTTAGATCACCCATATGTGTGAGTCACACAGGCCACATTTTCTGAAGCCATTTTCTATAACTCTCTGAAATATTCTGCCACTCATTCTGATCCCCAAAATTGATGAAAGTCATTAATCGTTATCCTTGATAATTCAAGATAATTCAACAATGGGCATGACATAACAAGGATGTAATGTGAAGTTTTATTGGGTAGTTATCTGAGTTTACAATAATTCAATGTTTCGAAATCTTAGTACTTTCCAGAGAGGTCAATCCTAGCCTGAAGGATTTTCTCAGATAAAATCCTAATAAATAGTAATGTAACACAGTAATTAGTATTCAACATTTCTATTGAACAGAGCCCTATAATAAAATGTTATGCTGTTAAAGGACAACAAAACTATATTAATATAAACAATACATGCTGCATGGTTAAAAAGTAAAGTGCTTGGCAATGGTAGTCTTTCTGCATCCATTGTCAGCAATATAAGTTTCCTTAAAAAGAACTGAAAAGGGTATCAGCATTCTTGTCTACATTCTAAACAGAAAAAGCTTCCATAGCAGAGAAACAGAGACGAATAAAAAGCAGACATTGCAAAAAAAAAAAAAAACTGCAAATGGATAAAAAAATGAAAACCTTGACAAAGTATACAATGATATGAGGGCAAATGCAATGTTTATAGGGAAACATCCAGCTACTTAATTACATATTTCATATACGTTTTCAATTAAACCACTGGCACAAATCTGATATTGCTACAAATGTAACAAATGGCACAAGATGAATGACAGGAATTAAACCATTAAAATCAACATAACACCAACACAAACCTATTAGATCGTTTAGCAGTTTATCCACTGATTAATTAACATACCAAAAAAGATGCCATATTTTTGTGTTCCAAGAATGCCATATATTCTGCTCCCTATGGCTCTACCCATGCTATCCAAGATACAATCATAAAAATAAAATCATGTTGAAAAGATAGAATATATAATAGAATAATAGAGTTGGAAGGGACCACATGGGCCATCTAGTTCAGGGGTCCTCAAACTAAGGCCCAAGGGCCAGATATGGCCCTCCAAGGTCATTTACCCAGCCCTCGCTCAGGGTCAACCTAAGTCTGAAATGACTTGAAAGCACACAACAGCAACAACAACAATCCAATCTCATCAGGCAAAAGCAGGCCCACACTTCCTATTGAAATACTAATAAGTTTATATTTGTTAAAATTGTTCTTCATTTTAATTATTGTATTGTTTTAAAGTGTTTTTTTGCACTACAAATACGATATGTGCCATGTGTATAGGAATTCATTCATGCTTTTTTCAAATTATAATCCGGCCCTCCAACAGCTTGAGGGATTGTGACCTGGCCCTCTGTTTAAAAAGTTTGAAGACCCCTGATCTAGTTCAACTCCCTGCCATGCAGGAAAAGCACAATCAAAGTACCCCTGACAAGTTGCCATCCAGCCTTTGTTTAAAACCTTCCAAGGAAGGAGCTTCTATCACACTCTGAGGCATATTCCACTGCTCAACAGCTCTTATAATCAGGAATTTTTTTTTTCTATTGTTCAGGTGGAATCTTCTTTCCTGTAATTTGAACCCATTGCTCCGAGTTCTAGTCTCCATGTCAGCAGAAAACAACCCTGTTCCCTTTTCCTTATGACATCCTTTCACATATTTATACATAACTATCATGTCATCACAAATACCATCACAAAGTTTTACTTTCTAACCCAAGATTATCAAGTTTCACCTCTTCTCTCTTCTTTGCTGGGAATCTAGATTTATTCAGGGGAACCAACACAAGATGACACTGTGCATGCACGGACAGTTCCTCTACCTCACAAAAGATCTTGCCTATAGTTTCGCTAAATTAATAAATAAACAGAGATGACAGAAATTATATGTCTTTTTACAAACGAAGGTTGAGCCAGAGTGTAGTGGTTTGAACGTTGGTCTAGGACACTGGGAATTCCTGCTCAGCCATGGAATCCCATTGGTTGACAAGTTACTCTCTCCCAACTCAGGGGAGGGCCAAGCAAACTCCCCTCTGAACAAGTTCTGCCACACAAAAAATCATAATAGGCTACACTTAAGAGTCAACGTAAGTCAGAAATTATTTGGAGGCATAAAACAACAATCTGTAACATAAAACCTTAGACAAGTGACACAACAATTTTGTAGTCTGATTGGACACAGCTTTACTGAGATAAGGATACGTATATGCATAAAATGCTTCATGGTTATCCACACATGTCATTCTCTCAAACATACCTGTTTCAGTCATATTGTTGATTTTGTGTAATATCTGTGTATATAAGTCCCCAATTCTTTGGCATTAAATATTTAAAAAATGCTAAGAAAGTAACAATGTCATATGGCTAATAGCAAAAAATATATACTTGGAAACTCTAGCAAAAATGTCAAGAGAACAACAACAACAACAACAACAACAACAACAACTTTATTTATACCCCACCACCATGTCCCAAAAAGACTCGTGGTGGCTTAAAGAAGCACATATAAGTACCATAATATGCCTTACCTTTAAATGGGACAGACAATTTTGTAAGAAGATATGCCAGTTATTTAAAAAAAACTGCTTCTGACTGACACACAACAAACAGGTGATCAATGGATACAAAGCCTGCAAGAGAACAAAAAGAAGTGATCACATTTATCTATTTAAGGAAAATTGTGAAACAGCGGCCATGTTGTCACATGAGCCAAAAATTAAATCCATTTCCATTTTAGTAAAATGTAGAAAAATCAAAGGGCGTTGAATTCTTCTACAAGGTGCAGTATCATTCAATGTTTAGATATAACAGTAAGCTATCCACCACCAGAGATATTAGGCAAGCCCCCACCCTGGCAATTTTCAGGAGGAGCCTGAAAACTTGGCTGTTCCAATGTGCTTTCAATGATTGAATGTATGATAATCCCGGACCAAACTCTGCATAAAATGCCCTCAGAAGCACTTTATTTTCTGGTCGTGCAATTAAATTCTACCTCATCCCCCAGATCCCCTCCCTGATATTTTACTTTGCCCTATCTCCCCGTGTTTTAAAATTTTAATCTTTGAATTTGGCCCTGCCCGTTGTGATCATTTTTAGTGTTTTAATATCTTGATTCTATATTGTTGTGTTGCTTATTTACATTGGTTTTGTATTTTATGTTATTTTATTTTCTGATTTTCTGTTGTGTTTTTGTGTATATTGTGTTTACAGTATTGATGGATGTGGTCTCATTTAAGCCTCTCCGAGTCCCCTTGGGGAGATGGTGGCAGGGTATAAATAAATAAATTATTATTATTATTATTATTATTATTAAACCCAAAGTTGCTCAAAGATTGATCAAAACAGGAGAGAATGAACCTATAGCCTCCGCTTTTAATTATATTAATAGCCGTTAAAGCTACACATTCATAGCCTACAAATAAGCAGGATCCTTGGGCATATTAAGTTTATTATGGAAAAGCAGTGTACTAATATATGCACCATCTGGCAGCTGAAGTGGCTAAACAAACCATAGATCTCTTAATGGTGCTAGGGTCATAAAATAGCTGCAACTGCACAGTGAAATGTATAAATAAATACTAAATTGTTTAAAGAATCATAAAAAGTTTAACAGCAGAACAATTAAAGCTGTAACAAGCTGAAGCTATAAAGTTATAGGGCATTTCCTCCCACCATCCTATGCAAATTCATGCTAATGGCCTAATGATGTTGAAAGTTGTAGGGGGGAATCCTTTTCTACAACATTGAAAAGAATGGGTTGGACACCAAATTAGTTCTTGTGGAAAGGAATGACAGAAGTAGAGTTATATCACTGACAAAACTCTATAAGGTTTTGAGTGGTGCTCTGCACAAGATAACCCCATTTGTGTGATTCACAGAGACCTTGAAGAAGAAAATGACAGCATGTTCCTCAGCATGATATCAGAATTAATTGCCTACTAATCTTTACATAGTTGGGTACAATTACTAAACATATCAAAAGATTTTCTTCAGACAATACTCAGCCCATTAATGTTTTTACACTGATTAAAGCAAATTAATGTATATGAAGCTAGCAGTTAAAACAGATAATAGTGTGGAGCATATTTCCTAGGACAGGCAGTTCCAAAGTTATGAACAAGAGAGGTTTTGAAGGTTTGGTCTTAAGCTGAATTTGTATATAAGTTGGAACAGGTACATTTTCTAAGTGTAACTCCACACACACACACAAGATTTGGACAGCACAGGGAAGGATTACCACTCTTGTGATGTTTGTTTTGCTGTCTGTGCCCCTGTTCAGAAGATTTCCCCTCACTTTCTGTCCCTATGATAATTGGATTCTGAAAAAAATGGCTTATTGTAGATACAAGGATTTTCCTTCCTAGGAATAGATTTCTTTCACTTCCTGTTCAGTAAGTGTTCTTAACTATGAGTCATTTGCAAGTTGGATGTTTGCAACTTGGGGACTGCCTTCAATTCAACCAGATTTCAGTAGGATCTGCTTTCCCTGGTAATTACAATGCTGAATTGCATACACAAATCTATCCTGGACACATATTTTAAAAAGTAAAATCGATTAATGAAAATACCAGCGAGTGCTTCTTTCTTGAGCTCAGCTCAAAGGTAGTTTGATAAAGCATCTCCACAAAGTTTTTCAGACATGGCACATTCACTTCATTTTTGACAGCCTATTATCAAAATAAATAAATAAACAGATTAATCTCTTGAAAGGTGAGAACTGGACAAAGACACACAGGGATGAAAAATGATTCATAAGAACCAAGCATTACAGAACATCTCAGATAGTAAGACTTCCTATTAAAATGACGTTAATATATTAACACTATGTAACGAAGTTTGCTGCTATACTCTAGAAACTTCATTTTTATGGCTGCCACAAACTATGTTGATTTGGTTGAGGCTCAATGAGATATTCATTGAAAAACTAGAGCAAAATGTGCTGCAGGATGTCCTGTAAAAACCAGGTTTTTGAATTTAATAAACTTTTTCCATGTTTTTATGATAGAACCAATTAGGAAATGACATTTACAACTCATGAACAAAAATTGTGTCACACAGTGTAATCAGTCATATTGCTGCAATATTCAGTCAGTTAATAACAAAATTACTGTTATTTAGCCTTAAAAGGCAATGTTGAAGCTTGTTGTTGCACTGATTGCTATAAAGAATGGTGACCTTTGTCAGAATTTTGGGTTCACATGGACATAATAGGAAGACTTTTATCACAGTAGTACTCTCCCTGCTACGTCTCAGGTCCCTTCCAGAAGGCCCAATATCCCAGAATCAGATCCCAGGTTTTCTTCTTTAAACTGGATTATATGAGTGCCAGATAATCTGGGATAAACAGAAAACCTGGGATCAGATCCTGAGATAAAGGGCCTGTCTGGAAGGCCCCCCAGTAATGTGACATGTTTTTTTTTCTCTTTAAGTTAGTATCAAGGCAATATACATCACAGATTGGACTAGATGTATTTTATATATTGTATGGCATCTTTGTGTGCTATTGTGTAAGCCACCCCGAGTCCCTATGGGAGATAAATAAAGTATTATTATTGTTATTATAGATACTCCTCTCTTTCTATGACAGTGGCTCCATGCATGCCCAAGACTCTTACTGAGCTAAACTTTGCTTCCAGCAAGTAATTTTGGAAAAGGTCATTGAACAGAAAATAATGTTGAAACTAGGTAAAACTGCTCAAATTGAATACCCGTCTTATTTTTAAACCGAGTTATCAACTAGAATGTACCAATGTTAGCAAACAGCAGGAAAGATCATTTCTGAAGACCCCAAATTAACAAATATGCTCTATGGAAGAATATGATATAAAATGAATCACATGTGTATATGTATATATAGTGTTTTTAAAGAAAACACTAGTTTACAAAAAATGTTTTATTCAGGATCATCAAAGTGAGATTGGTGAAGCTATCCTTTGTTATAGCTGTGAAGGCAGCAATGTTCTGGTTTAATTCGGTTTATAAATATAAACCTTTGAATTCAGAGACGTAAAATTAACAATAGTAATACAAATCTTTTGCTATCATTACACTATATACATTCTTCTTAACAATGACACAACAAACTAAATGTATCCTCAAAATTACCAACTATGACGGGAAATGTTTTCTGAAAGTCATATTCTGGAGGGGAATGTTGTTAAACTCTTCTACTTGCTCTCTACCCAGCAACCAGAACTTATGTAGAAAAATGTAATTAACTTACAGCAGCAACAGGGATGAGAATTTCTACAAACAACCCAGCAAGTGAGTGCTTTATGTCTTTATCTTTTACTTCCAAAAAGTACTGTGCACATTCCTATAAGAGAGAAATCATTAGGCTTTCTGTTGTTGTTAAGCTGCATCTTGTTCAGTTACAAAAGTAAAAATGCCTAAGCTTGTAACTAAGGTAACTAAAGTAGACAACAGCAGAAATAGAACTTAAATGACCTTGGAAAAATGCTATATCTAGTTTGCAGTTTTCATAAATTAGTAGGAGGTGACTTCCTCTGTTCATATAAAGCAAATTCATAATACATATTTCGAGTGTGGTTACTAATGCCTTGAACAAGTGTCGTCACTCACTATCGACTTTTGAATATGTACAAAACTGTCAGGTTTTGTTTTTTTTAAATGGGACAATTACTGGTAAATCAAATTGCCCCAGATTTTTCTGTATAAATATTGGTTCAATTGCTTATTTCTCACATCCTATTTCATCTAGGTCTGTAAGAAAGCTACAAAGAAACAAATTCTATATGTTCTTGTTTACTCCTGCCTCCACTAATTTAGGTTTCCCCTGCTTCTAGTGTTTTTAACTAAATTTAGACTTTATGTCCTTCAAGGCAAGAACAGAGACCTATAGTTTTTTTATTGTGTAAAGATATCATGGGCACAAATGGCCCTCAAGTTTACCTGCATAAATTGAAATGATGCTTCAAAATCTTCTACGGGGTACATTTTTACTCTGAAAAACTTCATCCCCATAATTAAGCTGATGATACTTTGTACCACATGAGGGCTTTGTTCCTTTTGTCGCAGTTCCTTTAATTCTGTGACAAATTTCTTTCGAACAGCCTGAAACCTAAATCATGGAGAGGGAAAGATCAATGCTGTTAGAAACAGCCCATGCAAGAATTATAACTAAGACTTTTTCCTCGTTTAAAAAAATTATGTGATTTCCCTTTTTTAGAAAGGGATGTCCAAATCCATGCAGAATACTCAAATGGGTACAATTGGTATATATGCAATGTACAATTGCTGTATGTGCATCTATTGGACAGATGGCAAGCTATTTAACCTCAGCAGACTGAAAGCCAAAACTAAGGTCACAACAACATCCGTTATAGAACACCAATATGCTGATGACAATGTCATCTGTGCACATTCAGAAGAAGACCTACAAGCCACTCTAAACACTTTTGGCAGAAGTATACGAGAACCTCGGCCTCTCATTGAACATCAATAAAACCGAAATGCTCTTCCTGCAGTCACCAGCCAATCCCTCTGCAATGCCAGAAAAACAGCTTAATGGTGTAATGTTAGAAAAGTTGACCATTTCTGCTACCTTGGCAGTCATCTCTCCGCAAAAGTCAACATTGACGTTGAAACACAACACCACCTGAGCTCTGCGAGTGCACCATTTTTCCAAATGAAGCAGAGAGTGTTTGAGGATCGGGACATCCATAAGGATATCAAGGTGTTTATAAAGCTATTGTCCTCCCAAACCTGCTATACACCTGCAAAACATGGACTGAATACGGACATCACACTCAACTTCTGGAACGATTCCAGTAGTGCTGCCTCTGAAAAATCCTGCAAAACTGTGGCATAGACACCGAGAACTGGGAAGCCATGGCCCTTAAACGTGGTATCTGACAGTCAGCTGTGACCGGCAGTGCTGTGGAATTTGTAGAGGCCCGAATGGAGGGTGAAAGGGAGAAATGTGCCAAGAGAAATGCGTGTCAGAACAACCCTGATCGGGAGCACATTCCACTTGAAAACCTATGTCCTCACTGTGGAAGAACATATGGGTCAAGAATAGAGCTCCACAATCACCTACGTAGCCACTGTCAAGATACTGCACTTTGAAGGCGATCATACTTGGACAACGAGGGATCGCCTAAGTAAACAAGTATGCAATGGCTAATATCTATAATATTTGGAATTTAGTAGTATTAGGGTAAATTCATCCAGAGCCAGTTTTCTCTGTTGAAAACAGAAGGGACAACACACTTTCAAAAAGAATACACAATGAAATGAGTAGCAGTGATGTTTCTATCATAACTGAACCACCAGACTGGCAATGGATCCATATGAATTGCATGAATGTGTATTCATGAAAATTTAAACATAGAAATATGTCAAAGGGGACAGATCCAGAGTGGAAACTATGATTTAATAAAGCACTTACTTTGATTGCGCAAGAACCCCTATCACTTCTGCATATAAATCTGCAATAATATGCACATTCCCAGTGTTGGTTCCTGAATACCTGTAATGAAAAATGTACATAATGCACCCTGGAGATTGCTTTACATCTGAACTTTAGAAGATTTGCCATTTTAAAAATAGGCTTACCCTTCTTTGTGCTTAAAGTGCTTAAAAGCCAAATTTAGAACATCATGAACTAAAGGGTCAGGCACTGGATGAACAGGTATCTGTAATGTAGAGGCAGAACATGGGATATTACCTTTTAAGAGGAAGTGGTAGTTTGGTCAAATAAAAAGTCAACAAAACAAATTCTTAAAAAGTTACTATGTAGATCTGCACAGAGGATATGTGTTCCTTACACTTACTGCTCAGATATTGTATTAGAACAGCACTTTCTCTGTTGGTGGACATTTCTACTATAGAAATAATAGCATACATTTATTGAGAGAGTAGGTATTTAAATAAGTGAATTTGCTTCCTAATAGCTATATTTCTGTGTTCAATGAACGATGAGTTTTAATTTAGTGGATCAAGGTTTTAAGGGTAAGAGAAAAATGTGCAGGAAGTCAATAATGTTTTGAGCAGCTGAAATGATATGCCCTCTATTTCAGCTGGCCTCGGTTCCGAGCATAAGTATTTAAGCAGACAGCACAAACACCTTTGTGTTTAAACTATTAATACCATATTATTATTAGACAGATCACTTTGCTTGCAGAGCTTACCTGTTTTAGAACTTCTACTAAAACTAAACAAAAAATAAAATCTACAGCTAAATCCCTCCTTTCAAGTAGATAATCCCTCTCACGTTGCTGCTCATCCCTGAAACAAAAACAAATATTAAGTTACACCAAACTCTTCCTTAAAACAAAAAATCATATATATAATTCACATTTTTTTGCATAGTCAGTACTATTGAACATGATTCTTAAACTTTCCAATTTCCTCAAAACATGAAATATTATACAACTTTTACAAGGTACAAAATTTTATTATGGTCACTGACCAGCACAAAATGGGGCACAAGCGCCCTGGGAGGGGAAGGACAACTCCCCAGTAAAGCAGTTGTTAAAAGTAGATTAGAAAACAGTTTAAAATCGCATTTTAAAACACAGGATATTGTAACAGGTATGGAACCGAAGGGGGAGGGGGGAGGAGAGAGATTGATAGGAGGGGTCAAAACACTGGGGGGGAGGGAGCCACTAAAGGGCAGGGGAGGGCCACATTGCGAGTCTAGTAGCATTTCAGCTGTAACATGTTACTCTAATACATTCCCAACAGGGTGTTGCCTTGTGGGGTCAATCATCATCTGTCTAATTTTAAATGCAGCAGCACAAAACTTAGCAACACTGTAAGTTATTGTAGTATTAGAGTCCAAAAGCAGCAAGGTGGAATAATATTTTTCACTGTATCCTGGGTATTTTAGAAGCCATGATCTAATGAGATTAGATCTAAGATCTCTGTAGAACATGCAGTGAAGAAGCACGTGCTCAGTGGTTTCTACACGACCAGACTCACAGGGGCATAGTCTCTGCTTTTAACATATCACAGTAGTAAAAAAGAGATTTCAAAAAGGAAAACTCTACTAGACAACTGACTAAGGAGGAACTCTTACACATTTATGAATATATTTTGAACCCATATCAGGATGCTGTAATGTTGTCCCTTAGTCTCTGCATTAAAACCGCCTTAGATTTCTGTCTGTAAATTTGCCAGCAAGTGTTTAAACTGCTTTGTATTCAAAGCATGATGAAGCTTTCTTTTGGACTTGTGCTGGATCTGATTTTCATGCTATTTCTTTTATTTCATTCTTATTTAACATCCCATTCATCCTCTTCCTATTAGATCCCAAGCATTTATTTATATCAGCATTCAGGTTAGATTTGAGTTAAACTGACAGGAACAAACACAGCTCAGTGAGAGATGTGTAATTTATGTTAAGTCATTCTATCAGTAAGTTTAAGATCATTAATCAAAATAATCTAAATGTGGCAATAACTGATATGAACTCACCCCTTAGATTTTGTGCTAGACCGAGGCCTGTACTCATAGGATTCATCTTCAGTTCCATTTTGGCGTTTGTACCAATCAAACAAGGTGCGCAGTAAAGAGGGGAGACAGTGCTCTGCTACAGAGCTCATAGAGCTTATCAACTGTAAAAAGAAATGGTTTAGGTGTTTAATGGAATGTTTCCTCAATTTAGTAACAGATGATGCATGAAAACCTCTGTACCTTTAAGACAAATGTGTAGTCAACAGGTAGCCAGTGCGCAAGTATCTCAGCTACCACTGATACACCAACATATGACCTAAAATCGTAAGTTTATGGGTTTGGTGCGAAGGTTGTGTCACGCTACTAAGGAAATGGTATGTTAAGTAAGCAGGACACAATCACAAATAGTCATCATAAATTGTGTCTTGGTCCCATTTCACAGGTGTTGTCTACACTGAGATTTCTGTAGATCACATTGGCAGCTTAACACTCAACTCAGTGCTACAACTCAACAGTCTACGCTTGAGTTGTAGGGTAACGTTCACACAGTAGAGACCCATACATGGACACTTATTGGTTACTGTGCTGTAAACTACTACAGTCTCCCTTTACATTTGCTGGTTTAACTTTTATGGATTTGAATATTTGATTAAAATGTTATCTCTAGGAATCTCTAAGTACTCCGGTTGACCACAGGGTTATTCTAGTTGGCCTAGAAATTCCTGGAAATATGTTATCTCAGATTTTTTAAAGCATTTTGATTCATATTTTTTCACTTCCACAGGGGTCCTAACCTCTGAGAATATGGAAGGCTGATATAGACTGTAATGGCCAGGTATTCCAGGCATAAATGGGAATCCTGATATAAATAAAATGTGCCATGAATGCAACGAGAAGGTATGCAAATAATCACATAACCTGCTTGCACCTATTTTATTAAAATGAAATATGATCATCTGAACCAACTGAAAGGCACAAGACTCAGTAAAGTGAACATGGAAGATCAATCCTCCAGTGCAGAGTTACGAGTGGTACCAGTGTTGGTGGCATGAAACAACTTCCTCTGGGTTCTCTTGAAAGGCTTTTTATATCAGCTAAAGGACCCATTTAGTTCCTGGCCTTGGATTTCAAAAATATTCCTGTATTTAATACTATAACACTGTATAGTATTCCTGTGGTTTTTTAGACTAATAGCTTGTGAGTAGACTAAACAAAAATATTGTTTTCTATCTTTGCTTCCCCATCAAGCTTTTGCTTGATAAAAAATGATGATTCAACTATGACAAATATTTCCAACTGAATGATAGTCCTCTGAAATGTGATATGGCCCAGATATCCAGATTAATTTATCAACATCTGACAAAACATGTTCTCACAAAGTCTTTTCTAGGTCCTCTAGTACAAATCTGTGGTATTCTAAATCTACGGTGCTCTATTATCAGCAGATTTGCATTTCTATACAAGTCTGGCAATGTATCCTCAGCAGATAAAGATGTATTTCAAATGTAATGCATCAAAGAAAAATAGATCTTACGAATTGTGAAGCCACACTTGTAGAACTTATGCCCATCATAAGGTAAAAACTACTTACAAAGTTACACTTCATAGGAAATATTTTCGCTTCTAAGACTTCTCCTGTCACCTCTCAAACTATAGAGACAATGAACTCCAATGTATAAATCCCTTCAAAGGTTTACCCTGACATTAAGTCTAGTCATGTCCGACTCGAGGTTGGTGCTCATCTCCATTCCTAAGCTGAAGAGCTAACATTGTCCATAGACACCTCCAAGGTCATGTGGCCAGCATGACTGCATGGCTTCAACTTTCCATTTATATTTTGACAAAATTATCCCAGCCTCTTCTGTCACACATTTGTACACCAGTCTTCAATAAATCTTGAATAATTTAGGGTTTTAAATTCTTGAACTGTCAAACAATTTATGGACAAAAAAATCAATTTTCACAAAACATTTTAAATTAAAGTTGTCCAACCTGGTCAAACTGAAGATCTTCACCTCTCTGAAGAGATCTTGACAAGAGTTTTTCCTAGAATCAAAATAATAAAAGTAGATTAAGCAATCATATTCTAAACATGAAATAAATGGGGTCAATCGTTGTTGTCATTCCAAATCGGTTTTAGTATTTTCAACAAGTAAAAAGGGTAAGATAAATAAACAGTTTGAAATGAACTTAAGGGGCTGTTTCCCTCTTCCTTCCTCCCCTGCAACTGTCCTTTTTGCTGCCCCCAACTTGTTCTGGATCTTCAAAGAAGTATTTCAAGGCAAGGAGGCTGCTGTGTGTAGAATCATAGAGTTGGAAGAGACCTTGTGGGTCATCCAGTCCAACTTCCAGCCAAAAAGCAGGAAAATTGCATCCAAAGCACCCCCGACAGATGGCCATCCAGCATCTGCTTAAAAGCCTCCAAAGGAGCCTCCACCACATTCTGGGGCAGAGTTCCACTATGTATGTGATTGCTCTCCATCTTGGTTTGAATGACAGAAGCAACTCAAAATAAGGCCTATATGTTTACATAATGAGTAATGCAATTAATTTTGAAACAAACATTTTTGAAGCTTTGAGTCTTCTTTTACAATTGGAGAAAAAGTTATGAGAATAAATAAAAATGAAAGAAAAATCAGTAAGCACGATGATTTCAACTGAAGTATACAAAGAATCAAGAACAAATAAATGTTGTTTCTACCTAAACCCTACCGCTCTTCTCTCAAAGTTCAACTTTTTCAGAGTTGAAGACACCCTGCCAATATCACCCAATACCATGTTTCTAAGTCAATAGCATCTGTTATATTTTTGAAGACTAGTTTTGCCTTTTTCAAGCAAAAGGGCTTACAAACACCATCCCTCGAAAGGCCATGGATATCATAGTGTCACTGTAAGTATTGGAAATACTTTCTGAATACCAACCATTCATGCTACCAACTTAACTGCCAGTATCATCTTTTCTTACTATCAATTCAATTTAAAGAATTGAAATTAACCTACATTTATTCCACCTTACATTAGTGATACCTTAATACTTTGAGTTATGAGTTTAATTTGTTCCATGACAAAGCTCTTCACTCGAATCACTCTTATCTCAGAGTGGATTTTCCCACTGAAATGCATTGAAATGCTATTAATCCATTCCGCCTCCCCCCCCCATTTTTGTTATGTGTTTTTACTTTATAAATAACAAATAATGAATAAATGCACATTTACGTAGAACAATAAAAAAGAAAGATGAACTTTAAAATAGCTGAAGCACAAATTTGTGGCACAATAGTAGAAGTACAAAGTTGTGGCAAGGAAGCACAAAGCACTAAGTTAAGAGGCAGAACTACCTTTTTCTTCATACTGCACTAATTCAAGCCTCCCTCCTCCCTTGCTCTTTCCTTCTCTCTCTTCATGAAGTCAAACATACCAGGATTAAAAACCACACAAAATCAACTAACCAAAGTTCCTCAAAGCGGACAAGAGCAAAGCAGACAGCAATCTCCCAAAGCGGACAAGAGCAAAGCAGATAGCAATCTCCCAAAGAAGACAAGAGCATGTAGCACAAGGCACGGAGGCTGCACTCTTGAAGCCCTAAAGCCCTGTACTCTCACACTGGCACTTTCCCCGGTGCTCCCTCTGATGCTAGCTCTTAATCCAAAATGCTGCCTTTATGTCAGAGCAAAACCAGGTCGAGCGACGGCTCTTAATTAAAAATGATATTAAGTTGGGATGCTGTTAAGTTGAGGTTCCAGCGCACCTTCTTTTTCTAACTTTTAACTTTTTCTGTTGAATCATGTTATGGAGACCTGCCTGCAGGCTATCTGCTATATATGGTTTGCAAAATTCTACTATGTTCAGAGGGAGGCCAACATTACTAACAAATATTAAGACAGGACCTTGGTACCAATGCTCTCTGAGCCTAGAAGCACCTTAAATACTAATGCTAGATGATTATATTAATCCTCTGTATGCTGAGAAAAAAACACTTAGTATCATGTCTGCTGCAATTAATGTTCAATAAACACATATATCCATAGATACAAGTGCTGTTGTTATCAGCCTCCAGATTCCTCAAGAGCCTCTCAGTGGTGGCCTTAGCATTTCAGCATTAACTTGTCATTCACAAAGCTGGCAGAGTTAGCTCAACAGCTCTATAGCCAAAGTGTAAACTAGCCATGGTTGAGACATAGACATCTACCAAGGGCAGTGGAAATAAGATATACATGTAAACATCAGGAACAATGTCTAAGGAAACTTTTTCTGAGCACACTGAGTCAGACATAGGAAGCTCAGGGGCTGTGCCTTCCAAGACTAATTAACAGAGCACTAAGGTTTTCAACCATCTCCAAAACAAAACACAACTCTTTGTAAATCAACAGTGAAACCTCTAAAAGCAATTAAGGGCTTGATTGTTGCAAAGGAAAGAAAGCATAGGTGGGGATTCAAGTGGAGCTCCCACTAATGAAAGTTGAAGCAGTGTTTGGTTTGGGGCCAGATTCCAAATTTCATGCCACTCCTCTGATGTCCAGTGTTAATGGAGGAATATGCTGGTGGATTGTGTTGATGCTACTTTCTCAGGCTCATTCTGACTCCAAAACTGCAATACTTTATAATGGATAATGGAATGTACTGACATCGTAGTACTAAAAAGATTGCATTGTTCACTCATTGTAAGTTTAATTCACTCATTGTAAGTCTAATCATCCTTCTGTGTGGGGGCTTGGAGTGGATACATTATTTCCAACCACAGTCATTTAAATACTAGATGCCCCACTAGTTTTTATGATCAGCTCTGATGTGTGCACAAACGTAGATTCAAAATAGAAACATTTAATCCATAGTGTGCATGCACACACCTATATGTATGTTTACACACCTAGCTTTTTTAATAACCATGTGCCTTTGTTCCCTGGATCTGACTTCATGGGGTGGGGACAGTTTACAGAGATCCTTTTGCGTAAATTGATTCACATTCAAGAGTTTTCCAAAAACATAGATTATAAACACTTAACTGTCCTATCCCTTTATCCAAGTGCCATAGTTTTGGTTTCCTCCATTTGAATGCTCTACAATACTTCTTCCTCTAGGTGGCTGCTGTATACCGCCTCTTTCCTCAAATGCTTAAAAACGAGCATCTCTGAAAAAGGAAGTCTGCAGAAAACTAAATAGGTATGGATTATGGATGAGCATAATCCATACCTAAGAGTATGATGAACAATCACTACACTGAACCTGTTATGTTAGACTTCGTACATAGAAAGTAGACAGAAATAAATTGTAGCAAACAGGAAGCATTTGTACTAGTTTATATTTTTTAAAAAAACCCCAAAAACCACCCCATCAAAAACAATACAAAATTCAGAGAATTTATATACAATAGACTCTCAGTTAACCGAATGTCAAGCAACTAGAATTCTCAAGCAGCTCGCACACAAAAATCTAAGAAATACTAAATTAAAGAAAATTAAAATATGAATATAATACAGTAAAACCATGTTACATTAAGTTAAGTTTGTCTTTATTTGCTTTTAATTATTGTATTTCAAGATCCTGCAAGGAAGACTCTAGCAATACATGGAGAGAGAGTTGCCAGATGTACAAGCTGGGTTTAGAAAAGGCAGAGGAACGAGAGACCAAATTGCTAATATCTGCTGGATAATGGCGAAAGGCAGGGAGCTTAAGAAAAACATCTTTTTCTGTTTTATTGACTATCCTAAAGCCTTTGACTGTGTGGATCATAATAAATTGTGGCAAGTTCTTGGTGGTATGGGCATACCAAATCACCTTGTTTCTCTCCTGAGGAATCTGTATAATGACCAAGTAGCAACAATAAGAACTGACCATGGAATAACAGACTGGTTCAAGATTGGGAAAGGCATACGGCAGGGTTGTATACTCTCACCCAACCTATTCAACTTGTATGCAGAACATATGTGATGTGTGGGACTTGATGAATGCAAGGCTGGGGTTAAAATTGCTGGAAGAAACATTAACAACCTAGTGAAGAGTAGAGATATCACACTGGCAACGAAGATCCGCACAATTAAAGCAATGCTATTCCCCGTAGTAACCTACAGATATGAGAGCTGGACCATAAAGAAGGCTGAGAGAAGGAAGATAGATGCTTTTGAACTGTGGTGCTGGAGGAAAGTTCTGAGAGTGCCTTGGACCGACAGAAGATCCAACCAGTCTATACTTCAGGACCATAATGACGGGTCTACACTTGATCTTAGCCAAAAGGCCGAGAAGCGAGAAGTACTTTGGCCACATCATGAGAAGACAGGAAAGCTTGGAGAAGAGAATGATGCCGGGGAAAATGGAAGGAAAAAGGAAGAGGGGCCAACCAAGGGCAAGATGGATGAATGATATCCTTGAAATGACTGGATTGACCTTGAAGGAGCTGGAGTGGCCACAGCCGACAGGGAGCTCTGGCATGGGTAATAAACAACAACAAATTTCAATATTCATATTGGATATATGATATGATATGATATAGTCTGGGGTATAGTATTATGTCTATTTTAATAGGAAGTGTCAAGCAACCAGAAACGACATTATTTCAGTAAGGTAGTTCATGTCAGAGAAATACAGGCCAAATGTTGTTGTGCCTCTTCAAGTTATTTCTGATTTAGGGTGATCACACAGAAACCTTAGGACATAAGATTCATTCATAGGGGGTTTGCCTTTGCCTTGTTAGGGTCGAGAGAATGTGACTTGTCCAAGGTTACAAATAGTAGATGGTGACAAAAGGGAGCTCAAATATGTTAACATTGACTTAACCTCTCTCTGTGTATGTGTTAGTTATGAACACATCCAATTTCTCTCTTTAAACTTCACAAATAATTGCATTTAAGGGGGAGGGGGAAAGTTTCCTATTTTCATTTGTCCAACGTTGTCTGCACTGGATTTTGATGAGTTTTACACTTTCTCTAAGTTTATGTCCAGTAATTCACTCGCCAAAGCTTGTTTTAAGCTAACCATATTGAAAATGATAGTTTTGCAGTGCCATTTTTTTTCATAAAATTACATTAATAGTATTTATGAATGGAGTTTTTTTTTAAAAAAAATTAGAAACCCACAGTTGATGCATCCTGGCAGGGAAAAGGCACCCATGTGGATTGGTAGACACTGGATAGATTTAGTTACCAAACTTATTGCCATATACTCCTAAGAACAGTCTTCTGTTTCAAAAAGTTGACAATGCCCTTTGCTTTTCAAAATAATATAAATGATGGCAAACAAACAAAGAAAAAAGTGTCAGTTTGAAAACTACTTTCTAGAATAGATGCAGGTGACATATGAAAGTAAGACAATATCAGATCTATAATATTTTATTACGCTGCTGTTAAAGAAGTGGATTGTTAAAATGTGAACTCAGGCAACAATAAATCTGACAATCTAAGGAGACACAGCAGGTGAACAAATATAGTTTATTATACCTATACCATTTTCCAAGAAAATGAATTAGATTTTTTGCCTGATTGCTTATCAGTAAAAAGTGGACCAAAAGCCAACTGTTCTCAACAAGCAAACCATATTGCAGCATTTTAAGCAAGGATAACTTATGATCCTTAAAATAATAAATGTATAAGATAACCTTTTTTTGTCTAAAAGTTCTTAAATTTTCATTGCCCCTTTCCATGACCTTGCAAACCATAAGTGTTTTCTCAATTACAGAAACGTATTATAATATATGTATTATAATATGAGGTACTTTGGCCACATAATGAGAAGATGGGAAAGCAAAGAGAAGACAATGATGCTGGAGAAAATGGAAGGAAAAAGGAAGAGGGGTCAACCAAGGGCAAGATGGATGGAAGTGACTGGCTTGTCTCTGAAGGAGCTGGGGATGGTGATGGCCGACAGGGAGCTCTGGCGTGGGCTAGTCCATGAGGTCACAAAGAGTCGGAAGCGATTGAACAAATAAACAACAACACTATAATATAACATAAACGCTACAAACATTTAGAGGTGATTATCTACGTATAAATGCCAGGTTTATTAGGATAATACTTAAAGAGTTAACCGATCCTCTATCTTATACAATTTGTACACTTCATGTAGCTGTCAGGTTTACAGTTCTAAAAAATTAGACAAAGTCATGTTCACACACGATCCACTATATCCACAATTTGCAGATTTATTCCCATAACCAAGTCAAACTGCCTGATAGACTATTAGGATCAAGTTGTTGTTAATGTAGACTTCAAGAATATAATTTCTGTGTTCCATTCACAACTAGAACTGCATTTAGCCATATATCAATTGGAATCAGGATATCTGAAAGCTTCTCCTGTTTCTACCACAGGCTCCTCACATTTTTCTTTCCCCATTGCAATCTGCTTAATATAGATACCAAATATTTCTACAAAGGGGATAACTTCCAGCTGATTTAATGCTCCCTTTCCTGCTACAGACTATACCTAGACAAATCATTGCTCAAGTGAGGAAACAAACCACAAAAAATCTGAAAAGTCAACATAGCCTTTGCAGCTCCACCAAACTATATAAAGAAGCCCATATTCAAGCTCAAACAAAAAGATGTATACAATTGTCTCTGCCCAACAGTTCCCTTTTACTAGCTTGCAGTAAAATTTGGCCCAGTCTAGATTAAAGGCCTCTGTAATGTCACCTTTTTCTTTGACCCAATGATCTCTAGTTGTTATTATTGCTTCTCCTTATAGTGCGAAAGAAACATATTACAAGTCCTAATACTTAGTATTTCTTTTAAAAAGCACAAGTCAGTAATAGAATGGCTTTAATATTGTTCTGTCTTGCAGTGTCTTGTAGATCTCTAAGTAATTCTGTTTTACTAAGTGGTCTATTATTCTAAACATCACAATAATCCTTCTGTATAGAGAAAGAGAGAAATTCTACTAGCTATCAGAGGGAAGGAGGGTATAATGGGGGCATAGCTACTGTAGACCAGTGAATCTTCATTCATTCTTTTTCTATATAGCCTATTTCATGCACTCCATGTTATTCAACACCATGTTAAACCATTTTAAACAAACATAAACACATCAGTGCATCTTAAAAAACTCACCAAAGGTTCAGCCATCACAACTTCAATTTTCTTTTCAGCTTGAACAGCAAACTCAGCAAAAAGGCTCTTGATGACATATTCACCAGGTTTGACATCTGGATCAATTGTGATATTAGACATGATGACACTCTTCTTTTCCCAAGTAGAACTGATGCTGGGAGAAATTCTGCGTTTAGTAACGCTTCTGGCTGGTGCTGATGCTAGTGGGAACACAAATAAGGGTCATTAATAATAAAGACAATTAAAAACATTGGAAACTTTCAGCAGTAGCAACAGATTCTAGTAAGTTAAAGACTAATAAAAAATTACTCTCGCAAGAGAAAAATTGTTCACATTTTGAGATCATTTTCTTATATTTTCCTTAGAAGATATTTATATAAACCTATAACATCAACATTTACATTAGACATAGAGGGATATTTTGCAGGCACTATTACTGACATGCCCCCTTTTGTTCTTTTTCTCTAGAAATTTTTTCACTTTATGTATCTAAATCAGGGGTCCTCAAACAAAGGTCATTTACCCGGCCCTCGCTCAGGGTCAACCTAAGTTTGAAACGACTTGAAAGCACACAACAACAACAACAACAACAATCCTATTTCATCAGCCAAAAGCAGGCCCACACTTCCCATTGAAATACTAATAAGTTTATATTTGTTAAAATTGTTATTCATTTTAATTATTGTATTGTTTTAAAGTGTTTTGCGCACTACAAATAAGATATGTGCAGTGTCCATAGGAATTCATTCACATTTTCTTCAAATTATAATCCGTCCCTCCAACAGTTTGAGGGACTATGACCTGGCCCTCTGTTTAAAATGTTTGAGGACCCCTGATCTAGATTGTAAATATTAATGCAAGTCAACCAACTTTTAATATACAGGTCAAGAAAAAAGTCACAAAGACGTCTGGCATTTTAATAACTTTTTGGGGAAAAATTGAAAAGATTTTTATATAATACAATGTAATGCAATCAAGTTTTATTTACTATATATGCTATATTATGCTATTGTATTGTAAATTAAAAACAAAAAAAATAAAGATGCTTATTATTTATTTATTTACTTACTATATTTCTACCCTGCTCTATCTTACCCTAAAGGGACTTACAGTTTTGGCAATAATTCAATGCCACATTGCAATACAAAGTATACAAATACAACACATTAAGCATCAAAATTAAAATAAAACATATAAATACAATTAAAACTGTATTAAAACTATCAGAAGTTGAAACCCCTTTGTGACTTTTGGACCATCCCTTATAGTAAATGCTCTGGAGATGCAGACTAGGATCAGATGCAAATTTAAAAGGGAAGGGGGCATAGAAATATAATTTACATTAGCTCATATAAATTCATAACTGCAAGTAATTATTCACTGGGAATATACATCAGGAGCATATTTAACCTTCTGATTCCTAGAAGTGACACACAATATGCGTACAAATGCATTAATAAAGGAACAAAAAACAAGAAGGAGCCAAGTGCCAACTGGGAGTTCAAAAGCACTTAAAGCAAACCGGGTATAAGCTAGCAAGTCACATTTTCTCAGGAGACAAGCAAGCTGGCTGCAGACAGTTTAACTGAGATCAGTAGGATGTTGAAGAAATGCCAGAGAAGGCAGGCAAATGAAGCATCAGCTCCCTCTACTTTCTTTGTCATATCACCACTTCTGGCTTTTAAAAAAATGTCTGGGCAGGAAAATGTTGATGGTGGTAGTCCTATGGCACGACCCTAGCTTTGTAAGGCAAGCAGAGGGTCCCGGTGCTTTTTTAAGGGAGGCTATCTTCAGATAGACTACAGTGAGAGCTTACCGTAAAAGAAACACCAAACCCTCTGCTTGCTATTCCAAGGCAAAGTAGAACCAATGAGTTGCCATGGTGGAAAGGAAAGTGGAAGGGGTTGGCACTTGCTTTATTATTTATTATTTATTTATTTAAAACACTTATATTCCGCCCTTCTCACCCTGAAAGGGACTCAGAGCGGAGCACAACATATACATGGCAAACATTCAATGCCTGGGTACAATACATAAACATTAAAAAACATTTATCTAAATATTAAAATACACCATTTAAAATAACACAATTTAAAACCGTCCTAGCCATCTGTATCAAATCCAATTGGCCCTGTCATCTTTCCCATTGTCGCTTCATTGCTCTGTAGGTTCTCCCTGAACAGATTATGGCAAAAGGTAATATTGTATCTTAACTTTTATATATATATATAAAAACAAAACCATTCCCTTCTCTGAGAATAGTGAAAGGTATTTTTGAATGCCTGGGCAGTCAAACAGTGGCAGTAGTGGCTGGTCCTGAGGCAGTGCTGGCACTTTCACTTCTCTATGAAATAGATCTGAAGATTCCCCATGCTGGGTCCCAAAGCTACCCTTCACTTATATATAAGGTTGACTTGTAAATGAGTATATACAGTAAGGAGGACTAAGCACACCAAACTAAGGATATAACAGTTGGCCCTCCACATTTGTGGATTTGATTTTTGCAGAATGGATTATTCATGGATTTGTTCTTTCTCTCGGAATTTCCTGAGCAATTTTTGCAAGAAGTCAACCACAGAGTCATGCTGGAGAACCTTGAGATTCCTAGGAAGAACACCTCTCCAGGCATCTCTAGGTCCTCTGGTGCTATTCTATGGTTAGCTTTTGATGGAAGTTGATAATAATAATAATAATAATAATAATACTTTATTTTCACCCCACTATCATCTCCCCAAGGGGACTCGGGGCGGCCAACAATTACAACAAGGCAAAAAGAATACAAAAATATAATCATACATCAAATAAAATACAATAAAATATAACAAAAGAAAATAATACAAAATAAACGCAGGATATAACATTAAATAACAAGAAGTCACGCTGGGGAGTGTAGAGATTCTTAAAAAGATTTTGTGTTTTTTCAATTTCATGAGAGTACTGTGCCCCAAACCTCAGCAAATGTGGAGGGCTGACTGTAGTGCCAAAAGCAAAGTTTGTCATTTCTGTGCTTATTATAATCTCTACACCAGGGGTCCTCAAACTTTTTAAACAGAGGGCCAGGTCACAGTCCCTCAAATTATTGGGAGGGCTGGATTATAATTTGAATTTGAAAAAAGCATGAATGAATTCCTATGCACACTGCACATATCTTATTTGTAGTGCAAAAAGCACTTAAAACAATACAATAATTTAAATGAAGAACAATTTAAACAAATATAAACTTATTAGTATTTCAGTGGGAAGTATGGGCCTGCTTTTGGCTGATGAGACAGGATTGTTAATGTTGTTGTTGTGTGCTTTCAAGTCATTTCAGACTTAGGTTGACTCTGAGCGAGGGCCGGGTAAATGACCTTGGAGGGCCGTACCCGGCCCCAGGGCCTTAGTTTGGGGAACCCTATTCTACACTATCAGAAAAATAAAACAGATCTGTGTTGAAGTGTTGTTTTAGAAGCAGAAGACATAGACCAACCACAATCATTTTAACTCAGGCGCTCTCCTTCAAAAATCATTATTGTATCTAAAAACCTTATGAATACAAATGAATGCAAGTAACTATTGTAAGAGATACAATCTCTTGTAGTTTTGCAAAATACATACCTAACTAAATGACTACTTCAGTATTCAACCTGGCTACTTTAACAAAAGCTTTCACGTTCTAACAAAACACCCATAAGATAACTCTCAGTCATATTTAACGTACAGGAAAAAATGCATGAACTTGAATACCTGCAGTCAAACAGTCGCAATGTAATGAAAGGAAATCCTCAAATTACCAGAAATAGATAACTTTAACAAAGCAAACAAATCTACCTGCTTTTTAGTTAAGCAGGGCTGTCTAACAAGAACTCATTAACTAGCTGAAAAGCAGAAGAGTTGAAGAAAAAAAGTTCATAGCCCTATAACAGATAGAAAGATGAGGTTCTATGAGGACAATACTAAATGGGTAGCTATGTTTTAGCAGAGCTGAGTCATATTAAAAGCAGATCAATTCCAAATAGCATGAAGAACAGAAGTCTAAAGTTAGCCTAACGTAACTTCTTCCCTCTACCTCTACGATCAAATTGGAACACGGAGGTCAGCTTTACAGCTGCAGAAGTGTAGAGACCCAATGACCTTCACTGGTCAAAAAATTGCAAAGGAATCCAGAAAAGCAGGATTTCAGTACTAGACTTTCCATACATTTATTACATGGATAGGTCACACCTGCTCGGGCACATTTTCCACTTCAAAGCAAGAAACATTTTTCAGGATAAGTTTCATTTTAGGAGAAGGACAGTATATATATCAAACGAATACAATAATTAATTGGTGGATTAATGTATGCCTAAAGAAATAGAACAGCTCCATGGTAGTATTAAGAACACCACTCTACCTGAGCCTGGATGATAACCAAAGTAGCCATTAATCAACATTGTTCAGAAAAATACACCCAGTAAGAGTTCATGACACAAACTCGCAATGGTACAATCCTGGTCTTTCCACTAATGTTTGATTTATATTGCCTCTTACAGGAAAAAGCTAGGAATCCTAATGGATATCATCATCAGGTACAAAGCTTACATCCCCTCTGAAAATAGGCAACTGTCCAAGAAAATGCTTTTTGGCACCTTCTCCTAGTTGCGCAGCTAGGCTGTTGTTTGCTTGCTACTGTTTTTTTAAACAATGACTTCCTACCAATTCCATCTGTCCTGGGAACTGGATATAAAGATAGAACACATCTCATTCTTCTTTGAAGTAGATCATAAATGAACCGTACTCTACGAAGACAAATTTATTCCTTTGAAATTTGAGTCTATATTTTGGAAATGAATCCAAAAAATACATTTGGACAAGAACTACTGGCCAAAGAGCAAGGAAAATTCTTTGTTCTCAAAAGTGTTAGACTGTTTTAGATAAAAAAAATAGTTACTTAATAAATAAAGATTATAAATTAATATTATAAAAATATTGTGGAGCAGCTAGTATATGCATGATCTGAATGAATGCTTACATAATACATCATACTGGCAGTTCCAATATGATGCCATGCTTCTGTTCTATAAAGTTACCAACCAATGTATGTACACGACCCATTATAGATAAACTAAAGAATAGAGGTGTCTTACATCTGCTTGGATTGTGTCTCCCTCAAACATTTAAACCTATTAGAAATTAAAAACTGTGTCAAAGAAGTAATCATCATCATCATCATCATCATCAT